GTAGGTGATTAGTTCAGTTTTGGGGGAGTCCAAAGTTATACATAGATTTTCAACTGTATCAGTGTCAGTGTCCTTAATGCCTGTGTTGTTCAAGGGTCAGCTGTGCAAATGGTTATTAATACAGTGATCTTTAGCTCACCCTGTAACAGGCGTCAGGTTGGTAACCCCCACCATAGCCAGGATGGTGTCATTCCTCTACCCTACACCAACCACCCCCCCAAGCTGTTCACGGATCATCCAGAGCACAAACAGGTATCGTTTTTTTTTTAAGATTTTATTTATTTGACAGAGAGAGACAGCGAGTGAGGGAACACAAGCAGGGGGAGTGGGAGAAGGAGAAGCAGGCTTCCCGCAGAGCAGGGAGCATGATGCGCGGCTTGATCCCAGGACCCTGAGATCATGACCTGAGCCAAAGGCAGTCGCTTAACCAACTGAGCCACCCAGGCACCCCCAAACAGGTATCCTTAGGGTTCCCTTTTCTCTGCTCCACCCCAAGCGTGAAAAGATTAACAGTCACAGAGTGCTTGGGGTGAAGAGTGGAGATACAGGCATATCATGACCCAAAAGATGAAACGCCGGGGAGAAAGAAGTCTACTGAACTTTACACAATCCCAAACCACAGCAAAAAGGTTTTGGGAGGGGCTTCCTGTAGGCCCGAGAGGGGAAATGTAGGCCGTGGGGACTTGAATCAGAGACTGGTTCTGGTAAGTAACTTCAGCACAAAAACCACTCCCCCGACAAATTCTGTCAGTAAATTCTTGACAGCTGGAGTTGAGGTACCAACTTCTCTTCAGTTCCTCTCTGCTCCCCAAATCACCTAAACCCAGAGATACTCTCTTGCCCACTCTTTATATGGAATGTGACAATGCTGATTATTGATTTACATAAGAAATACTCGCTCACGGGGCGTCTGGGTGTCTCAGTTGGTTGGGCTGCCTACTCTTGATGGTGGACTCTTGATTTCGGCTCAGGTCATGATCTCAGGGTTGTGGATTGAGCCCCGTGTGTGTCTGTGTTGGGCTCCATGCTCAGTGGGGAGTCTGCCTGGGGATTCTCTCTCTCCCTCTCCCTCTGCCCCTTCCCTCCACTCAAGTTCTCTCTCTCTCAAATAAATAAAATCTTTAAAAAAAAGAAAAGAAAAGAAAAGAAATATTCCTTCATGATGAGCACCAGGTGATATATGGAAGTGTTGAATCGCTATACTCTATACCCAAACTAATATAACACTATATGTTAACTAAGTGGAATTAAAATAAAAACTTAAAAAAAAAAAGAAAAGGAACTACTCCCTCTGCATTCATCTACCTACCTCTGTGTATGTTCTTTCTGTCTGTTCCCACCTAGGTCATCTTAGATGTAAACCCTGGACCTGTTTAACCTGCTCTCTGTATTGGCACTATGCATCGAGTCCAGCACAGACATTTCATTAAGGCTGTGGATAGCAAACAATAAAAAGCCATAAACCCTGTCCCCTGGAAAACATCTCCCTTCAACCTCCTAGCTCCCCTCTCCCCCTTACTCAGGGTAAGAAAAGGGGAGAAATTAGACTTTTCAGAAATCTTGTCTTTTCTCCAGCTCCCTCCTAACCTGACACCATGCTTCCTTCTTGTAAAGTGGCAGCAGTTCAGGGCTAGGTTAAGGCCTGGGAGATGAAGTTGAAAGACAGAAAAGTTATCAAAAGAAGCCTGGTCACCCCAATTGATCCTCCTTCTGCTTCAAATATAACTTATGCTAGTTGTGTCTCATTTACATGTTGTTAATTTAGAATCAGACTAGCAAAAATTGCCTGAGCACCTTACTTTTTTTTTTTTTTTTTGGTCTCTCATCTCCTTTTCCCCTCCCCTCCCAAATGACAGGCTGAGCCTTGGAAGCAGAAATCAGAGCCTGAGAAAGTTAAAAGAGCCCGGAGAAAAGCAGCATTCATTTCTTATCTTTTGTGTCCAATGCTAGAAATGATCAATAATTCAGTGGGGGTTGGGTGGTTAGCTGGCGAGGGGGATGAGCCAAAAGGAACCGGAGGGTTTCTGGAAACCGGAGGGAGCTGGGTCTCGGAGAAACTGGGCAAAGCTAAGTGGGCTGAGTCTTAAGAGATGGAATGAAGATAGCCACTCTACAAGGTGCACTCCTGGAGGGGTGGGCACCAGTATGTCCGAGCAGGAAAGGATGAGGGGGAGGGCACTCAAACAAATCAGGATTTCATTCTTTTCCTCTTCTTTTCTCAAGTCCCACGCATTCTCTCCTGCTGGAATTATCCTCTGGTGGTGGGTGAGGGAGGTAAAATAGCCCTGGCCCCTCCCTTGCAGTGGCAGTAAATAGCCAGAAGTTGGAAGAAGCAGATAAAATGGGCGGGTAGCTTCAGTAACACACGCACACCCTCAGGAACTTTCCCACTGCCATCTCCTTCTCAGTCTGACCCAAATCTTCATGCAACTACTGGTTTAAAATTTTGCCCCCAAAGGGGCGCCTGGGTGGCTCAGTCCTTAAGCGTCTGCCTTCGGCTCAGGTCATGATCCCAGGGTCCTGGGATCGAGCCCCACATGGAGCCCCACATGGAGCCCCACATGGAGCCCCACATCGGGCTCCCTGCTCCGCGGGAACCAGCTTCTCCCTCTCCCACTCCCGGTTTGTGTTCCCTCTCTCGCTGCGTCTCTCTCTGTCAAATAAATAAATAAAATCTTTAAAAAAAAAAAAAAAGAGGGGCGCCTGGGTGGCTCAGTCGTTACGCGTCTGCCTTCGGCTCAGGTCATGATCCCAGTTTCCTGGGATCGAGTCCCACATCGGGCTCCCTGCTCCGCGGGAAGCCTGCTTCTCCCTCTCCCTCTGCCCCTGCTTGTGTTCCCTCTCTCGCTGTGTCTCTCTCTGTCAAATAAACAAAATAAAAAAATTAAAATTAAAATTAAAAAAAAGAGAGAGAGAGAAAATTTTGCCCCCAAATAAGTCAATCACCTCTACCATGCCCTGTCTATTTGCTTGCAAGTGAGAGGGGGAAGTTTTCCTTACACGAAGGAAATGCAGAAACCAAGCTCATCCCTTTTACATATCCTTCCTGCCTTAGCTCCTCTCAAAATCCAGACTTGTAGAGACCAAAAGTGGAGGGACATTTCATGTCACCTCCCCAGAGCTGCAGAGGAAAATGAGAACTGGGCGGGGGGCGGGGGCGGGGGTAAAGGAAACGGTTAAAACAAAGTTTTTACCTTAAAGAAGTGGGTGCTGCTCCAGGATAGAGGAGGAGGGTCCAGCAGTGGCAATTCGATGAGGAAGGTGGCTACAAGGAGGGGCGCTGCCACAGTCCCAGCTGCCTTCCAGCTGTCAAGGCCAGAGCTGATCCAGGTCTACACAGGTTTATGAGCGCCTGTCCTGGCTTGGCGGTGGCCACTTCCGGACTCAAGCCCACGACTGAGGTCACCAGAGGAGGGTGGGGGGCAGGCAGGAGTGCAGCCCAGGTGCTCCCAGGTCGCTCAGAGCGTCTTCAGGATTCCTGAGTTGCCGAGTCTAGGGCGTGCGCTCCAGGCCCTGACTACAAGCTGGTTTTCAAAGGAAGTTTGTGGTTTTTCTTTTTTCTTTCTCTCTCTTTTTTCCCATCGGGACAAAGAAAAATTAGTCAAGGACAAGCTCCCTGGAGGAGGAGGGGCTTGCCCAGCACTGGAGAATTTCCATCAGGGCTTTCTGACCTGGTCAGCAGCTTGGTGATCAGCAGTGAGAGAGAGAGAGAAACAAGGAGAGAAAAACAACAGACCCTTTCTCTTCCCTCCGCCTGCTGCTGGAAGGGACGGAGCGCTTGTGCCTCTCTGGTGAGAATAGGGAAGAGCAAGTGCCCTTGCTGATGGTGGGGAGGAGCAAGGCTGGACAGCAGCGGCTGGTTGGATTTGGGCTTTCTCAGTGAGTTTGGCAGGCCTTTGCTCTGAATCCACAGAAGCAGGGCCAAAGAGCATGATATTTGCATATTTACTCATTTAAAGTTAAAAAAATTCTGCTACTTTCCAAGCCCTTACTGTATCTTTGTGTGTGTGTGTGTGTGTCTAGAAATGGAACTGGTTGGGCAGAAGGTGTGGAAGACTCCCTAGGCTCTGGGAAGAGAGGCAGCAGGGAGAGAACTAGCTGAGCAAGCAGGAGATCCAATACCCCTGTGCTCCGGTCCTTGCTCCCAGCACAGGCCTCAGCTTCTCATGGGTCACCTCCTTTCAATTTTGGGGGGGGGCCAGGAAGAAGGGGGAGCAGGAAAAGCTGGCAGTAAGAAATAAAGGGTTGGATCAATAAAGGAGGAGGCATTTGATGATGAGAGTACACTTATTTGCAGTACTCTGCATTACCGTGGGGCTGGAAGGCAGCAGTTAAGGGAGGTTGGAACCCAGCTCTACATTCTGAAGGGCCCTCCTAACTTGACTTACAGGGCTGCTGCAGGATGAAACTTCAAGCAACTCTGAAGGCTGAAAGGGCAGTTTGAACAATTAGGGAGGCAGGGAGCAAAAAACCCAGGTTACAACAGTCCAGAAAAAGGAAGAGTCATTTGCTGATGCTTTAGACAAACAGGCTACTACTGAGTTGTAAAGGAAGTAGCAGCAGGAATTAGCAAGAGACCGTAGGTATTAAGAAGAGGAGTCAGAAGATTATTTTAATGTTTTTATAACATGGACAGCAGAAAATTGGCGGCAATCGGTCAGTTTGGTAAAGGGGAGAATCCGAGAAAGGAAGACTGTTTTTGCTTTTGTAATTTAAGACGTCAACCCCAGATGCTCGGTGTAATATATGGAAAGATGCTATACTTAGCCTGACTCGAAAGGGAAAGTTTAGATGCCACAAACATAGGTTACTGTGACACATATACATTTCCCTGTCAAATGAGTAATCTCGGAAAATTCTCTTTCCCTCCATTCTTGGGGCCATTTCGGAGCTCCTAGACTACGTTTCCCAGGACGCCCTGCGCCACGCCCCGCTTCGCGCCTCTGGGAAGGGGGTCCCGTGAGTCTCTGGGCGCGGAGCTCCGCCTCCGCCGCTGGGGGCGGGGCGACGTCGGACTCCAGGAGCGCCGGATTACGCACTTCCTGCGGGGGTTGGGGCCGAATCGCTGTGTGGCGGGTTCGAGTCCCGCCTCCTGACTTTCGCCCCTAGCCCCTGAGTCCCGGGCGGGGCGCTTTCTCCTGGTATCCTCTCCACGGACAGGGGCGGTGGCACACCTGGGACTTCACCATGGAGGACTACCTGCAGGGTTGTCGAGCCGCTCTGCAGGTAACGAATCCCGGTCTGTGATCGTAAGGAATGAAGCATGAGGTGCAGAAAGAACGAAGATGTGGGATCTGGGGAGCCCCGACGGTGTGGGGAGGGAACACGGAATTGTGGGGAGGGGGCTTGGGATCGGATCAAGCTTGGGGCCGGGGGGAGTGAGGAACGAGAACCTAGCTCTGGGGGATGCTGCTCCGTCTCCCGGGTTTTGGCTGCTGCCTTTGGGGTCTCCCCAAGAGCTGCGAGGAGGAATCGTGGATGTGGGACCTGCATCTGAGCCTCTGCTCACTGTCACCTGTGTCAGTTCCGTCAAAAGGTGGAGCGGCTGTGCCGTCGGCTGTAGTGCCGCGCGAGGTGTATTTATCCTTTTCTCCCCGCCCCTCTTTCAGTTCACCGCTCACCCGGCCTCCTTGGCCCATTGGCCTCCCGGTGAGCCCCGGAGGTACGAGAGAACCTGGGCCCACGGCCTTACTGCTTTAGAAGAGCTGTTTCTGTCTGGCGGGTGGAACTCATTCTAGATTAGAGAATCATGTTTTACTTTTTTTTTTTTTTTAAGATTTTATTTATGTATTTGAGGGAAAGAGCATGAGAGGGGAGAGGGTCAGAGGGAGAAGCAGGCTTCCCGCTGAGCCAGGAGCCCGATGTGGGACTCGATCCCAGGACTCTGGGATCATGACCTGAGCCGAAGGCAGTCGCTTAACCGACTGAGCCACCCAGGCGCCCTAATCATAACTTTAAATCTGTTTTTAAGCTAAACATGCTCAATACTGTAGGCATATGTGTTGTTGACCCAAAACTTGCATTCCTCTGCCTCCAGTTTTCTTCTGTGGCCTTAACGCACATAAATTACGTAAGAATCCCCCCGCCTGGAAGGGATAAGCCCAAAGTGTGTTTGGAATGAAAACTATAAGCTTGACTTATTTTTGGTACTTACTGTGGCTTATTTTTGGTACTCTGAGCTAGTTGGAATCTCCCAGCCATGCGGACTGGTCAGGCAGCATTTCATTTGGCTGCTATTCCCAGTTAGCAGAGAGGCTCTAGGAGGTCACCTGCCCCCCCCCCCCCCCCCACTTCAAGTTACACTGCCCATGTGGAGACCTAGACGGATGGTTGACTATGCATTCCTTTCTAAGTGTCTTAAACTCTGCAAATTCCCCTGGCCAATAAATTCCGGTCTTTAACAAATCCTAAAAGTCACCTAATTTACTTCTGTGGACTCGGCTGCTGAAGCATAGGGGTGAAGGACAATTTTAATAGTACCAATTGCACCAAATTTTTGTTTCTGAAATACAGATTTGGGGAAAGTTGATATAATGCATAGGGCAATTTGGAACCATTTCGTTTGGTTACCTCTGATTTCCACCACTGGGAGCTCATTGGAGGACCAATGTAGAATCTTTGTGGCACTGTTCTGAGTGCTAAGCAGTGGAATGTTTTCCCCCATAATAACCCAAATGAGGGGTCTCCTTTCCACCATTTGGTAAAGAGCCCTTGGACCCGAAACCTCACCAAATAGCCTTTCATTGCATGCATCTATCTTTCAGCATCTATGCTTTAGAGTCCCCCCAGGTTAACAGCATATCTCCTACAGCAGTATGAAGCTGAAAAATAATTGGGTTTTTCCGGTATTGCTGGTATCCTGACCTTTTTTTGCCTGCATTCATCTCCTAAGGAGCAAGATCTAGATCTTTCTTTTTCTGAACTTGTGAAGGTGAGGTTGTGTCTTAGAGTTCTTCTTATCACACAGCCTAGCCAGGGCTGGGAGAAATGAGAAAACCGGACTCTAGGAATGTTAGTGAAGGAACTGGTGGCAGGACGTACAGGTGGTGGCCAACAACTTAGATAGCTTTTAATTATAGAAGTGGTAAATGCACACAGTGAAAAAACCTAAATACAAAGAAGATATGAAATGAAAAAGAACAAGATCTTTTCTTCGTCTCCTCATCCCGTTCCCCAGAGGCTGCACTGTTGTTTCGTGTGTAAAGAAAGACATGATTTAGACAGAGATTCTGTTAAGTTTGAGTGTTTCTGTTAAGCTATGTTAACTTTTCGGGAAATGTGGATGCTTGACTTTTACACAGGATAGAGACAGCTTATAACCAGCCAACTCCTGTTGATACCAGATTTTTTTCTCTGGCATCTGATACCAGAGACATTTTCTGCAGCCTCTGCCACAACGATAGTAGGATGTTCCATTTAAAAGAAATCCTGGGTCACCTGGGTGGCTCAGTCGTTAAGCGTCTGCCTTCTGCTCAGGTCATGATCCCAGAGTCCTGGGATCGAGCCCCGCATCGGGCTCCCTGCTCAGCAGGAAGCCTGCTTCTCCCTCTCCCACTCCCCCTGCTTGTGTTCCCTCTCTCACTGTGTCTCTGTCTGTCAAATAAATAAAATCTTTAAAAAAAAAAAAAAAAGAAAGAAATCCTGTTTAACTAAATGTCCTATTCATGGTGACTCATCTTTCACTACTAGTGGGGAAAAAACCTTTGCTTCAGGGTGGAGCTGCGTTCAAGTGTAGGTATTCATCCAGCAGCCTTCAGATAATCTGCGTTGTCTGCACTGCTCATTGCGGAAGGCAGGAATCGGGAGTGGCTGGCTATCCTGAAGACACCATAGTCCTTTCGTCAGTATCGGTACCATTTTCTCTGCTGGGAGGGCTTCTCTATCTCTGGCTCTCTGTCTCCTTTTTTTCCTCCCTCATTAACTATTTTGTAGAGGAGGCACCAGACCATATTCAGCTTCAGAAGGCTGGTAGTTGCTTTTGCCAGCCCTAGAGCCCATCCTCACTCCCCGCATTGAGGTCACAAAGAGCATCAGGATCTAGTCATTGTGACTAGTGGGTTTGGGTGGTTTTTTTGTTTATTGGTTTCTTTGTTAGGAAGAAAAGTTTATATTTACTTGGGGCTCTCAGATTGTATTTCTTCCATTGGCAGCTCAGGTTTCCTCATGCTCTAAGTATAGCTGTATCTGCCCTCACCCCTTCCTCTGATGGTCAGAAAAGCGAGATTATTTCGCTTGTGCTCTCAGCTGGTGGAGGATGCGGTGGGGTGGGGGTTAAGAGTTACACGTTTTTCCTAAATGAAGAGAAGGGTGCCTTATAAGTCGGGCAGCTCAGGACAGTTTTAGTTTATTCGCACATAACCATTTATTGCATCCCTTTTCATTCTCAAAGTGTCCCTGTTTGAACAACAGAATGTTTAGTCGCCGAAGTCATAAACTAAGTTCAGGATTAAGATACATGCCCACGAAAAGATAGCGAGTTCCTTAAGGTAGGAGTTCCATATGAGTGCTGGCAGCTGGAGGTCTGGAGGAGGAGGATTGCTGTGGTCTGGGTGGAAAGGGAAGGCGACACAGAGACAGGGGCTTTAGGTGGCATGAATGGACTAGGAGGGATGGGTAGAGAAAGAAGATGGAAGGCAGCTCATCTTTCTAACCACCGAGTAGGCACTTACAGGCTATCTCATTTAATCCTCATAACAACTTCATGAAACTGGTTACAGTATTATCATTTTTAAAACCAAAAATGAAGCTTAGAGAGGCCCAAGTCCCACAACAAGTAAGAAGCAGAGCTGGGGGTGGGGGGTGTGCCTGGGTGGCTCCAGCCGTTGGGCGTCTGCTCAGGTCATGATTCCCGGGGTCCTGGGATCGAGTCCCACATCGGGCTCCCTGCTCAGTGGGGAGCCTGCTTCTCCCTCTGCCTGCCGCTCCCCCTGCTTGTGCGCTCTCTCTCTCTATCAAATAAATAAAATCTTTAAAAAAGAAAAAAGAAGAAGAAGAAGGAAAAGGAGCAGCAGCAGAGCAGGGATTTAGCCTAGTCTGTGGTCTCTTCAAATGGCAGTTCTGCTGCTTTCTGACAGAACAGAGTGCGAAGGTCAGAGCTGGGAATATGCACAGCACGTTTTGTGGGTGGTGCATAGACCGGACAGGCTGGGGTGGTGGTGGGCCCTGACAGGGAAAGGAAGGCCACCACAGCCCCTGCTCAGTCCTTTCCAAGATATGGCAAAAGTCCCAGAGGATTGCTTTTGTATTCATTCCTTGTGGCTGCTCTCTTGGCTTGCCTGAGCAAGGGATTAGTTGTTCACCTTCTTGTGGATTTCATTTCTCCTCAGAGTCACAGACTTAGTGGTATGTGGTCCCTTCTTTCTGCTTTTCTGCTTAGCCTCCATGCTGCGGATCTGACCGGTCCTGATTCAGCTGAAGCAGCACTAATGTGAGTTTTGGAAAGTTTCTTTGGGGGCCCAGCACTAGGTCTGTCCCTCTTGCTCTGCCTTTTCTCCGTTCCGCATCCCTTTTTTCTCCAGAGTCAGAACCATATGGCCATGCGTGTTTATGATATGGTTCCCTTTCTAGGGAACATGGTGCCCGCCTTACTGCTTCAGTGAGCTCGTTATCTGTGCAGCCACTTACGTCGAGTGCTTTGTTGCCACTTTGGTCCACAGCCATCTGGGCAGTTCTTGGTATCCAGGAAACAGGGGGACTTTCTCTGGTACCCGGAGGAGGAATTGCAAGTTAGAGGAGTTACTGTAGGACTGAATTCTTGTATAATGTAGGAAAAGAGTTTAATATTGGAAAGAATCTCCGCTCTCCCCTACCGTTCAGTATGGGCGGGTCTGGGCTGCCACCCTTGTGAGGTAGGCTTAGAGAAACGGGTGCAGGGAAGAACCTAAGGGCAAACTTTCCCCAGAAGTCCTCTTTGCAAAACCTCGACGGGTAATCTCTGCCTTTTGTACTTCTCTGGGGGTTGGGAGTAGGAGATGCGGAAAAAGGTGGTTTAAAAACAGAAACCTGGGGCACGTGACAGGCTCAGTTGGAAGAGCATCTGACTCTTGATCTCTGGGTTGTGAGTTGGAGCCCCATGTTGGGTATAGAGATTACTTAAATAAAATTAAAAAAAAAAATCTATTTAGGGCAATTTATGGCACCAGATAGGGCAATTTATGCCACTAGAAGTCTTATAAAATTGTACCTTTCTGGCTGTAGCTTCCTGGGGAAGGGAGGGGAGTGGGTAACAGCCGAAGAGGCAAGATGATTCTAGGTTCACCAAGATTCCCTTTCCTCCTATAGTTACATTACTTGATAACTGTTGATTGCTGTGTTTTGCTCCCCTGAACCCCTTTCCTACTTTTTGAAACTCTTGCATCTAGCAAATCTTTCCTGATTGAAGAAGTCAGATTGTTTGGATTTTCACCTGTCTGTAACCCAGTAGTTCTCGGCTGGTGGTGATTTTTGCCCCCAGGAATATTTGGCAAATCTGGAGACATTTTTGATGTCATTCCTGAGGGTGCTACTGGCATCTAGTGGGTGGAATCCGGGGATGCTGCCAAACATCCTCCCTCGCACAGGACAGCCCCCACCCACAACAAATGATCCAGTCCAAAATGCCAGTAGTACTGAAATTAGGAAACTCTGCTATAACTGGTATATCTCATTTTATCTCTTATCTCTTCCTCTGTCAGAAGCACGCTGAGATAGAAGTTCAAAAATAAACTGGTAAGAGAGAATTCTTGTGCCCTAAGCTGAGCCATGGACTTTATGGTCTCATTATATCTGGCAGAATGCTCATTCCTGGAATGAAATAATAATTCCTTTTTTTTTTTTCAAGATTTTTGTTTATTTATTTGTCAGAGAGAGAGAGAGCACAAGCAGGGGGAGCGACAGGCAGAGGGAGAAACAGGCTCCCCGCTGAGCAAGGATCCCAGTGCAGGGCTGGATCCCAGGACCCCAGGATCATGACCTGAGCCTAAGGCAGATGCTTAACCAACTGAGCCACCCGGGTGTCCCTACCTCAACCTTTCTGTGCTCAGTTTCCTCATCTTCAAAACAGAGATAACCAACTGAGCCACCTAGGCGTCCCTGAAATAATAATTCTTAAAGTACCTACCTCTTTGGGGTTGTTTTGAAGATTAAATAGTTAGTTCATGCATGTAAAAATATTACAGCAATGCACGGCACACTCAATAAAATAAATGTTTCCAACAAAGCAAAACCCTGCTTTGTCTCTGCTATTGTGGGCACTGTGGTTTTAATGTATTTTATTTAAGATTCTGACAGCTAGGGAGATGCAAGAGAACAAGGTTAGGAATAGCAGATATTCCTCCCTCCTCGGTTCTTATTAATAGCTGGATTTTTCAAGCTTTAAAAATAAAAGTTCCAGGGCTCCTGGCTGGCTCAGTCGGTGGAGCATGCAATTCGTGATCTCAGGCTCATGAGTTCGAGCCCCACATTTGGTGTAAAGATTACTTAAAAATAATAGTAAATAATAAATTATAAAAATAAATTATAAAAATAAAAGTTCCAGCAGCAGCAGCTGTTCTTGTTTTTGTTTTTTTTTTAAAGATTTTATTTATTTGACAGAGAAAGACACAGCAAGAGCAAGAACAAAAGCAGGGGGAGTGGGAGAGGGAGAAGCAGGCTTTCCGCGGAGCAGGGAGCCTGATATGGGGCTCGATCCAGGACCAGGGATCATGACCTGAGCCGAAGGCAGACGCTTAATGCCTGAGCCACCCAGGCTCCCAACTGTTCTTGTTTTAATTTGAACCTGCTGGGGAAAGTGTCTGTGTCCTGGGTAGTGAGAGTGTTAGTTGTATCTGCTTATCATTGAGGCTTCTCAGGGTTGGGGGAGTTTTCATGGCCTGGATAACTGGACTAGATTTTATTTTTACCTTCATTTTCAAGAGCTCTTCACCTCTTATGATTTAGAAGTATAAGGATGCTTTTCCCTATTTTGAAAATGGCAGGGGTCAAAGACCAGAAAAACAAACTGAGGTTGATATGGCTTGAATACATCAGCTACCTCAACTGCTCTACCTTTGATTTCTCAAGTGCCCAAGGAAGCATAAGAAGTTAGAGATTTATTTACTGCTATTCTTTTTTAAGTTAATAATCAAGGAGATGGTGTAGTAGGAGAAAGGGCACTTTTCTACTTACTGGATATGTATGGAATGCTTAAATTTAGCTAAACATGGGTGGCCTCTCAGCCATTTCCTCATCCATGAAATGAGGACCTGTAAGATTATCTGATCTACCTCCTCTGTGAAGATCGGTGAGAAGAGGTATGTGAAGCCCTGCTCACATATAAGGTAAATGGAAATAGAAATGCTTCTGCTAGTGTCCCATTCTCCTTCCTCACCAGGAGTCCCGGCCGCTACACATCGTGCTGGGAAATGAAGCCTGTGACTTGGACTCCATGGTGTCAGCTCTTGCCCTGGCTTTTTACCTGGCAAAGGTGAGTACTTAGCAACAGAGTCCCTTAGAATGATAAGATCTGGATGCAAGACCCAGCTCTGCTACTTAACACTATTTAGTCTTGGGTCAGTTAAATTCCTTGACTTTGCTGAGTCTCAGGTCACCATCTCTAGAATCTGAAATGATACTATTTTGCAATGTTGCTGGGAGGATCAAATGAGTAGATGTATTTTGAAGAAATTGTAAATCATAAAGCGATATTCAAACTTACTGAGTTCTTCTGGGTACCAGTGGTCTCATGCCCAGGTCAGTTTTTGAGGACTGATAATCCCTTCTCTGCAGCATCTAGAACTAGGTCTTTTCCAATAGTTACCTTGTTGACCTTCATGTTATGCTAAGAAGGAGAGAGGGCAAGAGTTGTCCTTTTTTTTTTAATTTGTTTTGTTTTTTAAAGATTTTATTTATTTATTTGACAGAGAGAGACACAGCGAGAGAGGGAACACAAGCAGGGGTAGTGGGAGAGGGAGAAGCAGGCTTCCCGCCGAGCAGGGAGCCCAGTGAGGGGCTCGATCCCAGGACCTGGGATCATGACCTGAGCCGAAGGCAGACGCTTAACGCCTGAGCCACCCAGGCGTCCTGGTCCTTTTATTTTTTTATCAACTGGGTAATTGTGGCTTTGAGAAAGTCAGTGACTTACCCAAGATCACATCTCCTTTAGTCCCAATAATTTTGTTATTTTTCCTGTTTATTCCAAAACATTGCCATGTGTTCTTTTCACTTTCCTTATCCAGACGACAGAGGCCGAGGAAGTCTTTGTGCCAGTCTTAAATATAAATCGTTCTGAGCTACCTCTACGAGGTGACAATGTTTTCTTCCTTCAGAAGATTAACATTCCAGAGTCCCTCTTGATTTTCCGGGATGAGATTGACCTCCATGCCTTGCACCAGGCTGGCCAACTCACTCTTATCCTTGTTGACCATCATGTCTTACCCAAGTAAGTAGAAGGAAGTTAAGCCGATATTTATCATGTGCCATGTTGAGTTCTGATGATTAAGAAATAAAGAGAGGAAGAAAGAATTTCTGCTCTCGGGATCTCACAGGCTAATTGTAATTGCTGGGTTATATCAGATATAGAAAATCAACAGAAAATATTGTCAGTTCTCCAGTTATGCAAGTAACAAAAAGAAATAGAAACATGGATAGGTGAAACTAAAGGAGAACTCAGAAATCATTTAAAGCTGCCTTTGGCATCACTATTTTGTGGCAGATTTATTGTAATAGAAGCTTTTGAATAATGGTTACAACTCTATTTTTAATTTTTAAAAAGCAAAATTATTTCCCACATAAGGCAATATCTCATTAGTTGCATTGTGATGGGTGTTGGAGGTGTGTGATAACCGACACTCTAGAGGACAAGAGGTGCACGAAGGATGGGGTAGTTAAATATAGTCAAGGGGAGTAGAGGGCGTGAGGAAAGGTTTCCTAAGAGAGTTGACCCTTGATCTCACTCTTGAGTGTTTGCTCCTGGAGTGGGGAGGCAAGATAGTTAGGAAAAGCATCCAGGCAGAGAAAGGAATTAATATAAGCAAAGGCAGACAGGCATGAAATAGCATGGTAAATTGGCAGAATTGGAATTTGTTTTGCATGGCTGGAGCATAAAATGTGACAGAGAAGTAGGACAGAGGAAGAGGTGAGACTAGGGAGGTCAGTGGGGGCCAGATTGTAGGCCCTGCCAAGGAGACAAGACTTGGTGTTAGGGTAGTGGGGAACTATTGGGAGTTATATTTATTCCAGATCCTAACAAAATCAAATCTGCATTTTTCAAATGATCATTCAGCAGCTTTGTGGAGGACAGCACAGGGGGGCCCCAAGATCAGGAGTCGGTCTTTGGTTAGGAAACTGTTGGAATAATCCAGATGAGAGATACTGAGGGCCTAGAATAAGGCAGTAGCAGAGCCATGGTGGTGGTGGGGGGCGTGTAGAAAAGATAGAAGCCATGGAATCTGATGAACTGTGTGGAATTTGGGTATTAAGTGGATTGAGATGACAGGAGAGATTTAGATGTTGGATGCCAAGGGTGTCAATCCGAAAGGCAGCTCCCAAGGACATCAAATACTTGTAGATACTTGTAGCTGATACTTCACCAAATTCACTTATACACTATTTAAAGATGACTTCAGTTACAACATGTAGGAAAAGACTTGAGAACAGGGAGGCAGAGGTAGAAGTGACCAAAGTTCTGAATGTTCGCCTAAGATGTGCATTTTCCTTCATGGGTGAGGTGGAGATTTGGTTAGAACTGGCTGGAGTGTCCCTACCCATCTTTCCTTCTCTTTGCCCTACCCCCCGCTTCTGCACACAGAGGTGACGCAGCCCTAGAGGAGGCGGTAGCCGAGGTGCTAGACCATCGGCCCATCGAGCAGAGGCACTGCCCTCCCTGCCCCATGTCCGTGGAGCTGGTGGGGTCCTGTGCTACCCTGGTGACCGAGAGAATCCTGCAGGGGGCACCAGAGATCTTGGACAGGCAGACTGCAGCCCTTCTGCACGGTGAGGGTGGCTTTCGGGTCGGGAGAGGGGAAAAGTCTCTTGTTTTTTTTTAAGTCTAGATCCTCATTCTTTTTTCTTTTTTTTAAGATTTTATTTATTTATTTGTCAGAGAGAGCACAAGCAGGGGGAGTGGGAGAGGGGGAAGCGATGTGAGACTTGATCCCAGGACCCCGGGATCATGACCTGAGCTGAAGGCAGATGCTTAACGACTGAGCCACCCAGTTTTCCCGAGAATGGAAAAGTCTAGACTTCCAGCTTGATCATACCCTCTCCAAGCTATCCCGTCCATTTCAAAGGCTGGGTCCTTTCAGGGGACAATTAGACATTAAAAGGCTGTGGTGAGGGGTGCCTGGGTGGCTCAGTCGGTTAAGCATCTGCCTTCGACTCAGGTAGTGATCTCAGGGTCCTGGGATCAAGCCCCGCGTTGGGCTCCCTGCTCAGCGACAGCCTGCTTCTCCCTCTGCCTGCCACTCTGCCTACTTGTGTTCTCTCTCTCTCTGTCAAATAAATAATTAAAATCTTTAAAAAAAAAAAAAAAAAAAAGGCTGTGGTGAAAGCAGAAAGGAAGCACGGGACAACAGACCTAGGGGCTGCCTACTGCAGCATTGTATGATGGAAAGAGAACCAGCCACAGAAGCAGGGAATGGATTCTAATACCATTCCTGTCCAGGAGGTTGTTATGTGACCTTGAGCAAGTTTCTTCACCTTTCTTGTTCTCATTTTTTCCATTTGTAAAAAAAAAAAGAGAGAGAGAGAGAGAATTGGATTAGACTATCTCTTCTGACTTCTAAGTTTCTTTCATGGAATTTGGCCTACAGAAGGGAGGTCATCTCTCTCTAACTTGGTTTCAAGATCTCTGATGATTGGGGTGCTCAGGCACCCTTTCTGCCTTTTCCCCATTTTCCTGCCTACATTTTAATTTGGTCTGGGGAAGTCTTACTCAAGACACAGTCCCAGTTTCTTGTTTTGTTTTCAGTGAGTTTGCCACACGGTCTTCTCTATTATGTCCGTCTGGTTTGAGGGTTATGTGCGTTCTAGTGGTTGCGAATGGAAGGCCATAGGATTTGAGTTTTGTCTCGTCTCCACAGGGACAATCATCCTGGATTGTGTCAACATGGACCTGAAAGTTGGAAAGGCAACCCCAAAAGACAGCAAATATGTGGAGAAACTGGAGGCCCTCTTCCCAGATCTGCCCAAGAGGAATGACATCTTTGACTCTCTACAAAAGGCAAAGTTTGATATATCAGGTATGAAACAGTAAACTGACTTCTCTCCCTTCCACGTGAGAAAACAGATGGGCGAGACTTGTTCATCGTATTCTTTTTTTCTTTTTTTAGAGAGAGAGTAGAGAGTGCACAGACTTGGGGGTGGGGGCACAGAGGGAGAGAAAAAAGTCCTAAGCAGGCTCCACACTCAGCATGGTCTCATGACCCTGAGATCAAGACCTAAGCTAGAATCAAGAATCTGCTGCTTAACCAACTGAGCCACCTGGGTGCCCTGATTGTTCATTGTATTCTTGAACACCATTGAAACAATTTCAGAGCATGCATAATGATTTAAGCTTTACAACAGAGAGAACCAAGGTAGTATATGAGTCTGATCATGAACTTATCAATCATTTACTGGATTGTTCTATCCTGGCTGTTGGGTAGGAAGAGGAGGAATATATGAGTGTCAGGTTTCTGGTCTAATCAGAGAATATAGGTATATAAGTAAAATCTGCTGAAGGAATACTAAATTATTTGAGTGAGGTCTACATGATTGTTTAGGGAAGCAGGAGAAACATTGAGGGTGAATATACAAAGGACAAAGGAGGAGAACAAAAATAACTTCCATAATTTTTTACCCAGATACCACCTGTTGACATAAAAAAAAGAAAAGTACCACATGTACTTGTAGAAAGTTAAAACTGTGCAGAAAGGGGAAACAGCAACTATTGTGACTCAGTTATTTAAAATAATTTCTTATGTAGTTACATTCTTGGTTATCTCCCCTAGTCATTGCCCCTCAAAGAGAGGCTGTGTTTTTCCTCATCCTTGACCTGTCTTGGTGTCCTCACCTTCCTGGTCTGGGGACCTTGGGCTCTCTTGTTTGACCCCTGGTCTCAAATCCATTGTCTAGGACTGACCACTGAGCAGATGCTGAGAAAGGATCAGAAGACCATCTCCAGACAAGACACCAAGGTGGCCATTAGTGCAATATATATGGATTTGGAGGTAAGAGCAAAGTGTAGGTATGGGTGGGAGAGAAAGCCCTCAGTTATGTGCGTAACCTTGCTCCTCACTCCTGGCTCCCCTCCATAATATGTCTTGTACCTGTGTACCTTCTGTCATGTCTGCTGGCACTCCCACAGTCCATGACCTCTCACCGCACCACTGTGATAGGCTGCATATTGGTTTCCCTACTTCTTCTTTTGCACCCTACAAACCACTCTCCCCACAACGGCCAGAGTGATCTCTTTATAAGATGTAGGTCCGAAAAAAGCAAACATAAAACAAAAAAGATGTAAGTTGATCACATCAGCCTTCTCCCTCTGCTGCCTTTTCATTGCATTCCTTTTTTTTTTTTAAGATTTTTATTTATTTGTTTGTTTGTTTGTTTATTTGACAGAGAGAGAGCACACAATCAGGGGGAGTGGCAGGCAGAGAGAGAGGGAGAAGCAGGCTCTCCGCTGAGCAGGGAGCCCGACGCAGGGCTCCATCCCAGGACCCTGGAATCATGGCCTGAGCTGAAGGCAGATGCTTAACTGACTGAGCCACCCTGGTGTTCCTCTTTGCATTCCTAATAGAATTTAAAGGCCCTGCTGTGGTTTACAGGGCCCTCCTTGATCTGGCCCTCGCCTCTCTCTCTCTGACTTCATCTCCTTCCAGCCCCACTCCTGCACTCACACTGCTGTAGCCACACTAATTTTCTTTCTGTTCATTGGAACCATTAAGCTCATTCACACCTCAGGGCCTTTGCACTGGCTTTTGCCTTTGCAGAGCTGGCTCTTATCACTCAGGTCTTAATTCAGATGTCTCCTCTTTTAAGAGGTTTTTCCTCACCACTGTAATTGACATAATATTCTCTGTGCTCAAAAATCTAACAGTTTTTGAATTTTGTTCGTAGCACTTAATGGACTGAACTAATCAATTTCATGGTTTCCTTGCTTATTGTCCATATTCCTCTGGTAGTTTATCAGCTCCACCAGAGGTAGGACCCTGTTTCTTTTGTTTCTGCTGTATCTCTAGCACCTCTGCAGTACGTGGCAATTGTGGGTACTCAGTAAATTTTGTTGACTGGGTGAGTGAATATAACTTTGACAATGGTATTTCACTACCTGGTTCCATGTCATATTGATTTACATCATTTGACAACCTGATCTGAACACATTCCCTCATAGTCTGTACAGCTTTCTACTAAATACTAAGTAATTTCAAGAAAACAAAAGAGCCCGGTCTTTCCCCTTGCTGCCTCATTTGAGAAACAAACATAAGAACAGAGAAGGCTTGCCAAGTAGCATACATTGACACAGTACAAATCGACACATTAGAAATGCCAGGGATAGAGCACAGCCCTGACCTGAAATAGCTGGCAGTATCATCCAGTAGAAAAAATACTACCTGAGACTGTGGAGAAGATGAGTTTGGCAAAGAATGAAGGGCCAAGGGTGCAGGCATCCCGTGTCTGTTGTTATTGGTATGCCCCATTGTTCTGTTTTAGAATAAAATTAGCTCCGAGGCAAAGGCCTTGCTTGTTTGATGGCAAGAACAGGAGAGCCTTGTATGTGCCAGGCATGTTCCTTACATGATCATGCTTTAAGTTTTAAAACAATCACTTTTGGGGCACCTGGGTGGCTCAGTCGTTGAGAGTCTGTCTTTGGCTCAGGTCATGATCCCGGGGTCCTGGGATTGAGCCCTGCATCATGCTCTCTGCTCAGCGGGAAGCCTGCTTCTCCCTCTGCCACTCCCCCTGCTTGTGTTCCTGCTCTCGCTCTCTCTCTCTCTGTCAAATAAATAAAATCTTAAAAAAAAAAAAATCACTTTTGATAAAGTTTCTAGCCTCTTTTACAAATGAAGAAACTCAAGTCCGAGGAGCTTACTATACAACTCCCTGATTATATAGCTAATAGGTCATAGAGCTGATTTTCAAACCAGTTCTCTCTGAATCTAAAACCTATATTCTCCCCGTTCTACCTGCTGCTTCCCAGCACATAAATAACACAGAGTCAATATGAGATACTGTTCTTATGGAGTATAAGCCCCAGGTTAACATGGCAAGAAACCCTTCGTGAGCATGTTTTGTTGCTGGTGACAAAGAGGGTCCGGCTGAAGCTCTTATCACCGCCCTGTTTCTTCTCTTTCAGGCCTTTCTGCAGAGGTCTGGCCTCATTGCAGATCTCCATGCTTTCTGCCAGTCTCACAACTGTGATGTCCTGGTCACCATGACTATCTTTTTCAACACTCACAATGAGCCAGTGCGGCAGCTGGCTATTTTCTGTCCCCATGCAGCACTCCGAATGACGGTGAGTCTGTCCCTTCTGCAGCCTGAAGTCCCTACGGAGCTCTGCTTGTATGCACCACCCTGTGCTGTACAGACCTGTCCTTGGGGAGCACCGGGTGACTCAGTCTGTTGAGTATATTGTCTGACTCTTGATTTCTGCTCAGGTCATGATCTTATGGGTTGTGGGATGGAGCCCCACATCGGGCTCAGTGGGGGATCTGCTCGAGATTCTCCCCCTCTGCCCACCCCCTTGCGTGGGCACACACTTGCGCGCATGTGTGCACGAGCTCTCTCTCAAATAAATAAATCTTTAAAAAAAAAAAGACCTGTTTGGTTCTTGTATTTTTTTTTTAAAGATTTTATTTATTCATTTGAGGGAGAGACAGAGAGACCACAAGCAGGGGGAGAGGCAGAAGAAGAGGGAGAAGCAGACTCCCTGCTGAGCAGGGAGCCCAACATGGGACTCGATCCCAGGACCTGGAGATCAGGACCCGAGCCAAACGCAGATGCTCAACCATCTGAGCCACCCAGGCACCCCTTGGTTCTTGTATTTACACAGACGTCCCTTGACCTATTTCCCGAATCTTCCCTCCTCGCTTTTCCCCATTCTCTCTACATGTGAATATCCTTAATCATACTGTTGTTGAGAAAGAAAGATTCCAAAGACAATTAGAGACACAGTTCCTGTTTGAAGGAACTTGAAATCAGATTAAAAAGCAGTGTCATAAATCTGGAGTTAAAACTCAATTCTTGGTCTAATCATTAATTCCTCATCCCTGAAAACAAGTTCCTTTCTTTTTACCCTATTGCCTTGAAAATGGGAAACACCAGAGATGCCTTTTCTACTACTTACCCATGCAGGGATGAATTACTCTATCTACTGCTAACTCTGTAGAGAAGAAACCCAAGAGCAGGTTTGTTTTCTTTCCTGATCTGTTTGGCCACTTTTCCCACTACTTCCCCTTTCTTTTCCTCTGTTGGTTACTGATTAGCCCAGGGAAGAATTTAACAGTGGGCTTAAGACAGTCCAGGGGGCGCCTGGGTGGCTCAGTCGTAAATGTCTGCCTTCGGCTCAGGTCATGATCCCAGGGTCCTAGGATCGAGCCCCGCATCGGGCTCCCTGCTCTGCGGGAAGCCTGCTTCTCCCTGTCCCACTCCCCTGGCTTGTGTTCTCTCTCTCACTGTCTCTCTCTGTCGGATAAATAAATAAAATCTTAAAAAAAAAAAAAAAAAAAAAAAGACCAGGAACGTTTGGGATTTCTTGGGCAGTGTGAGGACTACCAAAGACTGGTCTGCATACAGTCAGATAATCTTTTGCTTCCAAAGAAGGTTATGTCACCCTTTCCTTTTCTGGAAGCAAATGTAATTTCATTTAGTGGAAGGTAGTTTGGCACTGTGGAAGGAACTACAGTTTTATTTATTTATTTGACACAGAGAGAGAGAGCGCACAACCAGGGGGAGTGGCAGGCAGATGGAGAGGGAGAAACAGACTCCCTGCTGAAAGGGAGCCCAATTCTGGGCTTGATCCCAGGGTCCCGGGATCATGACCTGAGCTGAAGGCAGATGCTTAACGACTGAGCCACCCAGTTGCCCCAAGAACTACAGTTTTAAAAGGCAGAAGGACATGTTTTCTCTCCCAGATTTGCCACTTACCTGCTCCTTGAGCTCGGGCAAGTCAATTGACTTCTGAGTCTGTACATGGCATAATATCACCCACTGATTAGTCTGATGTGATCATTAAACACAAGATCGTATGTAAAGCACATTGCAGGGCACAAAGTAAGCAGGCAGCAAACAGTGGCTCTTACTGATCATGTCATGAAGGCAAGGGTGCTTTGACCATAGGAAGTGCCTCTCCCACCTTCTGAAATGTCCCTGCCTTCTCCCCACCACACCCCCTCTGTGCTGTCCCCTGAAGCTGTGCAGATACCTGAAGATTCCCCACTGCACCCCTCTTCTCACAGTGTGCCCTCCCTTCTCCTCTCCCTCCTATGGTAGAAATTATATAAAAGAGTGATTTAGAACACTGGCTTTGGTGGTGGACCTGGGTTCAAGTGTCGGCTTTGCTTCATTCAAACTATGACCTCAGGCAATTACTTAATCCATCTGAGCCTCTGTCTCCCCACCTGTAAATGAAGGTAATACCAGTAACCATCTTATAAGGTAGTGGTAACGATTCAATGAGATGATATTTGTAAATGGTCAGACTCGGCACCATGCCTGGAATACCTTCCACCCCCACTTTGATCTGCTCATTCTTTCTGCCTCTGTCTTGCCCCTGACCTCAATCTAGATGCTTGTCCCATTGTAACTAAGGATGGAGATCAAGTTTTTAAGCACTTGAAACAACACTAGGTCAGGAGCTGGGGGTCCTGGGTTGTGGTTCAGCCTCTCCCATCATCTACGGGATTTTGCTCTCAGATACTTAAGCTCTTCAGGCTTGGGTTTACTTATCAATAAAACGAAATATATGATCTCAAATGTTTCTTCTGTTTCCAAATACTATGTGTATTAGCTAATGTGCTTTTTTCTGAAGCAATAATATTGAACTCTGGATGATTTAATTAAAAAAAAAAAAGTTTCTCTGTAAGAGAAGTCTCTATCTTAGAAACCGCAGCTGTTTGCTTCCCCACCTCATGTACCATCTCCCCATCTTGTCTCCTCTTTAGATCTGTGGAGTGCTGGAACACTCCCACTCTCCATCCCTGAAGCTAACCCCTGCCCCAAGCACCCACCCTCACCTCCAAGCCTATCTTCAGGGCAACACCCAGGTCTCTCGGAAGAAACTTCTGCCTCTGCTCCAGGAGGCCCTGTCAGCGTATTTTGACTCCATGAAGATCCCTTCAGGGCAGCGTGAGACAGAGGGTGTGTGCAGGGAGCAGGCAGACAAGGAATTGGACAGGGCAGGTAACTCCCTGGTTCCTGGACTGAGCCAAGATGAGGAGGAGCCTCCACTGCCCCCCACACCCATGAACAGCTTGGTGGATGAGTGCCCTCTGGATCAGGGGCTGCCTAAACTCTCAGCCGAGGTCATCTTTGAGAAGTGCAGTCAGATCTCGCAGTCACAGTCGACCGCTGCCTCCCTGTCTAAGAAGTGACTGCTGGGAGGGGACACGATGGTGAGAGAGGTTGCTGAACCACTTCAAATGCATGTTTTGAGATGTGTCGGCAGTTCCGTCTTCATGGCTCCGGGATCTGGTGTACTGTGTTCATGAACCGGGAAGAAGAAAGAAGTGAAAGAAAAGAGCTGCTCTGGGGATGGCTTCCTGCCTTTTCCGCAGATCTCTACCCATCAGACAAATCGTATTATTTAATTTAAATCTTCGAATCTGCGCTGACTCTCCTGTATTTCCCTGGCCAGGGGCACAGTATGATACCTGCACAGTTCCAGCAGAGTGGCACAAGAAGGTGTACCCTCAGTAAGGCTCTGTGACAGAACCAGTATCTCTCATGGAACCAAACATCCATTGTCTCCGTGTATTCATTTATCCTCTTCTTCATTCAGCTAGATAGAAAATAGAGTGTGCTTTGCAAACTCCTATTCCGTTTTCAGCCTTCAGCAGAATCCAACTCCATGATTCCTCTCTCTGTCCCCAGTTAGGTGACGGTAGCCGAGGCTGAGGTAGCTACATTTATTTGTATTCTGAGCTGATTATGACCCTTTTAAGATCGGTGGGGAGGGCGCCTGGGTGGCTCAGATGGTTAAGCGTCTGCCTTCGGCTCAGGTCATGATCCCAGGGTCCTGGGATCGAGTCCCACATCGGGCTCCCTGCTCCTTGGGAGCCTGCTTCTCTCTCTCTGCTCTCTCTGTCTCTCATGAATAAATAAATAAAATCTTTAAAAAAAAAAAAAAAAAAAAAAAAAAAAAGATCGGTGGGGAGCAGCTAAAAGACCATTATCTTCCGTCCTGGTCAACCGGCCTGGCTCTCAGTTTATTTGGATCCCTTGGTCCCAGAGCCACAGGGACCCCAGAAAGACCCAGAAGACCCCTGGTGCTTGAGAGTTTGGGCGACACCCAGGAAAGCCTTAAGACCATATAGGTACTCTTCCCAAAAGACAGAAGAACTGCAGTGAGAGCCCGGCTCTGGGCCCTGCCTTAGCGGCCCGGCAATTTCTCTTCCATCCTGTTCTCTTCTTGCTCACATTGAAAGAAAGTATGGAGTTCTAATACCGACTGCCGTGAACTGTGGGTCTCTTGGTAAGACACTTCATTTCTCTAGGCTTCATTCGCCCCGTCTGTAAAACTAAGGATCTGGACTGGATGTTCTCTGGTATTCTGTGATCTGCCTCTTGGTGCCATTGCTTCTCTCCCTGCTTCTCTGTATTGGTTTGTTTGTTTCTGTTCTACCTGGGAATGCTCAGGGTGGCTGAACTGTCTGTATTTATATGTGATTGTACCAAGGGACTCAGTTTCACGTAGCATGTACAGCGGTATGATTCATACCATAGTGACCCAGCAGAGAACTCCCCCATCGACTTGTTCTGCATGTGTAGAGTCTCCCTTTTCCCTTCAGACCAACCTGTTCCCCTTTTTCCTGCCCCACAGCCCAGCTTCATGTAAGTTGCCCGCGGTTCCACTGAATGGTGGGGTGCGTGAAACAGTTTTGGCATGATGTCTTCAGTATGAGGGGGATGGTGTGACTTCATTTTGAGGGGATGATGTCTGTAGCCGTTGGAAGGTAAAAATAGTGGTGTGATTATTGAACCAAAGGAATTTATGTTTTGTAACTTGGGTACTTTATTTTGCATTTTGTTAAAGTATTAAATACATTTTTTTTTCCTGTTTGGGGCCTTATTGTCTCTTCTTACCTCTGATAATGGTTTCAGCCTCCTCAAGATTCATCTCCCTTCTTCCTGCTGTATGGAATGTCTCCATTAACTTTTTTTTGGGAATGAAGAACAACAGTCTTCCATCTCTCCTTATCCTTGGCCGTTCATCTGTTTCTTCTTCCAGAACCCTCTTAATAACGGCGTTCCCAATCTTGCTTATGCTCAAAAAGCATAGTCTTAAAACCAAAATGTTTTTTACCATTTCCTTTTTTTTTTTTTCCCTTTTTCTTTTTTTTTTTTAAAGAGCAGCTTCCAGAAGTTATAAGGAGTCTGGAAGGGAAAACAAACTGCCTTCCTCGACTCCCCCAAGACTAGCCACTTTAGAAAATGTCCTCTCTTCCCTAAAACCCGCCCCCACATAGGCAGGGTTTTTCTTTTGGGCAAACCTGCTGCTTGGGAAGGGAAAGGAAGGGAGGTGGCAAAACCTGTTTGAAGGTGAGGTTACCTCCCTTCCATACTTCCCTCCCCCTTGGAGGCGAGAGCAACAACAGTGAGACAGAGAAAAAGAACACAGAAGTGCTGGGGACCTGGGACAACCAGCTCCCAGAAAGCTGCAAGTGTTTAAGGGAGACAGGAAGACATGTGAAGATGGGAACCACGCAAGAAGCGGGAGAAAAGACGTTAGACCTTGGGTAAGTAAGATCTGGCTCGCTTGATTGGAAATAAGCAACGAATAGTCTTGAGGGACTTTCCCACCGTCCAGCTCTGACCAGGGCAAATCTTGGCTTCCTGGAAGAGACGTGACTGCAAGAGAATGAATTTGCAGAGAAGGGATAGGGTGGCTCTAGGTAGGAAATGGGGAACTGGGGGTTTCAGGATAAATCCCTATCGTTTTGTTTTTAAAGGAAGCTTGTCTATTTTGTGTCAACTGCGTCTGTTGTCTGTTTTCTAACACCCACTCCCCAGAATGGCCCTCTGGAAAGCTGACCTAGAAAGAAATTTAGGTGCAGGTACTCCTTCCCAGCAAATCTGTCTCCCTCCTTACCTTCTTCCCCCACCCCTCCACCTCTGCCATGGTTTTTCCCTCACCACTCCCCAGTGTGGTGGAGGAAAGGCAGGCCTGACGAGGTGCCATCTTCCCCAACTCTGCCTGGTGACAGCTGGGCAGGTCTGTCTGGTTCCAGCCAGGTGTAATGTGGAATATCCTTACCCACTCTGTAGGCGGAGCAACGCCACAGAGGTAGATACGATTAGCTGGACATTCCATCTTCCCTCTGCTCCTAAGCCCCACAGGAGGGTTCATCTGTCTCCAGGAAGTGGTGGATGTGGTAGAAGTATCTGTCCCAGAGACAAGCTCTGACGTCTTTTCCAGTGTCTCCTACATACAGCCCAGTTCCCTTAAGACACTGCCTACTTGGTCTCATGATCACCCCCTCCCCCTGGGGACTCTTAGGGCCAGGGAGAATGCTGAAGCAGTGGGGCCAGCCGCATCCCTGAGACTTGGGGGACTGGAGCTGAAGGAGGAATGGCAGGACGAAGAATTCCCCAGGTGAGGACTGTGAGGGATGCTCATGAATGGCGGACCGGAAGGATGAATTAGGACTTGAAGGAAGGAGGGGTTCAAAGAAGGCAGAGGGGATAAGATAAGATAAAATCGTGGCGCGGTGGTTGCTGGGTAGCTCAGTCAGTTAAGCCTCTGACTCTTGGTTTCAGTTGATTCCATGATCTCAGAGTCTTGGAATCAAGCCCCGCCTTGGGCTCTGCACTCAGCAGGGAGTCTGCTTCCCCTCTCCCTCTCCCTCTGTGCCTCCTCCCACCAGTCCCTCAGCCCTGGCTCGTGTACTCTCTCTCTCTCTCTCTCAAATAAATAAATCTTAAAAAAAAAGAATTGTGCCTTGGTGAGAGGATTGATCAACTGATACCTGGCTTGATTCGTTTCACCTGCCTTTCTGCCCCTTTGTAATCTTTCCCCTCTAGGTTTCTTCCTGAAGAAGTGGACCCTTCTGAAGATCCTGACGATCCTGAGAGAGACTCACAGACAGGTAGGCCTCAAGTTCTTGATTCTAGGCCAGTGAAGGGCTGTGCCGCCCTCATCCGTTTGTGGTTCCCCTGCTCTTTCCTCAAATATCCCCTGTGTAAGTTCTTTAGAATTCACCCCATATATCACTACCATATGCAGGAATTCCAGCCTCCCCTGCCAACACACACATACTTTTCTATTCTTTTCTCCTCTCTCCTGACCCCAGGTACTCCCAGCACTTTAGCTTTGTGTGGCCTACGTCCCATGCGTAAGCGTCTTTCTGCCCCAGAGCTGCGACTGAATCTGACTAAGGGGACTGGAGGCGACGGAACTTCTCCCACGTGCTCCGAACCTTCCTCTCCTGATGGCAGTTCTGACCTGGACGTAGATGAAGTGGAGACCCCATCAGACTCAGAGCAGCTGGACAGTGGGCATGAATTTGAATGGGAAGGTGGGAAAGAGGCCTGAGGCCTGAGCCAGTACAAGTGGAAGCTAGAGCTGAAGCTCAGGGTGCATTTAATGGGACGAAAGTCAGAAACAATAAGGTGGGGGCCAAGTGGTAAGGTCAGCAAAATTAATTTCCTCAGAACGGAAAGGTCGAGTCTGTAGATCCAATGTGAGAGTAGTCAGTAGAGGGGTGGGGAGGGTCCTTTGTTTAGGAAGCTTTTATTGAGTGACTGTTACATGCTATTACTGGGCGAGAACCGAGTTCTAAGGGTAAGTAAGATCCGTCCTACCCTCAGGGAGTTCTCTGCTTAATAAGAAATTAACACATATACAAATAAGTGTAGTTGAAGATTATGGTCTACATATGTGTAGGGGACGGTCAGCAGGGATATGGACAAGGTCAGTTCTGCCTGAGAGGCATTAGCAAAGACTTCACAGAAGAGGTGATTCTGAGCTGGTCTTTATCAGGTAGCTGGGGAGGCATTCTAGGTAGAAGAAACAACTTGGGTAGGAACAGGGCATGTTGGACATGTTGGGGAATTCAAAGTATTAAGTATTATGATATTAAGGAAAACTTTGTTTCTTCTCTACTCACGACACTTCCGACACCAAATGTATGGATTTTACCCACACCAACTACTTCTCCACTTTTCCAGACATCAACAGGGCATCCTAGAGTTCACCTGTGGTGCTTGACAGGAGTTAGGACAGACCCCACAAGTTAAGGGCTCACCCACAAGATTGCCCTCGACTTCAGACACAAATCACATGTCCAAGTTGTCACCTGAACTTCTGAATCAGAGTGCTGTGTTAAGTTGGCAGGAGTCAAATCATGGAGGTCCTTGCTTCCACACTGAGGAGTTAAGATTTTATCCTGTAGGCAATGAGAAATCACTGAGTGGTTTTAATCAAGGGAGTAACATGATCAGATTTAATGGATCTAAAGAGGTTGGAAACAACTTAAGGTCCGTCAGTAGAGTATTGATTCTAATATGGTGCATCCATGCAATGGAATACTAAATACTAGGCAAGCTTTTTTTTTTTTTTTTTTTTAAGATTTTTATTTTTTAAGTAATCTCTACACCCAACATGGGGCTCAAACTCACAACCCCACCATCAAGGGTCAGTGTCGCACACGCCACCAACTGAGCCAGCCAGGCGCCCCTAGACAACCATTTTTTAAGATGAGGCAGCTGTTTCCATTGCTATGGAAGGATCATGCAGAATTAGTGGGTATAGTATATTGCCATTTGAGTAGGAAAGCTAGGGTAGAAAACAAAGCTTGCTCAAGCTGTGGGGTAGAGGGTGGAATGGAGTAAACAGACTAGAGACAGGGAAACCAGTTAGGTGGCTAGCACTAAGTCCAGGTGAGAAATGCTAAGAACCTGAATCAGGACAGTAGTAGTGGAAAGAATGATAAGAGAATATAATGGAGACATATGGAAGAAGATTTGGGGTCCAGTTGGCTTGAAGGCTGACAGAAGAAAATCTTTGATACCAGTTTTCTCTCTCAGCCAGCTAGATGGATGGAGTCATTCATCCAGAAAGGAAATATGGGAGAGAGGAGGAAGAGAATGAGTTCGAATTACACTTGGGTCTGGTGGCTTGGAGATGACAGAAAGACACAAACTAAAGATGTCCACTCTAAGCATTTAGGGACATGGGTTAGAGGGGCAAATTTGGAATCATCACCTTACCGGTAGTTATTGAAGACATGGGAGCAGATGAGCTCACCCAAGGAAAGGCGTGGAAAGAAAGAATCTAGAAAAAAACTAATACTGGCAAGGGCCATGGACCTACCATAGTGCAGGGTTACCTCAGGGCCAGTGTCTAGTGAAAAAGTGAGGATCGTGAGTCATAGGAAAGAGAAACCAGCAAGGCACTGGATTAATTGGACAAACTAGGGCTAGAGTCCTAGGAAAAAAAACTGAGGAATGAGCGGTTAGAGCAATCAACTCTAGGAACCTGGGGAAGGTAGAAGATACTGAAGGCATGTACCGTGCCTTATCGAGCCTTCCCCATCCCTCTCTTTCAGATGACCTGCCCCGGGCAGAGGGTCTGGGGGCCAGTGAGGCAGCAGAAACGCTGGGCCGGGGTTGTGTGTGGGATGTGGTTGGAGAAGACGGCCGTCACTGGAGGGTGTTCCGGACAGGACAGCGGGAGCAGCGAGTGGACATGACTGTCATTGAGCTCTACAAGAAAGCCCTCTCTCATGGTGGTAATGGCTCGCATACGTGGAGGGGGAAGAACCGTGACTTCTTGAATCAAATGCCGAAGTTGGAAACTCAGCTCCTGGCTTCAAAATCCTTTCTGTAACTTCCAGAGATCCTCGGAGTCCCTCAGCCTCAACAGATGTACTGTCCTACATAGTTGTGGACTGAATTTTCCCTTTGTCCTCTCCAGGTTACCATGGTGATGGCCTCAACGCTGTTATTGTCTTCACTTCCTGTTACCTACCGAGCAGCAGCATCCCCAACTATCCTTATGTCATGGAGCACTTGTTCAGGTGAGGTGGAAGCCCTGAGGGGCTTCAGGGGGATGTTAGGGAGGGAAAAGGGAAAAAAAAAACAACCCTGGGGCGCCTGGGTGCCTCAGTCGGTTGAGCGTCTGCCTTTGGCTCAGGTCGTGATCCCGGGATCCTGGGATCGAGCCCCACATCGTCAGGCTCCCTGCTCAGTGGAGATCCTGCTTCTCCCTCTGCCTCTGCCGTGCCCCTGCTTGTGTTCCCCCACCCCCGTCAAATAAATAAAAAAAATTTTTTTTTAAGATTTTATTTATTTATTTGACAGAGAGACACAGCAAGAGAGGGAACACAAGCAGGGGGAGTGGGAGAGGGAGAAGCAGGCTTCCCGCTGAGCAGGGAGCCCGATGCGGGGCTCGATCCCAGGACCCTGGGATCATGACCTGAGCCGAAGGCAGACACTTAACGACTGAGCCACCCAGGCGCCCCAAATAAATAAAATCTTAAAAAAAAGGAAAAAAGAACCCCCTGCACGATCAGCAGCTGACTGCAGAGTCTACAATAATGTCCCTCTCGCTCCCCACAACCCCAAGCGTGTACCTCCCTTGACAGTTGTGTCTCCCCCCAGGTATATGGTGGGAACTCTGGAGCTGCTGGTCGCTGAAAATTATCTGCTTGTTCACTTGAGTGGAGGCACAAGTAGGGCCCAGGTCCCACCTCTGGGCTGGATGCGCCAGTGTTACCACACTCTGGACCGGCGGTGAGCCACGAGGACAGGATGGCTGCAGCTCCCGCTGCGCTTTCTCTTTCCCTGTTTCCATTCTTTCCTCTTCCATTTTAGTCCCTTCTTCTTTTCCTTCTCCCTCTACAACCCTTACCAGGCCTCTCCTGTCTTCTGAACTCTCAGAGTCAGGGAAATCTGGTTTCAGATCTTGCCTCTGTCATTTACCTGCTCTATCATTTACCTTGGGCAAGTCACTTAACCTCCCTGGGGCTCAGTTTCCTTCTCTGCAAGATGGCAATGATGATACCTTTGCCAATGGCCATGGTGAAAACCCAATAAATCGGTGTGGCATGTTGCCGGCCACATAGAAGGTACCCCTTCCTCTCCTCCCCGTCTCGCCATTTAGTTTACCGCCCAGGCCGCCATCGTATGCTGCTCTCCGCCTTCATCCCTGACCCTTATGGCTTTGTTCCCCGCGATGTTCCTTTTCCCTTTTTCTTTCCCCCATCTTCCCTTTGCTCACTTTTCTAGCTCATTCTTTTTTGTTTTTGTCCCGGTCGTGGGGGGCATGGGAAAAGGAGTAGCCAAGAATTTATGTGAGGGTAGGGCACAGGAGGGAGATGGGGCAGAGGGATTCTGGTAAGGGAGTTGCCTAAAAATGAGGAGCATGAAGGGCTAAACACAATGGGTGGAGCTCAGATTACAGGCCAAGTTGTGGGGACTAGACCCAACTGCCAGAGAAATCTAGAAACTGCAGATGTGAAGGAAGTTAAAGCACAGAACATAGCTCCACCTGATCATCTGGCATGAAGGTGGAAGAAGAATAGAATGATCTCCTTCCTATTCTGCAGGCTCCGGAAAAACCTGCGCGCCCTGGTGGTTGTCCACGCCACCTGGTACGTGAAGGCATTCCTGGCACTGCTTCGGCCCTTCATCAGGTACCAGCTCTGAGGCCAAGGACCTCCCTGCCCCCATGTTCCAAATCAAGATTAAGAAGATTTTGCCCCACCCTGGCTCTTTCTAGCCTTAACCATGCTCTGCTTGCCACATTTCCCTTTGTAAGGGTCTCCAGGAACCCTCTTCCCAGTAACTTGGTTTATCCTCTCTTTTCAGTTCCAAGTTCACACGAAAGATCCGTTTTCTGAACAGCCTGGGAGAGCTGGCCCAGCTCATCTCCTTGGATCAGGTTCACATCCCTGAAGCTGTCAGACAGTGAGTCCCGAGCTTAAGGAGGGAAGTTTGGGGTGGGATGTATAAAGCCAGTTCCTGCTTTCTTAATGCCTTGGGGGAGATGAAGAGGAACTAAAAGATAGAGGCCCTGCTTCCACATGCTTTGGTATATCTGGGAAAACTGCACCCACCCAGAGAAGAAATTAAGGCCTGCATCCAACAAGAACAAATGAAAAAAAACTATACATATAAGTGCTGAGGCATCAGAGAATAAACGAATATTCACAGCACAGAACTTAGAGGAGATTGGGATCAGCCATAGAAGTTAGGAAGTCAAGAAGGGCAGTGAAGAGAAAATACCCAGTGGGGAGGTACTAGGGAACAAAGGAGCCTGATGACCACCAGCTCCAGCACCCAATCTTCAGACTCTTCCAATTCTTTGGCTTCTCTCCCAGACCAGTGAGTAAAACCTAGGTCCTGCTCCTGAACCATTTTTTTGTTTTTCTCTCCTAGGCTGGACCGGGATCTCCATGGCTCAGGAGGGACCTAGAGGAAGACAGGAACCAAGGGCCTTAGAACCAAGCAAAGCTTGATCTGCCTATGCCCTAACCCTGAAACATCTGGGCTGTTCCCTCAACCATCTCATCCTCAACCCCAGTACCACTGGACCTTCACGTTTCACTGGGGTGTCATTCCTCTCATGACCCTGCCTTCGAAGCAGGGCTCCAAGGTCCGGAACCTGATCTGCCTGGTGATCATCATTTCAGCTAGAGGGGTGCATGTAGCAGCATCTTGTGCAGGAAAGGGGAAGGCTGTGGGTTTTGGTCCTGCTTCAGCTGCAGAACCTTGGGCAAATAACTGCCTCTCTCTGAGTGTCCTTTTCCTCCCCTGTAAATGAAGGTGCTAAGACCCTTTCCACCTGGGGCATTCTAGCAGTCTGTGAAGCTCGGTGAGAGGTGGAGGGGAGGGCAGGGCTTAACTGACCACGCAGCCTGCTGGGAACCAGGAGTCAGCTCCCTAAATCTTGAAGAACCGCGGTTTCCTTCTTTGTCACAGCTGCTGCCTGTGAGTCTGGGAAGGAGTGCTTTCAAAACTTGTACTTTTGTCCTCTTGAGTCAAATCAGATCTGTAGCGGTTAATAAACTGCGATGCGAGATTTAAGCCCTGCTCCGAGGAAGTGCCCTATTTGCCCGGGCCCCTTACATCACAATGCGTCCGTCGGTTCTGGCACGGAGTTCTGGCCGCAGTGGTTCCTAAGCTGAAAGAGCTCAGCCCCCGGGGCTGCTCCGCGAGGGCCTGGGGGAGGGGCGTGGCGCGCGCGTAGGAGTCCCCCTCCCCCCGCCCTCCGCGGGCCGCGGTTCAAACGACCCGCCAGGTCGAGAGCGGAAGGGAGGGAGAGCAGGTAGGAGTCCCGGCCTCCCTCGCTGGCCTCCCACTCAGCCGCACACCGGCCGGCCCCATGGTCCCCGCCGCCGGCGCGCTGCTCTGGGCCCTGCTGCTGAGTCTGGGACCCCGGGCGGCGGGGGCCCAAGGCCTGACTTCCGCCGAGACGCAGCCGGCCAGTTTACGCTTCGGGGTCCCCATGTCCCGCCACCCCCCGACCACCCTCCGGACCGGTGGTCCCAGGAGGATGAAGGTAACAATAGAGGATGAGGATGACGTCGGGGCCAGTGCCGACCGCCTGGCCGGCCCGGCTGCTGCGGAGCTCTTGGCCTCCACAGTGGCCACAGGCGTCAGCAAGTCGATTGTGTCGGCCGAGGAGGATGAGTCTTTGGAAGAGGGGGTTGTGATTAACGCCAGAAAGAATAACATCACTGCAGCGTCTCTCAGCAGGAGTTACAACACAGCGAGGGTGCCCAGCTCAAGGTTTAAAGCAAATACCCAGGAGCCTGAGATCAGGATGTCTTCAGACCTGCCGACCAAAAGCTGGCAGTCTACTGGGGACATAATGCACCCTGACAATACCTTGAGCCAGTGGTCAACAGCAGGGTCCACCCCAAACCGGTGGCAACAGCCCTCATACACAGCGCTACCACCTCCGGAGGATCTGCGGCTGGTGCTGATGCCCTGGGGCCCGTGGCATTGCCACTGCAAGTCGGGCACCATGAGCCGGACCCGGGCCGGGCAGCTGCAGGGCCTTTCTGGGCGCCTTCGTGTTGGCGCGCTGAGCCAGCTGCGCACAGAGCACCGGCCTTGTACCTACGAGAAGTGCCCCTGCAACCGGCTTCGGGAGGAGTGCCCTCTGGACTCGGATCTCTGCTCTGACACCCGCTGTACCACTCAGACCACCCCCACCAGTACCACCACCACCACCACCACCACCACCACCACCACCACCACCACTCCCATACCCCCCCTCAGCTCTAGAATCAGACCCACCCCCTTCCTCTTCTTTGGCCCCAGCCGCAGCCCCAGTCCAGCCCTTGCTTTCTGGAGACGGGTCAGGATCGGGCTGGAGGATATCTGGAACAGTCTGTCTGCAGTGTTCACAGACATGCAACCAGTAAGTGTTTGCATGAGGTGTTACTTACCTCGTTTGGTCACTGATGCATAATATACTGGTTACATCGTTAGCCACTGAGTCCACCTATTTCTTGAGCCACTGCTGGTTGGTTAATGGGCAATGTGTATCATTGGTCATGGGAGGATTATTGCCCAAATTGTGAAGATTAGAGATATATCAACAATGCTTGATGCAGATAATAGATATGGAAGATATTAATAGTTCTCAGTTTATTAATGCAATTTAATAGTAACAGCCAAGGGCGCCTGGGTGGCTCAGTTGGTTAAGTGACTGCCTTCGGCTCAGGTCATGATCCTGGAGTCCCGGGATCGAGTCCCGCATCGGGCTCCCTGCTCGGCGGGGAGTCTGCTTCTCCCTCTGCCTCTGACCCTCCCCCCTCTCATGCTCTCTCTCATTCTCTCTCTCTCAAATAAATAAAATCTTTAAAAAAAAAAATAGTAACAGCCAATATTTGAGGTCTTACTATGTGCACTTGACCTGGATCAATCCTCACAATGCTGTGAGGTATAATTATCCCCACTTCACAGGTGAAGGAACAGGGATTTACAAAGCTAGTAAATGACAGTCACAACAGGATTGGTTGACCCTAGTGCTGATGCCCCTAACCACCACTATCGCAAAGAACCCCTGGGATTATCTCCAGCAATTTAAGAATTCTTCGGGAAGGATAGTCCTCTGCTTTACTAAATGAACTACCAAAGGCTCTGACTGGATAAAATATTCTCAATTGACAGGATTTCAGGAACTTTGGGGAGAAGGGAAGGACGATAAAATAGTATACGTGGTCTGTCATTTTGCCAGTTTTTGTCTTTCTCCTTGGGTATCCAATACCGTTCAGTATAAAAAAGCAGCATAAACAGGGGTCAGTGGTGTTGAAGGAATGAGGGCTTCTGGGGAGGGAGATGAAGCAAGGAAGGGAAAATATAGATGTAGTTATAATATTTCCCCTTTTTCTCTATTTTGTTTCCTTACCCAGATAGAGAGAAACCGCAGGTAATGGACACTTCATCCACAACAGAAGGTGTCAGCATCTCAACCTTTCCACCCTTTTCGATCCCAGCACCCATTGGATATTTTTAGTACAGAAAAACAAAACTAGAAAAAAAAAATGTTTGGTCTTGTGTCTTTTTACAGAGGTATCTGAGGGTGGAGACCAGAAATCTCTTGAACCTTAAAACTGAACTGTGTAACCAGCAGCATCGGGCCTGATCCCTTCCCTTGCCCCCAGCATATTTTATACTCTCCCCCGCACCCCAGGATAAAATGTTGATGTTGCTCCTCTTCTTCACTTGCAAAGTTGTTTTTAAATAAGTGATTCTTTAAAGACTTGAAAAATCTCAGAAGAATGCCAAGAGGAGGGAACAGGAAGAACAGGGAGTTGAACCCTTGAAAGATGGTGGTCTTCTCCTTGCCTCCACAATACTTGGCCTTCTCTCCTTGCAAAGGGTGATGTTGGCACAAAATTCCATGTCAGCTACTTTTTAGCAGTTACCTTCATCAACCATATTTATCCTTTGACCCAAAACATGCCTGTAGTGATTACTCTGTGACTATTTTGCTTAAACATTTTTTATTTGAAAAATGTATTTAAAAGTCCAACACATTTTAATATAAATTATGACTCTCAAACCCATTCCCATCACTTTTTAAGTATTGTTCAAGTGATGGTAGCATATACGTTAGAAAAGGTGGCTAAAGGCAAGAGAATACCAAAGACGACTGTGTCCAAAGAAGAGGCATTAGGACAAGGCGGAAGATCGGGGTGACCAGAGTCCATGTGTCCCCCATCCTTCTCCCCTATCCTGTGAACCCTTCAGATTGACTATAGCCCTCAGGTTATTAAGCTACTTTAGGACAAGATGAGCTACTTTCAGAACAACTAGGTAGATTGGAACAGAGTCAATTGGGAATGTATGACCAACCCTAGACCCTGAAAAGTGGCAGGAAATACACTGAAATTGGAACAAAATTAGAAGGTGTCACTATAGGTGGGGCAAACTTGATGGATGGTGGACTCAGCAGAGTGGATCCTAGTTCCCACCTTCCTGACCCCCCTCACCATCAAGATGCTTCTTGTTGCTGAGCTAATGAGAGACCCCCATCCTGTCTCAGAGCAGGAGGAGCTCACTGGTCATGTTCCGCCTTCCTAACCACCCTGCAAGGGAGGGGCCAGAAGAAAAAACACCTGAGAAGAAAAACTGCCTAAAGACCCTGCTCCTGCATTATTTTCCCACCTAACGCAGACTCTTCAGCCAGGTGGGGAGTGGGACCTGGTCTTCAGACAAAACTCCCTGAGTCTTATTTGTGTCTGGTTCTAGGACTGGGGCACAGAAATAGAGCTTAAAGTTTGCAGAGGATAAACCTGGGTGTCTGTGACCCTACTGCTTTTTCTCTCTCCCTTCCCCAATCTCGCCATACTCTGTTCCTGCCTCCATACTGCAGGAACCCCTCCTCCAAACAAGAATGGAGAAGCACAGTACGCATCCATCAGGGACATGAACCCATGCAAGCACAAGCAACACACTGAATAAAGGACTGTTTCAGACATTATGTGCAGCCCTATAGAGCCTACTTTGCAAGAGGGCCTGGTTCATCTATGGCTCAGGCTTAGGATGAATAATGGGATGGGGGTAGGGTGGGGAAAACACTTTAAAGAAAAATACCTTGAGTCTAGAGCAGTGGCTCTCATCTGGGGGTGATTTTGCCTCCTAGGAGACATCTGGCAATATCTGGGGGCATTTCTGGTTGTCCTAACTAGGGTGGGCCAGATACACTACTGAACATCCTAAAATGCACAGGACAGTCCCCTATTACAAAGAATTATCCAACCCAAATGTCAGAAGTGCCTACGTTGAGAATCCTTTGCTCTAGAGGTGTCCCTGCTCCCATGCGGAGAGAATCTTAAGATCCCTAAACTCACAGATGATTGTTTTCAACCTACCCTCTCAATCTCAATGGTTAGGAAGTCCACTCTGAGACACACTTCCTAGTTTTGCAGCATTCTGAGTTTCTCTCCAGATCCCTCTTCCTCCTCACCTGGGCCAGCAGGGAGATTGGCAGAGGGCAGGCCAGGTCCCCAAGACTTGAATGGGGTACCATCAGGTTAAGACCCACTTCTTACCTTAGCTCTCATTCAATGGGAAACAATAAGGTTCCTACTGGGGATGGGACTAAAGGTAGAGGTAGTAGAAGGAGGGGGGTAATTAAGAGAACTCATCTTAAGTTACATTTTTAATTAAAAAAGAAAAAGATGTTGGAGAACTCACAGTGCTGCAGAAACAGGGTTAGAGGCCTACTAGACAAAGAGCTGGTAGTGGCAGAGAGATATCGAGGGACCATGAGCTGAAGGTCTGAGATCTAAAGAGAAAGAGGAGACTAGGCAGTGGTCACCCTCCCATCCCCTGCTTGACCTCTGTTTCAGTTCATTCCAGGAGGAAAAAGGAGAAGGGCAGGGAGGTAAGGAGCTTCTCAGCAAAGCCGGCTTCAGCTTTGGTAATCTCACCCACCTACCCCATTTAAGGAGTTCCAGGTTAAGAGTTTAAAAACAGATGGCACCTAGACCGTCATTCAGGAGAAGGGAACGCCTTCCAGGTTCCCAGAAAACTCCTATCTCAGATCTGAGTGTCCAGGGCTTCAGCTGAGCTCCTCTGGCCAACCAGTAGTCACTTGGTCAGTCCTGCTGCCTTGAGCCCATCTCCAGGAGGGGCTAGAGCCAGAGGGAAGAGAGGGAGTCCAGCCCCCAAGCCTTCTGAGGTACTAATAGGCAGAGAGGGAAAAGAGGGGCCCTGGGGTCACTGGTTCGAGGAGGGGGTAGCATCTCTTCTGGGCTGGACATGGAACAGAGGCTTCAGACAGCAGAACCTGATTAAAAAAGAAATTGAAGAAGGAAGATAAGCCTCAAGGAAAACTGAGGCGTCAGGGAGAAGGCACCACCCAGCGCAGACTCTCAACTATTTCTAGGGTGCTCTTTTCTTGATTTCTGTCTGCACCTCCCTCTCTCTCTGCCTTTCTGCATCCGAAATTCTTTCTATTTTTTTTTTTTTAATTTATTCATTTGAGACAGAGAGACAGAGAGAGAGCAGGAGCAGTGGGGAGAGGCAGAGAGAGAGGGAGAAGCAGACTCCCTGCTGAGCAGGGAGCCCGACGTGGGGCTCGATCCCAGGACCTGGAGATCATGACCTGAGCTGAAGGCAGAGGCTCAACCATCTGAGCCACCCAGGTGCCCCTACATCTGAAATTCTTGACTCCCCCATTGTAATTCCTTCTTCCTCCTCTCACCTCCCATTCTTGCAGAGGATAGGGGTTCTGAGGCAGGGCATCAGGATGTGTTGACGGGGGCTGGAGGTACTGAATGGGTTTCTCTAATCACTCACCATTTCTGTTGGAGCTACAATCCCCTAGAATTGCTCCATGGCCTGTCTCGGTTTCCCTTGGATCTCATCTGCTCCTGAACTGCACCTGTCTGTGAAAAAGCACATGTGAGACCCTCGTCCTAAGTCTGGATATTGCACAGTAAGTGATCGCCCCTGTGCCCTCCATGGAAGAGGCTGACCCCATCTCCCTGGCAATAAAGTCAGTCTGAAAAGGTGAAAACCAACAGCCATTCTTCCAAGGGAAGTCTCAATGTATCCCTTCATACTGACTCTCCTGAGGGTGAGATAAAATGGGTCTCTGACTAATAAGACCTCTCACAAAGGACTCTCATATTTATCTGAGTTTCACAATTGGTGAAAAGCCTCCTTCACTATCTCCAGGCCCATTTCCCTTATTTTGAGAGCAGAAAAGAGTATTTGATATTTGACATCATTTAGGTCAGGGGCGCTCAGCTCAGCCTTTTTCCTGCCTCAACACACCCAGCCACGATATGACTTACTACGGCACTGGAATAGCAGTTCTTCATTAACAGGGTTTTGGTTGTTGGAGAAAGCCCTCCAAATAAGTCTTGAGTCATATATATCCCCCATCCTGATGAAGAACAATATGCTAATTGTAAAAATGAGGGAACCTAGGCCAGAGACCTGAAATGCCAGGTCTCAGGTTTATGCAGCTGGTGACCAGGACTAGAATCCTAGTTCCAGGATTACTTCCCCACCAAGTATTTACCATGTCCCCAGCTTACACTTCAAAAAAAGGGGAAAGGTTCTAGGTCACAATCCCATATCAATCTCTCCCCATTCTCTTGTTACCATGGCAAGTCCATCTCCGGCCCCCATCTCCCCAGAGCCAATGTGAGTCAGGTGGACAAAATTCATTGGTTCCCCAATCATGGTCCGGTCAATTCGTCTCCTCTTCTTTTTCTGCTTAGAGAAGACAGGGGAGTTAGGTCTGAAATTGGAAGAAGGGAATAGAGTCTTGAAAACCACTAGGGGAAGAGCTAACGGCCCAATGGGCAAAGGTATGTGGCATTACAACAGGGAAATCACTAGGGTCTGAAAGGTAAGTCTGGAACAACATAAACACAGAAAGGACACAGGGAGGGTGGTGAGGGCAGGGACCTGCAGAGTGAATACTAGACAAAGAAAGGACATATCCAAGTCACCTCTGGCTGATGAGGAAACAATGGGGAAAAGTGACCGGCATTAAGCGCCACCTACAACCCCTGCCCAGCTCAGAATGGACAGAAACAGGAAGTGATAGCTAGGACGATTCACTTCCTCCGTCACCCAGTCCCCCTGGATTCCACGTACACACCTGCCTGGCCAGAGAGACTATCCTGACGGAGAGGGAAGCAAGCAGCTTGCTTTCTAGGCACCAGATCGTGGGTGGTGTGTCTGCCTCACAGGCCCCGGTAACTGACTTCTGTGAGTGCCGGGGTGGGGGTTGGGCCTGGGGACTCACCGGCTGGGGTTTCTCTACCACGCAGCAACCCAGTTTGTGCCAAAATTCACTCATGTTCCCTGATGGTTCCAGTTTCACTCCTCTGCCTGAGGCCCCAGAGGGCTCTTGCTCTGGTGCCTTGACTGCCCACTCCTCAGTCCCCTCAGGTGTAATGGCCGCCTGGTCTGCTCAGCTGCACGGGTCTGGGGACAGCAGAGTCCAAGGTACCCTTGGCTGGGCGGGGAGGGTCAGCGTCTCGGACCCTGAGGGGCTAGCAGGGCTGGTGAGGGTGCGCAGGCGGGCACGAGGTTATGTCTTCCTCAGACGCAGAACTCTGGTTGAGCAGAAAGTAAAAACAGAAGAAAGTTAGTGCGAAATCCCACTCTACCACTGCTCCCTCCTTGAGAAGCCTCCTGATGAGCCCAGGTCTTCTCATTCTCCCTCAAAGTCCTGAGTCCTGCACCCAACACTAACCCCTCCAAGCATAAGGACCTCACAGTTTGACTCCCAGAGAAAGGAAAAGATCCAGAAGCGCACAAGGGGTAGAGGAGCAGTAGCTGCTGGAACCAAGGGAGAGGAAGGGGACAGAAGCATTTAGGGTGAGGATGGGAGGGGCCGAAGGATGGTGGCAAAAATGAGCAAGCCCCACCTCCCGTCTCCCTGGGTTTAGGGCAGAGAGGGAGGGGCAGTTCAGTGACTCTGAAGAGGAAATGGTGGTTTTTCGTTCTCACAAACAGGGCCTCCGCCCTTGTCCCTCCCTTTTTCCTTACCTTACCCTGAACATCTAGATTTTCTTTTTTTTTTTTTTAAGATTTTATTTATTTATTTGAGAGAGAGAATGAGATAGAGAGAGAGAGCATGAGAAGGGGGAGGGTCAGAGGGAGAAGCAGACTCCCCGCCGAGCAGGGAGCCCAATGCGGGACACGATCTAGGGACTCCAGGATCTTGACCTGAGCTGAAGGCAGTGGCTTAACCAACTGAGCCACCCAGGCACCCAGAACATCTAGATTTTCTTTAAGACAGAGACCTGTCTGCTCAGGTTGCAGGTGACTAACTGCAGCAGGTTGGACCTCAAGTAAGACTTTTCCTACAGGGAGGAATTTCTTCCCTCTCTATTCCCTGCCCTTGCTCCTCCTCATTTCCCTCAGCTGAGATCCAACCTCTCTCAGAAGCTTTGAGAGCCTTCCTGAAGGCTGTCTCCAGTCTGTTTATCTGTGTCCCATGTGTGCACTCCCGTGGCATGGCCGCATCTGTGCGTGTACCAGGTGCCATACGTTCCCCGAGGAATCCTTCTCCGGCCTCCCCACCCTCCTCATATGTCCCATCGTGCCACTCTGCTCTGCCTCACACCCGGTAGGGCCCAGGCCTCCCCACCTGCCTCCTCCCATCATGCTGGGACCTGTTCTCTCCTCCCTCCTCACCACTTCCATTCCCAAGCTTCATCAGCCAACCAGACACAAGGAACTCTGCAATAGCGTTAGTGTCCAAGGAAGAACTTCCTCCCCTTTTCCTCCCTGCCAGCCAGGGTAGGGCCCATCTGGGTTTCCTCTGTGCTCACTGCACGTCCCCAGTCCTATGATACAGGCAACCTCAAAGATGCCAAACAGGGCCGTTTCATGACTATTACACTCTAGCATGAACTGGAATCTCTCTCCCTTCCGGGCCTGGAGCCCCGATGCTCTGGCACTCTAAACTGATCTAAGAAATGAAAGGATTTTTTTTTTTTTTTAATAGCTCTGGGATGAGGTCACAGGCACACTGAGATACAGCTTGAAGGGGAGAGAAGGACCCAGGAGCCTGGGCTTTTGCTTACTTCCCCTCCCACCACTGGAGGGGAGGAGTAATGGGACAGGGCGGAAGTCAGAACACAGCTGTCCAGAGAGGGGAGCTGTGGTCAGTGGGGAAGTCAGTCAGTCACACGGTTTGTCGCAATGGTGGTGGTGGCGACTGGTAAGGGTTACAGGCGGGGGAATGAAGAAAACAATGAAGAATCAGAGGAAACCCCCAACACCACCAGACAGACTGTACAGAGTGTGGACTCTCCCCCAACACCCCTTCTGAACAAAGCTGAGTGGACAGAAGTGGAGGGTGGGAGGGGAGAGGAGAGAAGAGGGGAGAAGAGAGGGAGGGAAAGGGGCAGTGGAGGGAACAAGGACGTTTCTGTTCCCTTTCCAGGGACCTGGCCAGAGCTGGGTGGAGGGAAAGCGTATGTGGGACTTGGCACGAAAGGGCCAATGATGATGAGAAGTGACCAGGAAATTCCATTCCCTAGGACATAGAACATAAGGGTCTGAAACTTGGCAGTGGGGTCAAGAGTGTGGAGAAGACTGGGCAGGGTGAATGTGGCAGTGGGGTGGGGGTGGGGGGCCAGGACCAGAAAAGGAAGTAAGAGCAACCGGCTGCCACTCTCCTTCTTTAAAATATCTAGAGAAGAGTGGGCTGAGGAAAAATGAAGTCCTGGGCTGCTTAGCCCAGGAGGAAGAGGCATCCAAATTCATTGTCCACTATTTTCGTGTGCCGTGCCCCCACCCCCCCACCCCCAGCGGAGGGGAAGGGGCTGGGAAAACGGCAGGAGGAATCAGCATTAGACTGTGTAAGGCCATATCCTGACAGACAAGCAGCACTGAGAACTGGGCCAGAGTCCCAGATAGGAAGGGTGAAACATGGAGCTAGGAGACACCAAGGTCACACTGGGGCTTAGGAGCTTCCAAACTATAGTGAGTGAGCAGGAGGAGGGATGGCAGAAAGGTTCCAGAGAGGATGTACAGAGGTAGTTCCCGGGTCCCGTCCTAACCTGAAACCGGTTTTCCCGGTCCCGCTGCCTTCAGCCCCAAGGCCTCCAACCCGCTGCCCGACAAGCCTTCACAAGAAGCAGCTGGAGAAAGAGAAAGAGAAAGAGAATTGAGAGAACAGAGTGGGCAATTCTGGCTCCAAGCCCGGGGCTGCAGCTGGTTCCTTGTGGAGACCTCCAGACATGGAGGGCTGCTGAGGGGCAGCAGAGACGTAGGGGGACACGCACTTTCCAGTCAAGTGACAGGCATCTGACCCAGCACCAACTGTGTCCTTCCCCCAGGAAAGGTCTTGTGGGGGCTTACGAGGAAACAGGGCTAGGCCCTAAGCTCCCTCCCCAGTGGATTCAGTCCCAGAGACTCCATGTCTGCCCGCTCCCCAACTCTACCCAGAAATCCTCTGCTCCTCCCAACGCTGAACTAGGACTGGGATCTCCCTGGGAATCTTTCGGGCTCTGTCACTGTCTTCCGCGGCTGCTTCGGGCTCAGACTTAGCCCTTCCAGGGCCCCGCTGTGCTACACTCAGTCCCGCAACCGCCACCACCGAGGTTAGCGAGTCTCCAGGAGAACTTCTCCCCCTCTCGCCTCCGCCCGCCCCGGCCCCCCAGGCCCTTCCTGCCCTCGACTCTACGGCGGCCTCGGCGTGCGCGCCACACGAGCGGCGGAGCGGAGGGAGACTGTTACTCAGGGAGCGCACCCCTTCTCCCACCGACCCAGCATCTCGGCAGCCCTGGCCTCCCTCCAGCCCCCAGCATCCGGTGCGTCTCCGCCCGGCAGGGCAGGCGGGGCGCGCGGGCCGGGGACCCACGCGGCGGTCTCACCTGCCGTGCTCCGGCATCGAGGCGTACGGCTGCAGCGGGCGCGGCTGCGGCTGCGCGGGGGGGCTCCCGCTCCGGGCCCGCCAGTGTGGGCTTCCCGGGCTGGCTCCGCGGCACGGCGCGGCAGGGGAGCCGAGGGCGGGCGGGCAGAGGTGGGGCTGGCTTAGGGCGGAAACGGCGGCGACGCGATTACGAAACCCGTCCGGCCCGGAGCTGGGCGCACTGCTCCCCCTGGACTGGTGAGGCACTGCACCACGCGGGGCCGTGGGAGGGGGCCTGGCAGCCCCCGACGGCCGCCGCCCGGGCTGCGCGAGCCGGGATCGTGGAGCCCACGAGGGGCTCTCCTGAGCCGGGCGCCCAAGCTGCGCTGCCCGCAGTCGCACGTCCCCTTTGCGCGCCAGGCATTGCGGGGCAAAACTAAGCGGAGCCCCCAAATCCCCCGGACCCAGCCAAGTTTAGAGATTCGCAGTCACCCCCCGCCCCCATACGCACACACACAACCCCCAGTCCTCTTGTGCTCTACCCAAAGTGGAATGGGGCTAGGTTTATTTACTCATTGTGAGGGTGCGGAGGCGAGTCGCAAGAGTAGGGATTGCAGGGAGGGGTGGAGGATTTTTCTGATTCTCAAAAATAAAATACTTCGTGACTTGAAATCCATAAATTGGGGAATAAAGGGACACTCCTCTATTGTTATCTAGAGCTAAGCTTTTTAATCCATAAGCCTAAAATTAAGGGACAATTAACTGCTCATTCATTGCACCCCAGTCAGCATGGGGGTGCTGTAAGAGCTCGGGAATAATTGTGCCGACCAATAAGCCTACGGAGATGCTTTAATCCTGTCTCCCTCCCTAAAGTGTTCTGGAACCTATCATTTGAATTAGCCGAGTCAGGCAAGGAGGGGGCGGGGAGTCCTTCCGCCCTTCTTAGGAGGGGCTGCATTGCAGGGGGAGACTGAGCAGATAGACTCAGCCACAGAAGAGGGAGAGGGAGTGAGAAGACAAAGCCGTCAAAGCCCCAACAGCTTTTCCTCCCGCCCAGAGCAGACGCCGGAGCCCCCGAGATACTCCTTCCATCTTTGGAACACACCAGTAATTCACTGACAACAGGTAAACTGAATTGAGGGAAAGGGGGCAAGGGGCTGCAAAGATAGAAGAGCAGCTGCTTCTGGTTAGGTTGAAGACCCTAAATAAGGATAAGGTTGGGGGACGGCTCAAGAGGAGAGAAGGGGGCGCTATGAACAATGAGTAGTTTTTTGGTCCTCTTGTTATATCTCTTTGCTAAGATCTCCATCCTTGCCTTCTAATCCACAGACATTAATTTCTAACAATTTACATGGAGCTATCATTTCTCAGCATTTATCTCATTTCAAGTATCTATTTTTCTGTATTTTGTCTTATGTATTTTATTATCTTCAGTCGTTATCTGTATCTTCTTTTTCAAGCTATAATTTGTTTTACCTGTTTTTTGATGACTCTCTAGTCTTCCTGTATTGCTCCAGCCTGTACTTCCCTATATTTACTTTTTTTTTTCTGTAGTGTTCCACTGATGTGTCTACCTTCACCCCAAACTGATTTGTCTCCATAGGAGGGAATTTGGGGGAAGGGATGAGATAATATTGAAAGTAATCCTGACCTCTCTTTTAACAGTCTCCCACTCCCTTTCTCAAACCTTTGCTCCAAAGAAAGAGGCAGCTTGAAGTAGGAAGGCGGAGGCCTCTATGTTGGAGAACTGCCTGATCCCACATTGAAATCAGTACAGCGCACAAAAGCTACATATGGTGGCAGATTCTGGAAAAGGAATGCTTATTTGCAGCTCAGTGGGAATAGATGGGGGGAGGGCATGGCTAACAGGAAAATCCAAGACCAGAATGAGGCAAATATAAGGAGATGCCAGAGAGCTTCCATCCCCTCCAACCACCATCCCTTGTCCTCCTCCCCACCCCACCCCCAAGGTGGCAGCATGACACAGCAAGGCCCTGTTGGGCAGGCCTTGGATTCCCACAGAGGGTCTAGACAAAGGGTATTTGGGTGTGTCTGTGTGGCTCAGAGAGAGTGTGTCTTTTTATACCATGTATTTGCTGATCATGTATCTCTAAGAATAGATGGTGATATTTAGAAATTACCTTTGCCTAAAACATCTGGATAATTTAAAATGAAGGACCGTTAGAAGTATTTATTGAGCGTATATTGTAGTCCAAGCCCTTTAAGGAATGTAAAGAAAGATGAGGTATGGGTGGAGAACATTTGGGGAGGGGAAGAGAAAGCTTGCTGGAAAAGGGACCTCTTGCAAAATTTGGAGATTTGGGAATTAAATCTGTACTATATTAAATACCAAAATTTCATTACTAATGAATGTAATGTAATGTAGATGGTATTTTAATTTCAATTTTCTGTGTAGTCAGTGTTCTTGACTTGATTTTAAATGCCATACATGCTTGTGTGAGTGTCTTTCTAGAATGCATTTGGTACTTTATGTACATGTCTCTGAGTCAATGGCGTAGCCAGAAATTTTAGGCCTTGTGAGTTAATATTTCACAAAATTTCCTTTAGCATTTTTAATTGCAGGACACACTCTGCCAGACACTCAGGGATTGTTTGGACAATTTTTATATATACTCTGGTTTTAAGAAAAGGACTCAGTTTGTCAAAGAGCTTTTTCCCTCAGATTCTAGCTTGCTCTCTACTACCTTTTGCATTTTCATCATTCAGATCAGAATCACAGGAATAATCAACACCTAATCCATTGAATATCTGTTCTTCAGGAGCGAGTTTTGAGAATATTGGTATAGGATTATATAAAACTGTGGACAACTATCTATGTGCAGCACATCAAAAAAAGACCAGATTGAGAATGAGACCTGGATCCAACTGGCTAGAAGGCTTCAGAAGTCACTAGATAATTTGTAACATCTTTTCTCTTTTCTTTTCTTTCTTTCTTTTCTTTCTCTTTCTGTCCTTCTTTCTAAATATACACTACGTTATAGCACAGAATATATTTATTTATTCATTTTTAAAGTAATCTCTGCATCCAACATGGGGCTCAAACTCACAACCCCAAGATCAAGAGTTGCACAGTTCACCAGCTGAGCCAGCCAGGCACCCTGAACATGTTTCCTAGTTTTAAAATCCTATGGGCTTTTTCCCCCCTATGATTCTATTTTTTAAAGTACATATTATATGCCCAGCATTATACTAAGCTTGCTCTGGAGGGGACTGGTAAGGGAGGGGATATAAAAGAAGCCAGCAAGGTAGGCAAATAACTGGTAATCTTGGTGGGGGGTGGGGGGGAGCGGGGTGGGGGGAGGAAGGAAAGAAACAAAATCAGAAAAAACAGGACAAAAAAAAATCCCTGTGGTTAGTCAGTAGTCAGTAACACTGATGATTCCTGAGGTTTGCATCTTGGGATCTCTGTAGTCCCAGACTGAAGCTGGAGTTGGTAGGCTGAGAGGTACAACCATTTTTTTGTACCTCTCTTTCTGTACACGTCTCTGCAAATTACTGTGGAGATGATCAGAGCTGAATATCATAGGATGATGACCTCACCTTTCTAACATGCTCCCCCACCCTGTTCCAGTCCCCACATAACCCTCCTTCTAAGCAGCTTCTCTGCTGAGTAATGCTCAGTTCCCAAGGTTTATTTTGGAGTCTGAACCTCAGAAGAGAAAGAGCAACTGACAATTGGCTTTTAACATTAAAAACATCCTAGGCTGCCCACTTTTCCTAAGCCCCTACACTCACACATAACTGCTCTAGATTAAGACGTTGTTTTTCGGCCTTAGTTGAGATGGTTCACATTACCTGGGGTTATAGAATTTCTATAGTGTAATGGTTATCATGTTCGCCTAACACATTTTATGGAGGCAGTTAGGAACCTATTTAAGGCCACTATTTAGGACCCTCAAGGCCTGGTAGGAGCCAATGGAGTGTGCTGGGAGGAAGGCCTTTTAAAATGGGGGTTTTATTTTTGGAGGCAATGGAATGTCCTTTCTGCTTCTTTGGGAACATTTCAACTAATGCTTTGGCCCCTTCCCTTGGCTAGTAACCAGCAGGGTGCAGAAGGTAGAATAGTCATATATCAGGATGTGGGTGGGATGAGCAGGAAAGGTGATAGGAGCACTCGTTAAAGCATGGAACAGTATCTAATCCTGACAAGGGACTTTCTCCTTCCAATCTAAGCTCTTACTCTCCTTACCTGGAATTTCCAATCCATTTGCTCTCAGGTATAATCTAGCATTGGGATCAAAGAAAAAAGGTCTTGTTATAGCACAGGAAAATTCTTTTAGCACCTGGGTTTTGTTTTGAAGGAGAGATAGGCTAGAGCGAAATATAGGCTGTTAAGACTTATCTATGGGCTAATAATAGATGGGGGGTGGCAAGTTATGGATTGTATTAAATAGTGAGAGAAAATTAATCAACAGTTTCGAATGTCTTTTGTGTGCAAAGCCCAGCACCTATGAAGAAGGTATAAAGTAGACTGGTTTTTACCTTTAGAGAAACTGTTTCTTGCAGGAGAGAGACTGTCCCTATACAAGACACATAACAGTGATCTGTAGCCCCAAACTGATAATAGGTAAAACTCTACAGGGTGTTGGCAGAGATGCTGGAAGATACAGGGTAGGGGGAGCTGAGTAAGTTTAAGGAAGTCCTCCAGGAAAGGTGAGTTTATAGTAGGGTTTAGAAGGCAGGGAGGAAAACAGAAAGCAGAAATGTCATGGAAGCCCTTTATAGAGGTACCTATTAAGCCAAAGTCAAGAAGTTGAGGATTTACTAACATAATAAGGATTCAGGGGAAAGATTCCTCTAAGGACTTGAATTCTTCTAGGGACTCCTCCAGTAGTCTTTAAACTTAGGTAGTTATTTTAAGATGGAGAGTAGAGAGGAGCTTTCAGGTTGGTGAAAACACGTGGAGATGTGGGAGAGCAGTATACCTGGAGAGGGCATGGAAGCTCTGCACCCTTTCCCTATATCCCTGGCCTTGTGCATCTCTTCCATCTGCTGTTCCTGAGTTACAGTCTTTTATGATAAACTGGTGATCTAGTAAGTAAAAAAAAAAAAGGAAAAAAAAGATGGAGAGTAGAGGAAAAAAGCAGAGAATAGAGAAAGGTAAGTAAGAGAGGAATGAGCATAACTAGCAGAGAATGTGCTACTGCTAGGAAGGTTGGGGCCAAATTCTAGAAAGCCTTGAAAACCAGGCCCAAGATTGACATGAAGGAGTAGGCAGTGAATTAAGTCATTTCAAGATGGGGAGAAGTTAGGAAATGGTAGAAAACCATCATAAAGGAAGAGGTCCCAAAGCTCATTCTAGGGAACTTGGATCATGTACAGAGGCAAATGGGGATGTAAAGTTTTTAAGTAAGGAAAGGCTATGGGCCATGAAGAGGTTGCTGTAGCATGAAGACTAACAAGTGGTTTCTTTCTAGGAAGTTATGAGGGACCCCGTGAGTAGCCAGTACAGCTCCTTTCTTTTCTGGAGGATGCCCATTCCAGAACTGGATCTGTCGGAGCTGGAAGGCCTGGGTCTGTCAGATACATCCATCTACAAGATCAAAGACAGCAGCGCTGGCAAAATGACCGGGCAAGCAACTGGAGAACAGGAGAAAAACTCCGAAGGCGATGCCCTCCTTGAATACAGCACCTTCAACTTCTGGAGAGCTCCCATTGCTAGTATCCACTCCTTTGAATTGGATTTGCTTTAAGCCCAAGACTTCTCTCTCCCACCACCTTGCCCTCACCGTCTTCCCTTTCAAGCCCCTTCCTTTCCACCCTTTTCTCCTATTAATCTTGCTCTCTCCCCTCTATTGTGTTGAGGTGGTGCTGATGAATCTGCCAGAGTTGTGTTGTATTTATTTATTTATTTATTTATTTATTTATTTATCTATCTATCTATCTATTTCTCTATCTTATCAGTTTCTCTCAAAAGCTCTTAAGCCACAAAGAAAAGGGTTCAAGCAATGGAGTACTGGATCACAGGGATTCCTTCTTTCCCCTCCCCAGATACTAATTCCAGATAACAGGCCTGGTGGGGGCACCAGAGAGTAGTACAGTGGTACAAAATGGAGGACCGATTTTTTACTTCATTTTAATCAGCATTAGAGATTGCTCAAACCTAATTTCCTGCTCCATATCAGTAAACACAAATCTTTCTTCCAGAGTTGATGAAAACCTTAGAAGTTTTAATTTGAGATTATCTGCTACAAGACAGTAGGATTTCTAAAAGGCTAAGGTGATAAGTCTCTTGCTATTTGATCCTGCTCCTTGTAATACACTTTTTCTCAGAGAAATTGGGGGTAGTTAAAAGTATAAAACAAGAGGAAATAATACATCATGGAAAATTAAAATAAGGGAAAGCATGGAATCATTTCAGAAATAACCATTCTCAAAAGGGTGTTCCTCCTTCAAGCCTACTCACTTTATAACTTTGCTCCTAACAGAAAACTCTGAGGAAAATGACTCCAATTTCAATTCTTAAGATGCAATCTTACTGAATACTATGATAATTTGTAAGGTTTTGATTCTGTTTCTAAAAGGCATAGGGTTTGGCCTTTAGTGTTTCAGTCTTGCCCTTCATCTGCAATGTATAATACTCATCAGCGGGCCTCAGGCACAGTTCTTCAGCTACCTTGAGACCATGAAATAATCACATTATAACCCTACACCTTGTCCCCCCATTCCTTCCAAAATTATTGCTGATTTGTGCTGCCATTTACTCATTTCTTTAATAAAGACATTCAATCCCAGGACTGGATTCTAGTTTTCTCTCTCTTCAAAGAGAAGTAGTATAGATCTCCGAAATTAGCCTTGCTTTCCCCTTCCGCTAAGACGAAAGCTGCAACCACTTTTCTACTTGCCCACTGGCTACCAAAATACCAAGGTAATAATTCTAGATGCCTCAGAAGGCACCTGTGTTACCAAATATGCTCTTCATTATCTTAGTCTAGGTGCCTAAGAAACTAATTCACCCAAATATGTTTATCTGCTTATTTACCACTCGTCTCATTAAAAAACAAAAACCCCCATTTGAACTTACAAATAGAGCATGTAAACAGGAATGAAACAAGATTTTGACTCTCAAAAAGGGAAGCCGTAAATATCAAAATGGATCGAACATGGGCAGTATGCCGTAAATACTTTAAAGATGACACTAGCAAGTTCAGAAAAGAAGGTAGACGCGAAAACCTTAGGCTTTGAAAGGCCCACCATAAACGACAAAAGCCAAAATCTTAATAAAGAGTGGAGCCATGACGTGTCCTTTCCAATGTTCACTTATTTTTGAAGGGCTTCTTTCCCGATTTCTCGCTGCCCTTAGTTAGTGGCCATGGATGAATGAAGATGGCAATCAATTGTTTGGTATGTAAAATGTGTAAGTGGATTTGCAAACTCATGCTGTATCCCCTTTCAAGCCTCTAAAAAGAAATGAATCCATTATCTGGTCCACGGTTCCGGGGTCCTTACATTCACGCTGTAAACTGGAAATACAACCGTCAGGGCACCAGAGTTTAATTCGAGCGCAAAGCCGGGGACGTCCCAACAGTTTCACCCGAGGTAGAGACGGGGAAACAAGGTTTTCCCGTCAACCTTAAAGCCGGCCCCCAGACAAGCTACCAAAACGGCGCAGGACCCACGCCGACTCTAGCTTCTCCTCGACACATCCCCTAAGTTCTCGGCGCCGAAAGCGTCGGGTCCGTCCCCTACCGGAACTATAGGACACGTGAGACGCGCAATCAACAATCCCCCGCCTCGTAAAATAGTCCCGTCTGGTTTATCTCGGATACACACTTTTCCACCACAAAAAGCCTTCGATGGAAAGAAAATGAGCTTCGGAGGTGCATTGCTCTTCTGTTCGAATGTAAATGTGGGTTTTCTGATCATTTTCTCCTTATAGATCCCTCCGCCAAAATGTGTATTAGCTCAGGCTTCACTTCCGGGTCCGCCATTTTGTTGCCTCCATTTCTCCACGAGGGGGGGTTAAAGGCCCCCAAAATATGCATATATGAAAAAGCCAAAAAGTAACCGTCAGTGATAGGGAGTCTTAACTAGAGAAAGAAACGGAACCAAACTGGGGGGCTCGATGAAAGCGCGGCCGGCAGCGTCCCGGACGAGGAGGTGAGGGGGAAGAAGATGTGTGGACTCTGGGGGGGCGTCGGGGCTGGAAGGGAGACTGCCGTGAGAAGTTGTACCGCAGCCCAGCCCAGCCCCGGACTTCTGGGTGCAGACGGAGCGGCGCCCCTCCACTGGCGGGGGCAGCTCGGGGAGGGGGATGAAGAGGAAGGGGATGCTGCCGGGAGGAAGGGGAGGGGACTGGGAGGTGAAGAAGGGGGTGGGTGTAAGACCTGGGGCTGGGGAGCTGGACCCAGGGAAGCGAGGGCCACGGAGGTGACCGCCAGGGGGCAGTCCGGAACCCGGCCGGGGGCTGCCTCCCTGGGCTGAGGCCTTGGCTCCTTGTCCCATTGCCCCCATTGCCTGTTCTTCCAGAAAGACAACGTTGCTTTTTGGAACTGGAGGATTTGTGATGGAGGAGAAAACGGGGACTCTCAATTCTCTGACCTCAGTAATAGCCTAAAGATTTTGAGTGAGCTCAGTAATCGGAGCAGGAGCAGCAAGGGCTCCGCCCCCAGTTGTTGCACAGTTGTTTGTACAGCTGGCGGCCCGGTGGAGACGTGTGCAATAGAAAAAGAAAAAAAAAGGTTGTCAGACATGGACTCTTCAATTCCATTTCTCCTCGTTAGCTTTCACCTGTTCTCACAGATTTCCTTGAGCCAGCAGGGATTATCCCGTTCTTCTCTCTCTTCCCAGAAGTACTTCTTTCTCTCTTAAACATCTGTAGAAAAGGACATTCTATGGCTTACCTCCAACAATTTAACATTTTTGGCCGTCTGGGACCATATTTTCATCGTGCCATTTGACCCACCCAGTCCCATAGAGATGTTCTTAAGCATCTGTGTTCGTACACGCATTGAAACAGTGAAACAGAACTGCTCCACCCATATTCTTGTATCAACAAATGTAATTACTCTGTGATAATAGAGTACTTTGTTGTCAAGAGCTCAAGCCCTTCATCACTTATTAAAACACACTTATTCAGAGTTCTTGTATGTTTGTTTGGGGAGTGGGTGCTTTGTTACTTTATCCATCTCCAAAATCCTAAGAGACAAGTTAGATCAGATTTTGTTTCTTCACTTCATATATAGAGAAAGTAGAGGTACATCCAGTAAGGAAGAATGTTTTCCCTGTGTTTTTAATAATCAGGGAGCTTGAAAGTGCCTAGACTGTCCTCTTGACTCTCGGCTACATCTCGTCCGGTGGGTATTGTCAGCGTTTAAGTAGGATATGGGAGAATGGCACATAATCCCCCCCAATGCTGTTATATTAAAAATACATTTTACTTCTACTTGGGAGAGATGCTTCAGGTTAACTCAGAAGAGTGGAGGATGGGGAGAAAAGAACCTTGAACACATTTCTAGGAGAACTTTTTATATCAGGTGATAAATGTAACACGCTACTTACATTCTAATCCTAAAGTTTAACTGTATCTTTGTATAGTAAGAAATAAGACTTTCCGGGGCGCCTGGGTGGCTCAGTCGCTGGGCGTCTGCCTTGGGCTCAGGTCATGATCCTGGGGTCCTGGGATCAAGCCCCGCATTGGGCTCCCTGCTCCGCTTCTCCCTCTCCCACTTCCCCTGCTTGTGTTCCCTCTCTCGCTGTGTCTCTCTCTGTCAAATAAATGAATAGGATCTTAAAAAAAAAAAAAAAAGAAAGAAATAAGACTTTTCATGGCCTATTTAAAGAATGGGATGACAAATCTGGGTCAGTTGCCATTTAATGGTTCTGATACATGGGCTCACAAATCTGATTAAAGAAAAGTGGGGGCGCCTGGGTGGCTCAGTGGGTTGAGCGTCAGACCCTTGATTTTTGTCTCAGGTCATGATCTTGGAGTCGTGGGATGAAGCCCAGTGTCAGGCCCTGCACTCAGCGCAGTCTACTCATCCCTCTTCCCCTCCCGCACCCCACACTGGCTCTCGCTCTCTCTCAAATAAATAAATAAAATCTTAAAAAAAAAGAAAAAGAAAAGCAGGGTTCCTGGGTGGCTCAGTTGGTTAAGCATCCAGCTCTTGATTTTGGCTTAAGTAATGATCTCAGGATTGTGAGATTGAGCCAGCCTCAATCTCTGCACTGAACACAAAGCCTGATTAAGATTCTTCTCTCTCCCTCTCTCTCTACCCCTTCCCTCCCCTGCTCGTGCACTCGTGCTCTCTCTAAAATAAATAAATTTTTAAAAATAAAAGAAAAGTGATACAATTAATGTGTGTTTGAAGGCCCACTATGGTGAAAAAAATTGACCTCAGAAATACTGGGCAAGAGTTCAGATGCTGAAGACAACAGTTGCAGTGGGATAAAATTAACTTATTTAAAGGATCTGTTTTCTAGATGTATCAGCTTCCCCAGAATGTGAAGCAAACCAGATTTCTCCTTACGCAGATACCTCAACCTTCAACTGAATATTTTTTTATGGTAGAGAGTAGCTGAAATGCTTTTTGCCAGCATTTCTGAACATCCCTGTGTAGGGAATTCTTTCCCTTTGTGATCAGTTATTATGGAAGTGTTTAAGACTTGGTGATATACCTTTTATATATAGTGTAATTTGAGAAAATGTGAGGGAGTCATTTATGACTAATGAACCATCTAAAAATTTGCTCTTGTTTTTAACTGCTAGCAATAAGAAAATTAAACTGAAAATTAAATTTGATATTCTAAAAGGAAGATAATTATGGAGAAATGCAAAGTGTCAGTTTTCTGTAATGCTTTGCTATCATTTTTTTTCTCTAGCATTTTCTTGAGTTGTGGAAACTGACATTATAGAGGTTCATACTATTAAAGTTCATCCTCTCCTCTTGAACATATTTATTCAGAGGTCTGGACTGGAGCCTGGGTATACTCATTTTGAACAAACTCCCTGGTGGTCTCCTGAACACCCATGTTTGAGGACAATGCTCTGTGATATAGATTGGAAAATTAAATCACATAGTGGCTGAATGATTTGCCTAAGCCAATGATTCTCAGATTTTCTGGTTTCAGAACTCATTTATATTCTTTTTTTTTTTTTAAAGATCTTATTTATTTATTTGACAGAGAGAGAGACACAACAAAAGAGGGAACACAAGCAGGGGCAGAGGGAGAGGGAGAAGCAGGCTTCCCGCAGAGCAGGGAGCCCGATGCGGGGCTCGATCCCAGGACCCCAGGATCATGACCCGGGCCGAAGGCAGACGCCTAACGACTGAGCCACTCAGGCGCCCCAAGAACTCATTTATATTCTTAAAAATTATTGAGGACTCCAGTATGTTATATCTATTGGGATTTACTGTTTTAGAAATTAATTTTTAAATGCTCATTAATTAAAATACAATTGTAAATCCTGTACATGTGAACATAAATAACACATTTTAATTAATTAATTAATTTAAAAAATATTTTTAAAAAGATTTTATTTATTTATTTGACAGAGAGAGGGAGAGAGAAGCACAAGCAGGTGGAGCGGCAGGCAGAGGGAGAAGCAGGCTTCCTGCTGAGCAGAGAGCCAGACGTGGGGCTCGATCCCAGGACCCTGGGATCATGACCTGAGCCAAAGGCAGACACTTAACTGACTAAGCCACCAAGGCATTCCTCAAACACATTTTTATGAAAAATATATCTTCCAAGTTAAATAATGAGAGGAATGGCATTTTTTTTTTTTTTTTTGCAAATCTCTTTAACTTTTGGCTTAATAGAAAACAGCTGCATTCTCATATTTACTATTGCATTTAATCTGTTGCAGTATTTACTTGGAGAAAAGGGGGGTGGTGCCTTAATAGCTTTTTCAGGTAATTGTGGGTGTTTTGTTTTTTATTTGGCAGAGACACAGTGAGAGAGGGAACACAAGCAGGGGGAGTGGGAGAGGGAGAACAGGCTTCCCGCGGAGCAGGGAGCCCGATGTGGGGCTCGATCCCAGGACCCTGGGATCATGACCTGGGCCGAAGGCAGATGCTTAACGACTGAGCCCCCAGGCGCCCTGTGGGTGTTCTTCTTTGATGCTACTACACAAACACTGGACAAAGTGGCAGTTTCTTAAAAGTTAGTTGCAGTGAGGAATCTGAAACCGTATCAATGAAATTATTATACTGTTACCTTAAAATGCACTGATCTTTCACTTTGATTGCTTTTACCCGTACATGATTTTATAACATGCATTGGTCATTTGAAAAATACTGGTTAAGCAAATTATGCAGGCCACCCAAATGTTGATGCATTTTATTATACAATGTTAAAAAATCACATTCATTAGTATTACCACTAATTTCATCAGAAAAGTCTGTAGTAAGCTATCAACCCATAGTTGTGGATTTAAGTTTCCCAAAATTCTAATTTTGCTTGAAAGCTCAAATTATAATTAATAATTGTCAGTAAACACTGTCAGTTGTTTTCCTTGAAGTGACAGGCTCACTTTGTTCATTTTTTAAAAAGTGTCTGCCATATACCTGAGTCTGAATAGCCTTGGTGTTTGTTCATCATTCTTTTGTGTGAGGTAACATTTCTACCCATAGTTCTTTCTAAGGAATGAAATGCTGTTTTATTGATTCCTTAAGTTAGAGAGGTGGTAATGTGTTGCACAGATTTCCAAAGTATTTTTCTGAAAATTGAACATTAAGGAACTATTGTTTAGGGCCTGAAACTTTCCCAAATATCTGATTGTGTTAGATGAGGTAGAAAGGAAGTGCCCTACTGGATAGTCAGCTTGAGAAGTATCTTACAATATTTAAGTACAAGAGGTCTTCTAAAAACATTTTATAGGCAGCTTTCCTTGTGTTTGAGTTATAGCTTCCTGAAAATATTTGTTCCTATGCATAAAGATGTCTTTGGTGGACTTGGGGAAGAGGTTGCTAGAAGCAGCAAGAAAAGGCCAAGATGATGAAGTGAGGACATTGATGGCAAATGGCGCTCCCTTCACCACAGACTGGGTAAGCTCTTTCAGTTATTCCCAACGTGTGCTGTTACCAATTTCTTACTTTTTTTTTTTTCCAAAGATTTTATTTTTAAGTAATCCCTCCACCCATTGTGGGGCTCAAACTCACAACCCCCGAGATCAAGAGTCACATGCTCTACTGACTGAGCCAACCAGGCGCCCCAGCATTGCCTAATTTTAACAATCCAATGAGCCAATGTCCTCTATCCTGGGGTGATTAATTCATAACTTTAGAGGCAAGCAGGTACTTAGCACTTCACAAAAAGGAAGAAAAGGAAACCTATGAGATTAGCATTTCTATTAATAGACCTGAAAAGAGCAATGTGAACTAAATCCACTCAGGCAAAGAGGCTGAACATATATGAAATGCAAAGAATAAACAGCATAGGCTTAAAGTAAAGGACCTAACACAAAGAAAGGAATAGTTCTCTGGCCAAAGTGGCCAAAGATAGATCACTCTTCCAGGATTTACTTTGAGATGATCCAGGCCGCTTATTGCTATTGACACGCCATTGCTAAAACTTTATTGCCTCTTCATCTCATCAGTCTTTTTACTTTGCATTACTTGGCAACAGACTTCTATTCCAGCCAGTTAAATTTGCACACCAAATCTCAGTATCTTTCTAGTTTCTGCCCTTTTCCTAAGAATTATATTGAACCCACCTATCCCTTTCCAATGCAGAATGTTCTTGTTCATCCTTTTTTTTTTTTACCTTCTTCTAAGCTTTGCTTAACATCATGTCATTTAGAGAATCTTTCCTGATAAATCCATCTGACTTAAATCCATTATACTTAGCACTTAATTAATTGGTGGTATATTTACTTTCCTGTTAGAATATTAATTTCTTAATTCTTTACTCCTCTCCTGTTGCACAACCAGATTCTCACTCCAAAGACAGGAACCATAGACTGTACCTCTTGTTCATTTGTGTCTCTCCATAATGATTTAGGACTCTGCACACAGTTGATATTCAATGAGTATTATTTTCCCACAGCTTGGAACATCACCCCTCCACCTTGCAGCCCAGTATGGTCATTATTCCACAGCAGAAGTGCTCCTTCGAGCAGGCGTTAGCAGGGATGCCCGGACCAAAGTGGACAGGACCCCTTTGCACATGGCTGCAGCTGATGGACATGCGCACATCGTGGAACTGCTTGTTAGGGTAATAGTGGCAGATCTGTATTGTAAAAAAGACACCCACCTCCCTGTTTTCTTACTTCAATGGGTAGTAGGAAACTAGGCTGGGAAAGATTAAGTTTAGGACAGTTCATAGCATAGATTTGTGTCTCTTTCAAGAGACATGGCAATGAGGATTTTGTTTTCTAATCTTTTACAGGCTAAGCAGACTTTATTGATTTTTCTTCATTTCCTTTCTGCAGGTGTTTTCTGTACTTAAGCCTATTTTTGTAGGCACTCAGCTCTCTGTTAATAAATGCAACAAAAATCTGTTCTTTTCCCCATCCTTTCCTATCTGTTACAATTTCCCAGTTGTCCTTAGAAGACCCACTCATTGAAGACAATATGACTGTCATCATTCAGGAAAATTTGAAGAATGTTTTTCCCTTTGATATTTCTGTGTGATCTAAATTTGAATATGTATAACCTCCATGGAAATTCTCTTTATATGGCTGATGGGATCTTGCATCTGTGCTACCATTACCAGTGTCTCTTTGAAAAAAATTACTGTTCTGTGACAGAATGGTGCAGATGTGAATGCCAAGGACATGCTGAAGATGACAGCTTTACATTGGGCTACAGAACACCACCATCGAGATGTTGTAGAGCTACTTATCAAATACGGAGCCGATGTCCATGCTTTCAGCAAGTTTGATAAATCTGCCTTTGACATAGCCCTGGAGAAAAAGAATGCTGAAATTCTGGTCATCCTTCAGGTCTGGTTCTTTTTATACCCCCAGAATATATTTTAATTGAAGTTAAGAATTTTTTTTAATAGGAGCTGAATCAAAACTGAATTTTCTCTATTTATCAAGGTACTACTTCTGATCTGTCTCAATCTTGTGATTCAGTGTCATTGGTATCTTTAAAAATATATATAACATTCTAGGGGTGCCGAGTGGCTCAGATGGTTGCGTGTATGCTTTCGGCTCAGGTCATGATCCCAGGGACCTGGGATCAAGTCCCTCATCGGGCTTCCTGCTCAGCGGGAAGCCTGCTTCTCCCTCTCCCACTCCCCCTGCTTGTGTTCCCTCTCTCGCTGTCTCTCTGTCAAATAAATAAATAAAATCTTAAAAAAAAAACAACAACAGCATTCTATAAAGCCCTGAATTATTCATGGTGATTGGAGAACAGTGTTGTGGCCAGTACAAAAACAAGATTTGTTTGGCTTTAGAATATTTTTTTTCTCCATGAAAATTTCCCTCTTTCTTTTTTTTTTCTGTTTCTAAGATTTTATTTACTTATTTGAGAGAGAGAGAGAGAGAGCACAGTGTGGAGGAGCAGAGGGGGAAAGAGAGGGACAGCAAGCAGGGCTTGATCCCATGATCCCACAACCGCAAGATCATGACCTTAGCTGAAGTCAAGTCTGACACTCAATTGACTGAGCCACCCAGGTGCCCTGAAAATTTCCCTTTCTAATTGAGCTTGACGTGGGACAATATTAAAAGCCTCACTGGGGTGGGACGCCTGGGTGGCTCAGTTGGTTAAGCCACTGCCTTCGGCTCAGATCATGATCCTGGAGTCCCGGGATCGAGTCCCACATCGGGCTCCCTGCTCGGCGGGGAGTCTGCTTCTCCCTCTGACCCTCCCCCCTCTCATGTGCTTTCTCTCTCTCATTCAATAAATAAATAAAATCTTAAAAAAATAAAATAAAATAGGGGCGCCTGGGTGGCTCAGTTGGTTAAGCAACTGCCTTCGGCTCAGGTCATGATCCTGGAGTCCCGGGATCGAGTCCCGCATTGGGCTCCCTGCTCGGCAGGGGGTCTGCTTCTCCCTCTGCCCTCTGCCCTCTTCCTTCTCGTGCTCTCTCTCATTCTCTCCCTCTCAAATAAATAAATAAAATCTTTAAAAAAAATAAAAATAAAAAAATAAAATAAAATAAAATAAAATAAATTAAATAAAAGCCTCACTGGGGTGTCTGACTGGCTCAGTTGGTAGAGCATGCAGCTCTTGATCTCGGGGTCATGGGTTCAAGCCCCACATTGGGCTTAGAGATTGCTTAAATTAGTAAACTTTTTTTTAAAAAGTCCCTTTATGTTTTCTGAATGTACATTAACCGATATGAGGCAGTACATACCTCTGACGCATATTGAGTCATAAGGAAGCCATCTCAGAGTTAAAAAGTAGCTGTGACAATTTCACCCATTAATTTCTTAAGCCAGCACTTGTACATCAGGGAATAACAGGATGAGGGATACAAAGATTAATAGGACATGGCCCTGCCCTTAGAGTGTTTACGGTGTGATGAAGGTAAAGACAAGAAATGAAACATTACAATACTACGTTGATAAATTTGATACTTATCATGTGTTATAGGATCGCAGAATGAATGATGCTTAAGGAAAAAATTAAAGTGTATGTAGAGGAGGGGCGCCTGGGTGGCTCAGTCGTTAAGCGTCTGCCTTCGGCTCAGGTCATGATCCCGGGGTCCTGGGATCGAGCCCCGCATCGGGCTCTCTGCTCAGAGGGGAGCCTGCTTCTCCCTCTCCCGCTCTGCCTGCTGTGTTCCCTCTTTCACTGTCTATCTCTGTCAAATAAATAAATAAAATCTTAAAAAAAAAAAAAAGTGTATGTAGAGGAGTGCCAGTGGGGAGCATGCAACTCTTTTTTTTTTTTTTTAAGATTTTATCTATTTTTTTTTTAAAGATTTTATTTATTTATTTGACAGAGAGAGACACAGGGAGAGAGAGAACACAAGGGGTGGGGGGGGAGTTGGAGAGGGAGAAGCAGGCTTCCTGCGGAGCAGGGAGCCCTATGCGGGGCTCGATCCCAGGACCCTTGGATCATGACCCGAGCCGAAGGCAGACGCTTAACGACTGAGCCACCCAGGCGCCCCAAGATTTTATCTGTTTTTTGATAGAGACAGAGACAGCGAGAGAGGGAATACAAGCAGTGGGAGTGGGAGAGGGAGAAGCAGGCCTCCCGTGGAGCAGGGAGCCCAATGCGAGGCTCGATCCCAGGACCCTGGGATCACGACCTGAGCCAAAGGCAGACGTCTAATGACTGAGCCACCCAGACGCCCCAGGAGCATGCAACTCTTGATCATGAGCTCAAGCCCACATTGGGTGTAGAGATTATTTTATTTTATTTATTTATTTTTTAAAATTTTTATTTATTTGACAGAGAGAGAGTGAGCACAAGCAGGGGGAGGGGCAGGCAGAGGGAGAGGGAGAAGCAGGCTCCCTGCTCAGCAGGGCAATGTGGGGCTCGATCCCAGGACCCTGGGATCATGACCTGAGCTGAAGGCAGATGCCCAACCGACTGAACCCACCCAGGCGCCCCTAGAGATTACTTAAGAAAAAAAAAGTATAGTAGAATCTTAACTGAATTTTGAAGAAGTAAGCAGAGAAGTAAGAAAATGATATTCTAAGCTAGAAAAAGAGCAAATCAGTGACATAGAGGTGTGAAAGGATATGGAATGTTCAGGAAAGAGTAAGTTCTATGACTAGAGATTGATCAGGGGAAGTGGAGTTTGGGAGTGACAGGAGCTAAGCCTTAATGATTAAGTCTGGGTTTTGAATGTAGGCATGTTACATGGCGTGCAAAGGAGTTTGGACTGTTTGGTGGGCAACGGGGATCCAATAGAAGCTTTTAAATACAAGATTGAGATGATTCTTTTTTTTAAGTAGACTTCATGCCCAACATGGGGCTTGAACTCATAACCTTGAGATTAAGAGTCCAATGCTCTACCGACTGAGCCAGCCAGGTGCCCCCCCCCCCTTTTTTTTGTTAAGATGATTGATTGGACTGTGGTATGCAGACTGGAGAGAAAAGACACTTAATGCTAAATCACCATATGGTGACTTTGACTAGGCCAGGCAAGAGCCAGTGAAGGCTTGAATTAAGGAAATAAATAGTGGAGGATAGAAGAAGGGGCTGATTCAAGAAGAATTTAACAGTAACCAGAAAATGGATAATCTGTTTCAACTGAAGCTCTTAGTCAAACGGATAATTATATGTAAAAAATAGGTAGCCAGGGCGCCTGAGTGGCTCGATGGTTAAGCGTCTGCCTTCGGCTCAGGTCATGATCCCAGGGTCCTGGGATCGAGTCCCGCATCGGGCTCCCTGCTAGGCGGGGAGCCTTTTTCTCCCTCTGCCTCTGCCTCTCTCTCTCTCTCTGACCCTCATGAATAAATAAATAAAACATTAAAAAAAAATAGGTAGCCATTTCTGCATTTTCAGGGGTTTGTTTATTCCTTTTTTTTGACTGATGGTTCTATATATAGACTGGTTGTCTTCTTTAGCCTTCAACTCCTTATTTAGAGCTCTTTTGTAATTGGACTTCTTAAGTAGATAACATGTTTGTAGAAGACTGCTTCTGAGGGGCACCTGGGTGGGTCAGTCATTAAGCGTCTGCCTTCGGCTCGGGTCATGATCCCAGAGTTCTGGGATCGAGCCCCGCATCGGGCTCCATGCTTCGCAGGAAGCCTGCTTCTCCCTCTCCCCCTGCTTGTGTTCCCTCTCTAGCTGTGTCTCTCTCTGTCAAATAAATAAATAAAAATCTTTTAATAAATAAATAAATAATCTGGCACTCATTTATTTGTTCGTTATATATTCTTTTAGGAATTTCTTCAGTGGCAAAATGGAACAAGTAGTTGGACAAAACTCTGGAGAATATTGTTCTCTGTAGATTTGCTGCAGAGATCTCCTGCTAGCACATTCACCTGTATATAATTGATCATAGAATGTTCATGCTGGAAATTACTTCTTAGGCCACTCCCTCATTTTCCAAATAGGAAAAAACAAGTTCCAGGGGCGCCTGGGTGGCTCAGTCGTTAAGCGTCTGCCTTGGGCTCAGGTCATGATCTCAGGGTCCTGGGATCGAGCCCCTCATCGGGCTCTCTGCTCAGTGGGAAGCCTGCTTCTCCCTCTCCCACTCCCCCTGCTTGTGTTCCCTCTCTCGCTGTGTCTCTCTGTTGAATAAATAAATAAAATCTTTAAAAAAAAAAAAAAAACTTGGGAAAGCAACCTAACATCTTTGTTGCCCTGGTCTGGAAAACAAACAAACAAAACAAAAAAGAAAAGCAGTAGTCTTACTGAGAACTCTGAGCTCCCTGGGACATGGTGTGCCACACCTTGTTCTGTTCCACAGAGCACTGGGGTGGGGTGGCTGTTCAAGAACTGTATAACTAAGGCTAACGAGTTCTGACTTTGAAATATGCTGCCTTGTTTTGTAGGAAGCAATGCAGAATCAGGTGAATGCTAATCCCGAGAGAGCCAACCCTGTGACTGTGGCTGCCCCATTCATCTTCACATCTGGAGAAGTTGTCAACCTTGCTAGCCTTGTTTCTTCAGCCAACACCAAAACAACCTCAGGTAATAATCTGATAACGTGGCATTTATTTTAGACTTAAAATGAACAGGACCCCAGTTTTTCCTGTGAGATGAATTCATACCCTGTCTGATACCCACTCATTTATTAAAATATTCTCCAAATAGAAGATTTATAATAGATTTTAAAGCCAATGCATTTATTCTTCCTGGGGGAAGGGGAGATCATACACAAGGATTACATATGAGTGCTTACGGTATTAAAAGTAAAATATTTTACAGATTAATCTGTATGTGACCGCAAAATGAAAACATAAGGGTGCTTCAATATGGTACCACTAAGGAAAATAGTTAAATGTTCATAGTCTAAAACAGTGACAAACCAGAATAAATGTAAATGGGTGTTGGAGTGCGGATACAAAAGAGGTACATGTGATTATTTGAATAAAGTGTAAGAGCTTTGATTTGTTCTTGGGAACATAAGTAACAACAAAATAGAGAAAAGCACATTTTGAGATCTGTATGTTTTTAACAAAAACATCTATTGCAAAAGGAGCAAATTGAGCTATTTTCAACATTTCTTTACAAGTATTTGTTTTACAATGAGGGAATCTGTGTCCTCATTTAAATAAATTTTCCAACTGACTCAATTTCTTTTTCTGACTTTCACTTAAAAATAAGACACTGTGGGGCGCCTGGGTGGCTCAGTCGTTAAGTGTCTGCCTTCTGCTCAGGTCATGATCCCAGGGTCCTGGGATCGAGCCCCGAATCCAGCTCCCTGCTCCGCAGGGAGCCTGCTTCTCCTTCTCCCACTCCCCCTGCTTGTGTTTCCTCTCTCGCTGTGTCTCTCTCTCAAGTAAATAAATAAAATCTTAAAAAAAAAAAAGACACTGTGTTCCTAGTTAAGTTTGTATAATATCAAAGAAAGATCTTGAGTGAAGTGTTATTATTGAGGGGCAGTGTGGCAAAATAGAGCAGATAAAATATACATAAAATTTTACATTCAGTACTGCATTCAAATACTGATTTATTAATTGACTACATGCTTGACCTTGGGAAAACTCTTACTTCTCTAAGCCTTCTTTACTTATTTACAAAATTGTGACATAACAATACCTACTTTATGAGGTTATGAGACTTTGTATTTCCATTTTCTAATAGGACTTCAGTAATAGCTAGTATTAAATGAAAATATAACTCCTCAATGAAAGTTTATTCTGTTATGCCCTCAAGGGGGCAGTAATGACCTTCATTTTATAGGCCATCAACTATCATTTAAAAATCACTGTGCTTTGCTTTCAGCTTGATAATTCAAAAAGTTTAGGTTAAATATACAATAATAAATACACGTAATCAGAACATTCACAGACTTTTGGATTTGTTGTGGTTCAGGCCACAGTGATTAGAACAAGTACCTTTATAATCCAAAAGTCTTTAGAAGCCAGTAAAGTTATATGTTCACAAACATGTAAAAGGAGCTGGAGTTGGTAATCTAACTATTCAAATTCTTCAGACCCTGATCTGAAATGATAAGCAAAGTTGAAGACATTTAGGATACAGCTTCTTAGCCTTGGTTCCCATGGGCCTATATCATGTTTGTCATGTTGCTTTTGGCAAACCTATTGTTTCTCTCTTCCGTATGTTGCCAACTACAAATTAAGATTGCCAAATCACCACATAATAGGGCTGATCTCTCCAGTGTCGTCTTACCCATGAAACTGTTCTACCTACCTCTCCCTTCAGGGGAGATAACCAGTGCAGATAAAAGAAAGGAGAAAAGTTATAAGACAAATTCAGGTTGTCTTATTTAACTGGGTTAAAGGATTTTCTTCTCCTGAACGGTGGGTGGGTGGCTGCTTTTTTCCCATTACCCAATTTTTTTTTTTTTTTAAGAGAGAGAATGTGTGCAGATGCATGTGCAAGGTGGGGAGAGGAGGGGCAGAGGGAGAGGGAGAGAGAAAATCCCAAGCAGGCTCCATGCCAAGTGTAGAGCCGGATGTGGGGCTTGATCTCAGCACCCTGACAACATGACCTGAGCCAAAATCAAGAGTCGGACGCTTAACTGACTAAGCCACCCCTCTTTTTCCCCCATCATCCAGTAATTTTTTAAAAAATGTTTTTTAAGATTTTACTTATTTATTTGACAGAGAGAGAGCGAAAGAGCCAAAGACCACAAGGAGGGGGAATGGCAGAGGGAGAGGGAGAAGCAGGCTCCCCGCTGAGCAGGGAGCCCAACACGGGGCTGGATCCCAGGCCCCTGGGATCATGACCTGAGCCAAAGGCAGACGCCAAACTATCTGAGCCACTGAGGCGCCCCCATCCAGTAATATTTTTTTAAAGATTTATTTATTTATTTATTTATTTGAGAGAGAGAGAATGAGAGAGAGAGAACACATGAGAGGGGATAGGGTCAGAGGACGAAGCAGACTCCCTGCCGAGCAGGGAGCCCGATGCGGGACTCCAGGATCATGACCTGAGCCGAAGGCAGTCGCTCAACCACTGAGCCACCCAGGTGCCCATCCATCCAGTAATATTTTTAAGAATTAACTGAAAGTATCCTAGGATTATCATTTTGATGGATATTTTTGATAACAAAATTCGTATTATAAAGTTTGCTTTCAGTTTTCCATTTGTGACTAAAGATATCACTGATCATCAGTGCTACCATCAAACTGCAGTGGTTCAGAAAGGCAGACTAAATTAAACATTAATCAGGGCAAAAAAGAGTTATGGAGATGAATTTCCTATTTCTGTAGGATCATAAGATGCGCTCCAAAGTCAAATATAAATAGCTTTGTATTGGTTCATAAAGAGTACAGGCTTTGTGGAATCTAATGAATTGAATTCTAATCTGGGCTCTGACATTTACTACCTGTGTGACCTGGGCAAGTTACTTAGTTTTTCACCAACTCACTGAGATTGCCTAGCCTGCCATAGCACACTCCCCTAAATCCTGGTATGAAGAGTTTAAGCCACATTCTGAATAGCTAGCAAGAGTCATCCCTGATAATGCCATTTTAAAACAACAGCATCCATGCGTATTTTACTTTATTTGGTGTTGGGTCTTATATTGAGGAGAAGGAAGCAATTAATATTGTTTAACAATAAAGTACCTAATTTTCCTAAAATTCACTGGGATAAGTCTAAAGAGGTAATTTGTATCATCTCTTTTCATTTTCAACTGTGTATGTCAGAATATTAAACCCAATTTTTCACAAATGTTCTTTTTTCATTTTGCTGTTACGGGGAAGTTGGGTGAGTCATTATATCTAAATCAAAGGGAGAATACCCTTAGCTTGGTATCATTATGTGCTAAAAAGTATACGATGCTTTCTTAAAAGGCAGTTTTACCTAGCTATTCTACTTTAACTGAGTGACCTACCTGATGTTTGGCCTACTTGAACTTTAATTATAACAGCCCTGTTGTGTATGTTTGTGTGTGTGTATGTGTGTGTGTGTGTGTTTTAACTGTGGTAAAATAATAACAATCTTGTTTTTTGATTGCTAGTGAGTTATTGTCATATATATTCCAACCTACTTGAGTGATCTATATAAAAATATATATAAAAATTGCTTGTTCCTTTTTTGTTTCATTTGTGAGTTCTTATGTCAGTGTTGATATGCTAAGTGATGGGATGATAAGCTAAGTGATGGGAAAAGCATGAATTTAGTAGAAACGGGGAATAGGCTATAGCTGGATCTTGCTCCTCATGAAGTCATTGGATAGACATAGATTTATTTCTAGAGGTCAGGCACTGTGTTCCACTCAGACTGTTTGGTTCCCTGAGTATTTTATGAGAAAATTAGAATAAAACAGAGTTATCATCACTATCTCCACTGTAATCCCCCACTGCCACTATCATCCAGAAGCTGGATTAAGATCATTTGTAGTTGGGGCACCTGGCTGGCTCAGACTGTAGAGCATACAACTTTTGATTTCAGGGTTGTGAGTTCACACCCCACATTGGGTGTAGAGATTACTGAAAAAATAATAATAAACTTAAAAGAAGATAGTTTGTAGCTATTAGGAGTACTATACAAGTAATCTACTTTTTGAAATTTAAATTTATAAACCAGTTAAATTACCTACATTAATCATATCAGAAAAGAATTCTTTGCTCTTTGGATGGATTTATTATAAGAAGTGTTAAAAGGAATTTCCTTAAGTATTTTTAAGTATTTTACAGATAACTGGCTTTTTGATAGACAAAAGGCTGCAAAGAATCTTTAAGCATAGTTAGTGGGAAAACAAAAATTGAGAGTACATTGGGGCACCTACCTGGCTTAGTCAGTAAAGCATGCAACTCTTGATCTTGGGGTTGTAAGTTCAAGCCCCACATAGGGTGTAGAGATTAAAATATAATCTTAAAAATATATCTTAAATATAAAAACCTTAAAAATAAAATCTTTAAAAAAATTAAGGGGCACCTGGGCGGCTCAATCGGTTAAGCATCCGGCTCCTGGTTTTGGCTCAGGTCATGATCTCATGGATTGTGGGATCAAGCCCCACATCAGGCTCGTGCTCAGTGTGGAGTCTGCTTGAGATTCTCTTTCTCCCTCTGTCCCTCACATGCGCACATGCTCTCTCTCTCAAATAAATAAGTAAATCTTTAAAAAAAATTAAGAGGGGCGCCTGGCTGGCTCAGTCAGTGAAGCGTGCAACTCTCGATATTCGGGTTGTGAGTTTGAGCCCCACATTAGGTGTAGGGCTTTCTTAAAAAAATAGAATCTTAAAAAAAAAATTAAGAGTACATTTAAAAAGAAGGTAAGTGTATCACTCAGAGTCCAGTCCGGAGACAAAACTACATGGTGATTTGTATAATTTTATTATAATATATAATATGTATAATTTCTAAGATACCTAAACATACATGTATAATTTATAAAAAAATTATTAGTAATAGTAGATTAAGAGGTGAGGAGAACCCTAAAGAATACAGGAATAACCGGGCGCCTGGGTGGCTCAGATGGTTAAGCCTCTGCCTTCAGCTCAGGTCATGATCCCAGGGTCCTGGGATCGAGTCCCGCATCGGGCTCCCTGCTCAGCGGAGAGCCTGCTTCTCCCTCTGCCTCTGCACCTCCTCCTGCTCATGCTCTCTCTCTCTTTCTGTATCTCTCTGTCTCGAATTAAAAAAAAAAAAAAGAATACAGAAATAACCAATATAGGGAGCAGCCACTACTTCTGTATGACAAAACTTAATTTCATGCTATCAAGAAATATTGATAGGGTCCAGCTTCAGTGTGACAAGGCAAGGCAAAGAAGAGTAGATTTGGAGCTGAGAGGCAATAAATTCACAACTGGCACAAAAGTATCTTTGAAATTATAATGAAAGACATAGGGAAATGCAATTCATTTTATAAAAGTTAAATTTATGCAAAACTGTCAAGTAATACTTTTGGTTCATAAAGTTAGGCATGCCTGTTGCCAGATCTAATGTACTTTCCTCCTGGAACTTAGCTGTAAGAATAGCACACAGATACAAGAAGAAAAGGTTATAAAAAAGCACATCATGACAAAACTAAAGTAGGTAATTATTTTTAGCATGAATCAGTTGTACTACTCTTTGATGTTCAATAAACTAAATGTCTGGTTTTTAACTGTTCTTGCATTAGAGGTCATTCCGAGTCTTCCCACCTGTCTAGCTGATGGGTAGATGCAGTACGGTTACGTAGAGCCTGCGGGGTCTCTTCCCTCAGCACCACCTTGTTTAGGGTAAAGCATGCTTTGTGTGCTTACCGCCTGCTGCCAGGGAGAGCTCTGTACAGCCAGCCTAGGGAGTAGGCGGCACTCTTGGTCTGTTAGCTCCTAATGCTCAGCACTGTCAGTGCCGAAAAAATGAGCAACTGTGGGGAATATAGTGGCTCTATACTAAGCATATTTCCTTAATCCACTTTTTTTTTTTAAAGATTTTATTTATTTATTTGAGAGAGAGAGAATGAGAGAGAACACATGAGAGGGGATAGGGTCAGAGGGCAAAGCAGGCTCCTCGCTGAGCAGGGAGCCCGATGCGGGACTCGATCCCGGGACTCCAGGATCATGACCTGAGCCGAAGGCAGTCGCTTAACCAACTGAGTCACCCAGGCGCCCCACCTTAATCCACTTTAAAGGAAAACCTTTCTAAACCAAGAGTGTTAACACCATGATCATTGGTTTATACCAGTTTGTATTGGAGAGGAAGAGGAAGGACATTAGAATGAAAAGCTGAGGTGTTGATTTAATAAAAGCCATTTTTAGTTCATCTCCATTTATTCTGTCTGCCAGACCTCATTTACCTTTTTTACCAAAATAGGTGACCCCCATGCCTCCTCAGCACCACACTTGTCAAATTCCACCACCTCAGTGCTGGCCACCCTTGCAGCTCTTGCTGAGGCATCAGCCCCCTCGTCCAACTCCCACAGAGCCGCAGGTGGGTAAGGGATATCTGCTGGGTGAATCGCCATTTCTTCTTTTGTTTTTACATTTCCAGCAGATTTAATTTGCATGAAATATTAAAAAATTATGGTTAATTAGAGACATCTAGGAAAGAGGAATGTAGAGTCATTGAGCATCAGAAAGAAAAATCACTAAGCAATATAATCAGATGGCTGAATAATATCAGAGAATGGCTTAGTCATTTCTTCGTATTTTTGCGGTTTCAAATTTGTTTGCCCTGACTCCAGTTGCTTCAGATTGAAATGTTTAGTCTTCTACTAGCAGATTATTTGGGAAATACTCTATGTTATGTTTTGACTGATGTTATCATAGACTGATTCAAAATAGCAGCTTAGATGTGTTGTATTTAAAGCATCAAAATACGTGGGACTGCTATGTCTCTCGTTGTCATATTATGTGTACTTCAGGGTGGCTTGCTTTTACTTTCACTGGAGATGATATTTTGGCATTTCCAATGGAGTTGGGCAGATATATGCTATATAGTGGCCTTCTGATATGCAGAACAAAAAAGGTTCAAGTCACTTAGCCAGAGCTGGTAGCCTGTGGGGAGAAGGCTCAGGGCTTCATATAAGTAGGGGCAGATAGTCATAGGTAGGGCTAAATTGTCATCTAGGAATCTTTCTGGAGCCTTCTGACAGTCTGCTCCATCATAAATGAAAGCAGATTGTTCTGATTTCTTTCTGCCATTGACATTTGGGTGATGAGAACATTCCTCCAATTCTGTTTTTCCGACTGGCAGTAATCATAAAGATCTCTACTCAAACATGTATGAGTGAGCAGCATGGCAGAGGGAAAAGCAATATATTAAACTCGTGCTTGTTACTTTGATTTGCTTTTTGATTTTGGATAAATTACTTAACTTCTCTGGGTCTCAGTCTCTTCACCTCTGGCTGAGGTTGCATGGTTGGATCAGATTATCTTTTGAGGTCTTTTCAGCTATAACATTTAACTCTTCTTTGTTTTTAAGAGATGTGAATGCTCTATTTCCATTAAACCACCTGAATGTGTCTCATGTGGATAGTCCATATCCCACTTAGTACAGAGTTCTACCTGTGACTCTTTAGATAGAGAAATTCTGTAGTGGAATAGTAGGAACTCTTTCCCTAATAATTGTTGGGGATATTGACTAACCAAACTGAAAATCTTTTTTTTTTAAGTTTTATTTATTTAAGTAATATCTACACCCAATGTGGGGCTTGAATCACGACCCCACGATCAAGAGTCACATGCTCTTCTGACTGAGCCAGCCAGGCGCCTCCTCCCCCTTTTTTGATTACCAAACTGAAAATTTTGATTCAACATAATATATATAAAGCTCTTAGAAGGGTACCTGGTTACATTGTAAGTAGTCAGTGTTAGTTGCTGTTAATATTATTGTTTGTCAGATGGGAGAAGCCACTTGCCATTTGTGTCTGCCATTGTGCCATTTGACTTCATCAATGCTTTGTCTACTTGACATGTTATTTTGTTAATTCGCTATTAAATACCTCCATTTTCTTATAGAAATAGATCTATTCTGCAATTATTTTTCTAAGCTCCATAGATTTAGTCTTTCAAGATGCTTCTTGAAAAAAGAATTCCAAGATCAACTATGCTGGGGAAGCTCAGCATATCTTATGCCCTATTGGAGAATCACAGTGCTCATTAGTCTGTTGGGGTTTCTGATACTTCTTACAAAACAAACAAACAAACAATTTAAACATATATAAACTGGCATTTTGAAAGTGTAGTTGTGCATAGAACCCACTCTTAGTGAAAGCTGTTAACATCTCAGTGAAGACATTTTAGAAAATACTGTTCTATTGCATTCACTATTTTCTTTTCTCTTCCGACTTAGCATTGTTCACTAGAGCTTGCTTTAGAAATTTAAACTAACTTCTTTTTTCAAGTTTTCCTGTCCCTGATATAATCAATTTCAAGGAGGCTGAAATTGTTATACTCCTATTTTTTAAAACGCTGAAATTTCGGGGCGCCTGGGTGGCTCCGTTGGTTAAGCGACTGCCTTCAGCTCAGGTCATGATCCTGGAGTCCCAGGATCGAGTCCCGCATCGGGCTCCCTGCTCAGCAAGGAGTCTGCTTCTCCCTCTCCCACTCCCCGTTTGTGTTCCCTCTCTCGCTGTGTCTTTCTCTGTCAAATAAATAAATAAAATCTTTAAAAAAAATAAAAAAATAATAAAAAATAAAACGCTGAAATTTCAAATTCATTTTTGTCATCTCTAGCTAATTCAGAGGAAATCATAGAGGGAAATTCTGTTGACTCATCAATCCAGCAAGTGGTGGGGAGCGGAGGCCAGAGGGTCATCACCATAGTGACTGATGGAGTCCCTCTGGGTAATATCCAAACTGCAATCCCTACTGGAAGCATTGGCCAGCCATTTATTGTAACTATGCAAGATGGACAGCAAGGTGAGTTATCCCATTCAGAGAAGTGTTTATGAAAAGATATGTTAGAGGGCGCCTGGGTGGCTCAGTTGGTTAAGTGACTGCCTTCAGCTCAGGTCATGATCCTGGAGTGCGAGGATCGAATCCCACATCGGGCTCCCCACTCAGTGGAGAGTCTGCTTCTCCCTCTGACCCTCTCCCCTCTCATGCTCTCTCTCACTCTTTCTCTCTCAAATAAATAAATAAAATCTTAAAAAAAAAAAAGAAAAGATATGTTAGACACTCCATATTCCTCTAAAAATGAGGCATTGAAGTAACTAGTGGGACTAAAAGAATGACAGATGCCAGATTGGCTCCAAGAAAAAAAGAAACGGATACTAGGCTGGCAAAGCCTAATTTCCCTAATATATTTAAATTTGTGAGTAAAAGCCAAAAGTCTGGTAGAAAAAAGAGGAAATTGTATGAACCAGTAGTTTACAGAAAATACTGATGGATCTTAAAAATATGGAAATATATTCAACCTACTTCATACATAGCAAGAGAAATGCAAGTCAGTTCTGCACCGAGATACCATTATAACACTGTGTTGTCAAAGGTGTGGGGAAATAGGCACTCATAAATCACCGGCTGGCTCAGTCAGTAGAGCTTGTGATTCTTGATCTCAGAGTTGTAAGTTCCAGCCCCACATTGGGCGTAGAGAATATTTAAAAATAAAATCTAAAAAAAAAAAATCACTGCTGAGAGTATAAATTCATGTACCCTCTAAAGAACTGATTGCAATATCTATCAGTATTTTTTTAAGATTTTATTTATGAGAGAGAGAGAGAGAGCACGTGCTCTCAAGCAGGGAGGAGGGGCAGAGGAAGAAGCAGGCTCCCCAGTGAGCAGGGAAACTAATGTAACATTGTGGATCAACTATACTCCAATAAAAAGTGAAAAATAAAAAGAACCTAAGTTTATGTCAGTAGGGAACTTGGATAAAGAAATGGTACACCCATACATTGGAATACTACACAGCTATTGAAAACAATGAGGAAATGCCTTATATACTAGCATGGTCTCATCCCCAAACCATATTGTTAAGTGATAAGAGTAAGATGCAGAACAGTGTGTAGAATATGCTACATTTGTATTTTTTTTTTAAAGATTTTATTTATTTATTTGACAGAGAGAGACACAGGGAGAGAGGGAAAACAAGCAGAGGGAGCAGGAGAGGGAGAAGCAGCCTTACCACAGAGCAGGGAGCCCGATGTGGGGCTCGATTCCAGGACCCTGGATCATGACCTGAGCCAAAGGTAGACGCTTAACGACTGACCCACCCAGGTGCCCCTACATTTGTATTTTTTAAAAAGGGGGAAATATATGTATATTTGCTAATATAGTCATAGACTTAAACCATCTCTGAAGGAACATTCAAGAATAACATTGATAACATTGGTTGCCTCCTTGCTTGTGCTCTCTCTCTCTGTCAAATAAATAAATGAAATCTTTTTTAAAAAAGTGTGGGGGGTGGGCGCCTGGGGGGCTCAGTTGGTTAAGCAACTGCCTTCGGCTCAGGTCATGATCCTGGAGTCCCTGTATCGAGTCCCGCATCGGGCTCCCTGCTCGGCGAGGAGCCTACTTCTCCCTCTGACCCTGCCCCCTCTCATGTACTCTCTCTCATTCTCGCTCTCTCAAATGAATAAATAAATCTTAAAAAAAAAAAAAAAAGTGGGGGGGTACCTGGGTGGCTTAGTCAGCTAAGTGTCTGCCTTCGGCTCAGGTCATGATCCCAGGGTCCTGGGATCAAGTCCCACATCAGGCTCCCTGCTCAGTGGGAAGCCTCCTTCTCCCTCTCCCGCTCCCTCTGCTTGTGCTCTCTCTCTCTTCCTCTCTCTCTGTCTCTGTAAAATAAATAAAATCTTTAAAACAAAAACAAAACAACATTGGTTGCCTCTTGAGAAGGCACCTGGGTAGCTGGGGATGGACGGGAGACTTTTCACTACATATGCTTTTGTAACTTTTAATATATTTTTAAAGATTTTATTTATGTATTTGAGAGAGAGAGAGAGACAGAGCATGAGCAGGGGGAGGAGGCAGAGGGAAAGGGAGAAACAGACCCCACTCTGAGCAGGGAGCCTGACTCGGGGCTTTATTCTGGGACCATAAGATCATGATCTGAGCCAAAGGCAGACGCTCAACTGACAGAGCCACTCAGGTGTCCCATAACTTCTAATTTTTGAACCACATGAATGTATTACTTATTCAAGAAATATATCAGTAATTTTTTTTTTTAAGAGAAACTAATCATTACAACCTCATTCCTTAAAAATACTGTGGTTTGGGGGCCCCTGGGTGGCTCAGTTGGTTAAGTGACTCGTGATTTTGGCTCAGGTCATGATCTTAGGTTGGTGAGATTGAGCCCCTCCTTGAGCTCCATGCTGGGCATGGAGCCTGCTTAAGTTTCTCTCTCCTGCTCCCTCTGCCCCCCTCCTACTTTGCTTGCACTCTCTTTCTCTCTGTCTAAAAAAAAAATTTTATATATATATATATATATATAGGAGTTTGAAAGAGGAGGGTTGGTTTATTGCATTTGAATCACCAAAATTTTGATTGGCCTGAATAATGATGGGGATTTTATAATTTTCAAACTATTTAAATTGGTGGATCTTTGTAGCATAGAAAGAAAAAGTAGGCATTAAACCTGTATAATTGGGGCACCTGGGTGTCTCAGTCCGTTAAGCTTCTGCCTTCGGCTCAGGTCATGATCCCAGGGTCCTGGGATTGAGCCCCATATTGAGCTCCCTACTCAGTGGGGAGCCTGCTTCTTCCCTCTCCCACTCTCCCTGCTCATGCTCTTGTGCTCTCGCTCTCTCTCTCTCTGTCAAATAAATAAAACATTAAAAAAAAAAACCTATATAATCCAAGTTTTGGTATCATAAAATCTTACTAGTTTTATTTGGAAATAACTATTGATGTTTTTGTTAATATGGTTTAAAGTTTTGGGGCTTCGTTGGGTAGGTGAGAAACTCTGTTAATAATGGAGTTAAATAAATGAGAATGGAGTTGTTTTGAGGGGAAAAATATTTGAGGTTTTACACTACTTTTTAGAAATGTATTTAACCAGGCACAAAGAAGGAAAGCTGAGATTTTGTGAATTATCTGCAGGAAGTTTTAAAATCCTGACTAAACTGCCTTTTCCATTTAGCAGGTATCTAAGCTGTTTTCTATTGCCATCAATTGATGAGTACCCAAGGAATACAAGTTAATTTTTAAATCAACCAAACCAAATAACTATGTAAATTTTCTGTTTTAAACAAAAATCGTAATGTACCCTAAAACCTAAATAGAATTTTAAACTTTTTTATTTTGTGGTCATTATAGCTATGTGTATAGTTTGTTTTTTTAAGTAGGCTCCATGTCCAGCGTGGAGCCCAGTGCGGGGCTTGAACTCACGACCTGAGATCAAGACCTGAGCTGAGATTAAGAGTCAGACACTTAACTGACTGAGCCACCCAGGTGCCCCAGTGTGTACAGTTGTGAGAAATAATACAGAGAGATCCAGTGTACCTATCACCCAGTTTCCCCCATTGGTAACATTTTGCAGTAATACAATATCACAGACAGGAAATTGACATTGATACAATTCACCAACCTTATTGAGAATGAGATGCATTCATTTATGTGTTTGTGTGTGCACTTAGTTCTATGCAGTGTAATACAAGTGTAGATTTGTGTGAGCACTACCACAGTCAAGACAAAGAACAGTTCCAGGGCACCTGGGTGGCTCAATTGGTTAAGTATCCAACTCTTGGATTCAGTTCAAGTTATGATATTAGGATGGTGAAATCAAGCCCCATGTGGGCTCCATAGAGTGTGGAGTCTGCTTGAGATTCTCTCCCTCTCTGGTGCACTTGCCTCCCCGCCTACCCCCTGCTCGCACGTGCTCATGCTCTCTGTCGCTCACTCTCTCTCTAAAAAAAGAGAGAGAACAGTTCCATCACAAGGATCCCTTATGCCACTTTTATATCCACAGCTACCTCCTTTCCCACCCCATTCCTGGCCCCTGGCAACCACTAACTTATTTGTTTTCTACCTCTATACTTTTGTCATTTCAAGAATATTATATAAATGGAATCATGTAAATGGAACCTTTTGAGCTTGGCTTTTCTTCTCTTGCATAATTCCCTTAAAATCTGAGTTTTTGTTTTTATCAATAGTTCATTCCTTTTTATTGCTGAATAGTATCCATGGTATGGATTACCACAGTTTGTTTAACCATTCCTTGAAGGACATTTAAGTTGTTTCTCGTTTTTGGCTATCTATGAATGAAGCTGTTATGACCAATAATGTACATGTTTTGTGGGAACATAAATTTTCAGTTCTCTGGGATAAATGCCCCAAGGTGCAATTGCTGGGTTGCATGCTAAGTACATGTTTAGTTTTGTAAACATGTCTAATTTTGTAAATAGTTTGGCAGAGCACCTGCCAAACTATTTCCTAGAGTGACTGTACCATTTTACATTCCCACTAGCAATTTATGAATAATCCAGTTTTGCCACGTCCATGTCAGCATCTGGTGTTATCACTATTTTTTTTTTAATTTTAGCCATTCTGATAGATGTGCAGTGCATTGATGTGTTTGTTGACCCTTTTCTTATTTGTCTACAAAAGAGAAATAATTAAATTGGATATAGTGAATGGCAAACTGCTTTCATGGGAAGTTTCTCTAAAATCTTATGTAAAGTGCTTGCTTTGGCAGCACATATACTAAAAAAATAATCTTATGTAAAGACATTAGGCCTTCATTAGACAAGTTACCCCCAAGGAATTGTAAGCTTATTGGCCATAGCTTTTAACCTAGAGTTAGATTTCTTTATTTTAGAGAGAGAAAGAGAGAGTGAGCGTGTGTGCAAGTGGGGGTGGGGGTGGGCAGAGGGAGAGGGAGAAACTTAAGCAACCTCCACACTTAGTGAGGAACCCAGTGCAGGGCTGGATCTCACCACCCTAAGATCATGACCTGAGCTGAAATCAAGAGTTGGGCGCTTAACCAACTGCGCTACCCAGGTGCCCCTAGAGTTAGACATCTTTTTTTTTTTTTTAAAGATTTTATTTATTTGAGAGAGTGAGAGAGCACAAGCAGGGGGAGTGGCAGAGAGAGAGGGAGAAGCAGACTCCCCGCTGAGCAGGGAGCCCAATATGGGGCTCAATCCTAGGACCCTGGGATCATGACCTGAGCCAAAGGCAGACAGTTAACCGACTAAGCCACCCAGGTGCCCTCCGAGTTAGTCATTTGTATATAAGAGCCTCAGACCTGTGTGTTAACTGCATGCCTTCCAAATCTGATACTCTAATCTTTTCTGTTTCTCTCTGTAGGGCCATGCTTTACCTGTTGATTCTAAAATCCAAAGAGATTATGAATAATAAGATTTCAGCTAATGTATTTCAGTTTATTTTGTAATTTAAAGTAAGCAGGGGTACCTGGCTGGCTCAGTCGGTAGAGCTTGTGATTCTTGATCTGGGAGTAGTAAGTTCGAGCTCCACATTGGGTGTAGAGGTTACATAAAAATAAAATCTTAAAAAAAAAATAATAAAGCAGACAAAACCTCTTTGTTTTACTATGTATTCATCACCTCCAATTGGTGTCCTTTGGCTTGTAGTTCTAACTGTACCTGCTGGTCAGGTTGCAGAGGAAACTGTAATTGAAGAAGAGGAAGAAGCAGAGAAGTTGCCTCTGACTAAAAAACCAAGAATAGAAGAGATGACAAACAGTATGGAGGAGAGCAAGGTAATGTTTTTAGAGCAGTAGAGAGAAGAGAAAGAATCAAAAGCCAAAACTTTTAAGGTCTGAACCCTTCTTTATGTTTTTGTCTGCTCTCTGGAGAATCTGGGATGAGGAATTCTTACCTGGTGGTGACATGGTTTACCTTTACAGGAGGGCACTGAAAGAGAGCTGCTCCAGCAGCAGCTCCAGGAGGCCAATCGAAGAGCTCAGGAATACCGACACCAGCTCCTAAAGAAAGAACAGGAGGCAGAACAGTACCGCCTCAAGCTAGAGGCCATGGCCCGACAACAGCCCAATGGAGTTGATTTCACCATGGTTGAAGAGGTGGCGGAGGTAGATGCTGTAGTAGTTACAGAGGGGGAGATGGAAGAGAGAGACACAGAAGTGACTGGGGCAGGAGGGACCATGGAGCCTCATCCTGGAGTTTCCTTGGAAACTGTTTCATCTTAATGTGCAAGGGCCACAACTTGTACTGTGTCCATCTTTTTCCTCTTTTTAAAAGAAAATACAGAGGACAGGACATTGTATAAAAATTAAGAATGTCCTTAAGAAGAAAACTATAGCAGGGTACAGTGCTTGGGCTCAGGAAGGCTTGCTATGCAACTGGAAAATTCAAAGCCAAATTTAGGGAATACTTCTTTTGAGGGACCAAAAGAACAAGGACCAAATTTCTTAGCTCACATCATTGCTTTAAGCTTAGAGGTAAAAGAATGCTGGATATTGTGGGTTGATTGTGTTTTAAATAACTGACTTTGTATCAGAAGATTTTAAGATAACACTCCTAGTAGAGACACACAGAGCCTTTAATAAGTGTACCGTCAAGTGACCTTAAAATTTGCCTTAGATTTATGACGTGTACCTGGTAGAGAAGAAAACTAACTGGGAGGTGGATTAGAAGCAAGCTTTTGGGAAGAGAAAGAAATACATTCCACTTGCAAAGGAGCAGGCATTCCCCTCTATCCTGAATTAATTTCACTGAAAAGAAATTGATAGTTGCCTAACTCTGCATCCATTATGTGTCCATAAGTCAGATGCCAGTTTAAGAAACTGAAGTGGAATATTTAAAAACTGGAAAGGAAAGAAAACTTGTTTATGTGGGAGAAGTGTATGTAAATTCAAAATCCTCCAGGCTGTGCTTCCACAATGCTGGAAAGTGGCCAGAAAGAGGCTTGTGAGGTTATGAAACAATCTGGTCTCGAGATACAAACTTTGCTCTGGCTGGATTTTATAAAATTGAAATCAGGAGGATAGTCTGTTGCTAGAACAACTTGCTTCCAAACATTTATTTCTATAATATCGAGCTTTAATAACAACTTTTTAATTTTATAAAATTTTGTTGAGTTTTCTAAGTGTGCCTTTCTGTGGAGCTTACATGGTACCCTCTTCATTGCAAAAAAAGAAGTCGGGGGAGGGGTGAGTCCTGAGGGTGTTGGTGGAGTTTTGTTTCCATTTGACTTGGGATGAGCAAATGGTTCTGTTTCCTTAAGGTTGGGTTTTGTGCAGAGCTTTTGTGCTCAGTGTGTGTTGGCAAAGGGAGTGAAAAACTAGAAGTGCCATAAAGTAAGGAACCAAAAATTCTGGCTCAGTGACTTCATCTGCTTGACTTCCTTCCCTACCACTATGCCTGCTCCCTTTGCCTAGACACTTCTGGAAAGTGTTTTGTTGCTGGGTTTTCTTTGTGCACCAGTTTGGAGTTTTTTTAAAAGAAAGGGGATATGGATGGAGAGAGAGAGGTTGTGGAGAGGTTACATTACAGAAGTTACTGTCTTTGAAATTGGGCCCCCATCTTTCTAGACCTGCTTGCTTGCTTTATTGTAAATTAGAAGAAGAAACCAGAGGATGTGCCAAGTAAACATTTGAATGACTGTTTAGAATACGGTTTTCTTAATTAGCGATCATGGGGAAAACATACATTTTTAATTTGGAATAAAACTTAACATGGTTCTATTTACCTTGATTAGTGAAGTAATTTGCTGCAGTTTTCCAGAGGTGCAGAATCATGTGGGGCTCAAAATAGACCTAAAACAACTCGCCAAACCAAATTTGACAAACAAATTTGTTATTAGAGGCTTACAAGCAAAAATACCAGTTTGAAATTAATCTTGGCTGTTGGCCACCTTAACTAGGTTTTCTCCATAGACTTGAGAGATTACTCTTGGTTTGGGGGGATGACGAGAAGCCTAGGTAAGGTCTAGGGTGAAATTGTGCCATCTGCTGTCAAATTGTCCTTTTTCAGCTTGCAATGTTTTTCTTTTTTCTGAGTCCCTTTGTGAACCAGGTGCTAACAATAAGCTGCTATTGTGTGCCATTTCAGAGCCTTAGCTTAACTATAGAGATAGAGGGACCAAGTGTCATTTTAGATATGTTTGGTTTATGTTCTTTGTGTATATATTGACTTTAATTCCTTTTTTTTCCCCCCTTGCCTGTTAAGGGGGTGGAGGTTAACTCTGCAGAGGATATCCAGGCCCAGCCACCTCTCTCTCTGGGGTAGCTTCTGACTAGGGGCAGGAGTTGCCATCCAGCACTCCCTGCTGAGCATACAGAGTCCCTACTGTTTTGGGGAACTGTTCAGAAATTATTATCATTCTCTTTCTGTAGGAGGCTGTCATTCTCACCTAGAAAAATCTCTAATACAGTCCAAGTCATTTTTGATGATGGAGTCTCTGAGATAGGGAGTTGGGTTAGGGAAAGAGAAAAGAGAAATGTCTGGAAAGGGAAGAGTAGCAAAAAGGTATTTGTTGTTATTTACTTGAAATACCTTTTAGCATCCCAGAGAAGGGAAATAGGATTTGATCCCCAGTTGTTTTTTTATTTTTAAAAAATTTTTTTATTTTTTAATTTTTTGACAGAGAGAGACAGCGAGAGAGGGAACACAAGCAGGGGCAGTGGGAGAGGGAGAAGCAGGCTTCCCGCCGAGCAGGGAGCCCGATGAGGGGCTCGATCCCAGGACCCTGGGATCGTGACCCGAGCCAAAGGCAGACGCCTAACAACTGAGCCACCCAGGCGCCCCTGAACCCCAGTTGTATTGCCATGGAGAAAATGGCAGGTCAGGATTCCTTGAAGTAGTCAGAAATATTAAATGCATTAATGGCAATACCATTTTATGATTTTGCATCTTTCAGGATCAGCAATGGAAGTTGGGAAAATGTTGCTAGATCTTCTGGGTTGATGGATCCCAACTGGTTTATTGGCGAGATTGAATTACAGAGAATCAAATAACAGACAGGTGGTTCAGAATTGGTACTTAAACAGGAGAAACCTGGAACCTAGGATGATTGCCTACTTTAAAATAAAGCTGCTTTAACAATATCAGTATTAATTTATGAATTTTAGGTCTTAAGCCTTCCCCGAAAAAAGAGAAAGAAAGAAGTCCTAGTATTTCTGTTCTTGTTCTTAGCTTCAGGGAAATTACTTATAAATATAAAATGTACAGTTCCCTTCCTATCACTACCTCTATGGGATCTTTTAATTGTAATGGCAGAGTTGAGGTTTTTTAATGGAGATATGGGAGAACTTGACTTTAGGTTTTCTGTTTTGAACTCAGTGCCTTAAAAGATGTTCTTTTTCTCTGTCAGATCCATGTGTATTTTTGGCTTTGGCTTTCCCCCTTCTTCAGCCTTACCATTGCATTATTAAAATTTTTGTGTCTGCTCAGTAATGTTAGAAATCTATGGCATACAAAAGTACTTTCTTTCTTTATATTGATGTAAAAGAAATGAATTTACCAGAAGGCTCTACAGTCAAAGTTCGGTATTGCATGACCAGGGCACTTCTAATAGCCATTTGCTGGGTGCATATTGGTGTGTACATTTATAAATACATACGGATTTTCCCACTTTTTGTTTATTTAAGGTTCAGCTCTAAAGTACCTGGTATCGCTTCTCGGCCTTTTGGCTAAGATCAAGTGTAGTAAAGTACCTGGCATAACCTGGAAATATTTTCATTTCATTTAACACGTTAAAGAGGGCTTCTGTGGCTTCACTAAAGGGGCTGAGGAAGAAAAAGCTTTATTTTGGCCCTTCTCTGAGAGGTGTGCTCTAACTGGTGTAAACCCCAGGGAGAACCAGTATGTGGCTTTACAGAGATTTGTTTAGCATGTGGCGTGATGACACCATGGGAGCTAAATGGTTCAGAGCAGTGTCAGGGGTAAAGCTGGAGCTGCCTTTCTCAGAGCACGCCTCCTATGCACTCCTCTAGGCAGCGGTTTTCTCTTACACCTCAGAACAGGAAAGAAACCTTAGATAAAGGGATCACGGCACAAGGAGCAGGCATTCTGTACATCTGTTTTCCCAGGTTAGAAATCTCACCTTTTTGAGAAATGATCGTTTTGAGAAAGTTTGTGTGGCTCTCTGCTAACAAACATCATTATGGACCTCCAGAGCTAGAAAATTTCAGGCATATAGTGAACTCTTCCCAAAAGTTGGGTATTGAGTAGAAATCGGTTTTTATCCAGATTTACTGGAGAATGGCCTCCTTGTGCAGACATCTCTGTATGGCCAGAAAAGGAGCTTTAGAATGGAATATGTGAGCACCACCTATATACTGTTCAGGGCTCTTACCTATCTCCATTTTATGTGATGAATATTTTCAGAGTTGGTACTCTGTTTCCTATGCCAATATATTTAATAAGAGAGCAGAAGTAAGAAGGATGAATTTGAATTAAGTAGCTTTGAGCCTCTGTTGCTGCCTTTTTTTTTTTTTTTTTTTTTTTGGAGCCTCTCTAGGATTAGTGGGTGGGGTGACATTCCTAGACTCTACAGTAGCAATTTGGCTGGTTAATGGCAGGAAATTGTGATTCCCTATCTCTCCCCGCGCCCCCCCCCCCCCGCCCTTTCCCCTCTAAACTACTTCTGCTTCTGTGACCCCATTGTTTTTATCTCACTGAGTCTTTCCCAGGCACTAGAACTTAATTAGTTGGTCATTTCTAATCTATGGGCCTTGTCTTTCCTCTTTCCACTCCCCTCCTTCCCTATTACATGCATTTTCTGTTTATTCTGAAGTGGTTTGTTTCTGAGAATTAATCTAGGTCATACCCTATATCCTGTGCTTCCTAGTTGGTTTCAGGCATCTTGCTTGACTAAAAATAATGACTGCAGCTCCCTTCTCTGGCTTTGTCCTGTGGCCTGTCCTCCTGACAAGGCCATTTATGTTGGAGGAGGAGAGAAAGAGGGTGGGTGGGGTCCCTAGATTCTTCTCAAAATGTCCTCAGTTTTTCAGGTTTTCTGACAGCTTTATGTACAGTGTGTTTTAAGAAAACTTAAATATACTTCTCTTTTTTTATTTAGGATTTTAATAGGATTTGATTTTGATGAGGAAGGGTGTGTGTGTGGGGGGGTGATCATTTGTGTGTATATACACTTATACAGATCTATATTATATATATAATTTTTGTACTATCATTTAAAATAAAGATGTTTCTTAATAAAATGTCAAAGTCTTACCATTTCAGAGTGTCATTGAAAGTTTTTTCCATCTCCTGGGCAAAAATTGTACCTAGTCCCTGATCACAGATAAATCTCAATAGGAAGTTTTCTCTGTCTAGCTGAGCTAATGAGGATGGAGCCAGGGGGAGGGTGTGTTTGTGTGTGAGGGGTCTTCCTTCCCCTGTTGTGGTCTCTTCTAACCTATTCACACCCTCTGCATTTTCCTTACCCTAGTTCCTACTGGTTATTTGAAATAGGCAGAGCAAGTGGAGGTAAGGACTGAAGTGAGAATGGAGAGAGCTTAAGACTGGTTTGTTAGATTTACATCTTCCTCCCTTCTGTCATTCCCCACTCCCTTCCCAAAAGCAAACAACCAGGAGAAGAGCCAAGTAGCTGAAGGAAATGACTCTGTGCCTTGTGTGGGAGTAAAATCAATGCTAAGAAAGGTTTGGCGGGGAAAGGATGGGCCATCAGGTTCAGGGAGGCTTGGAAATAGATTTGCTCTGCTGGCTCCTCAGCTATTCTTAGTTAATAAGGTGCTTGTTGCTATCTCAGTCCAATTCAGCATACGTTTATTAAGTACATACGAGTAGCAGTGTGGTTGTAGCACAAACCCCACTGATATCCAGGGCTGAAGAGACTCATCTGGCTGACTAGATGGGGTCCTCATCCTCATCCAGGGTATAGTGTTCTCAAAAGCTGCTCCATTGGCAATAAGGATGCCTTTCTTCAATAAAGGAGGGGAATACCAAAGTCAAAGACATGTAAGCATCTGTGTTCAACAACTAGAATCTCCAAGTCAGTATTTAGGAAATTGAACATTTACCATGTACTAGGCTACATATAGATAATTGCTTTTTGGTAAATACATATAGTCAAAAAATCCAGTACACATTAATTAATAAGGTACAACTGGCAGAGTACCTCATAAATGCGTGTACAGTCTTTGTTCTGTTGAGAGGAAAAGAGCAGGCAAAGAAAACAGAACAAGAGCAGGGACTTGAGGCTTGAGAAACAAAGAACTAAAAGTCTTATTGAATTAAAATCCTAGTGAGAGAAATCATCAGGAATGTGGGAAAGTTGGAAGGGAACTGGGGAGATAGGAACCTAGAGTTCTCTGAAGGGTAATATTCTTTTTGTTTGTTTGTTTAATGTTTTATTTATTCATGAGAGTCAGAGAGAGAGGCAGAGGCAGAGGAAGAAGCATACTCCCCCCTGAGCAGGGAGCCCGATGCAGGACTCGATCCCGGGACCCTGGGATCATGACCTGAGCCGAAGGCAGACGCTTAACCATCTGAGCCACCCAGGCGCCCGAAGGGTAATATTCTTAAAGGATGGGAAAGAAACATGAATGAAGGCAACTTTCCCAAGATTTCCTCTGTGAAAATGAGCGCTTTACTCCAAGATAAGTAGGTAGAAAATACAAGAGAAGGGTGAAGTGGGAGCAACTTCATGATAACCACACACCTGCATAGGGTTTGTGCAAGATATCTGATAGGTAATAGAGTAAGTTTGTTAAGACTATAGGGGATACCTTAAAAAAAAATGGAAATGGGTAACTGGGAAATTAATAGTAATGCCCAGTAGACAATTTAAGTATACGTGTTATAAAAATGTTTTTGGGGGGCACCTGGGTGGCTCATTCGGTTAAGTGTCAGCCTTCGAATCAGGTCATGATCCCAGGGTCCTGGGATTGAGCCCCATGTTGGGCTCTCTGCTCAGCAGTGAGTCTGCTTCTCCATCTCCCTCTGTGATCTCGCTCACTTTCACTCTCTCTCAAATAAATAGTTTTTTAAAAAAATGTTTTCTTAAGAAAAAGACTGTAGGGGCGCCTGTGTGGCTCAGTCGTTAGGCGTCTGCCTTTGGCTTGGGTCATGATCCCAGGGTCCTGGGATCAAGCCCTGCATTGGGCTCCCTGCTCAGTGGGAAGCCTGCTTCTCCCTCTCCCACTCCCCCTGCTTGTGTTCCCTCTCTTGCTGTGTCTTTCTCTATCAAATAAATAAATAAAATCTTTTAAAAAGAGAAAAGAAAAGCAAAAGACTGTAAAGGACCCCTGAGCAAGGTGTGGGGCTGCACTCTGCTTCCATAACCAGTCCTAAAGTTTAAGGAAGTTCTTACTGTAAAGGAAAGTGGTATTTGAGGAGCCAATATTATAAATAATAACAGTAGCTTCTATGCCTAAGTTTTTTTTTTTTTTAAGATTTTATTTATTTGACAGAGAGAGACACAGCAAGAGAGGGAACACAAGCAGGGGCAGTGGGAGAGGGAGAAGCAGGCTTCCCACCGAGCAGGGAGCCCGATGCGGGGCTCGATCCCAGGACTCTGGGATCATGACCTGAGCCTAAGGCAGACGCTTAACGACTGAGCCACCCAGGCGCCCCAAGAGTTTTTATTTTTTTTTAATTTTATTTTATTTTTAAAGATTTTTATTTATTTATTTGACAGAGAGAGAGACAGCGAGAGCAGGAACACAAGCAGGGGGAGTGGGAGAGGGAGAAGCAGACTTCCTGCCCAGCAGGGAGCCTGATGCGGGGCTCGATCCCAGGACCCTGGGATCATGACCTGAGCCGAAGGCAGACACTTAACGACTGAGCCACCCAGGCGCCCAAGAGTTTTTTTTTTTTTAATATTTTATTTATTTATTTGAGAGAAAGATCACGAGAAGGGGGGAGGGGTAGAGGGAGAAGCAGACTCCCCGCTGAGCGGAGAGATCGAGCCAATGTGGGGCTCGATCCCAGGACCCTGAGATCATGACCTGAGCCGAAGGCAGACAGACGTTCAACCAACTGAGCCACCCAGGCGTCCCTTGTTTTTTTTTAAGTAAGCTCTTCACCTAATGTGGGATTTGAACTCATGACCCAAGATCAAGAGTCACATGCTCTACTGACTGAGCCAGCCAGGTGCCCCTCTATGCATTAAAGTTTTGTTATATGTCTGGCATTGAGCTCATCATTTTACATACACACAAACGTACCTATCTTGCAAGGTATGTATTATCTTCAGACTATAGATTAAACACACGCACACACACACACACACACAGTTTGTGACTGCCCAGAGTCCCTCAGCTTAAAAAAAAAAAAAATTGTTCTTTCTAAAACTACAATTTCTACACAGTTTTTGGTGTTCTTTCTGCTGTAGTTTGTCTTTTAATCAGAATATGATCTTACTTGACTTTGGGCAGGTAGTTAAGAAACTGGGGTGACATAACTTCAAGCAGCTTTTTTGCAAACTCCTCAAAGTCAGTTTTGCTCCAAAACTAATTCAGGAGGCATCTCCACAAAGTTGCTGGCCAGCAGTACTTGAGGAAGGAGAGTCAAAGATAACCTCTCGCAGAGAATGGATGCAGTCTTCACCTCTAGGTATTCTGGATAGCTTCTGTCTTCCCTTCCAGATTATTCTCCTCCCTCTAAATCTTTTTCTCTATCCTGGGAGCTAACCTGCATGAATTTCATCAATGGGCTCCCTGCACTTTGGGCTTCCACTTTGATTCAGCCAATAGGGGGCTCTGGCAGGAGACTGGAGGGAGATCTGAAAAAACTGAAATCAGTATATGGATTTCCCAGGTTCCATTCCTTGGAGTCCCCAGGGCCTAGCTGTATCCTTTGATTAAAGGTCACTGCTCCTCTTAATGCAGCCTCTCCTTCCAGTTCCAAATAACCCATTATCTCCCTTTGTCTTTTCAGGCCTAAGGCTCTTACTCGCCTCCAGTTACTGACCTATCCTTTGCCCACACTTTTTAAAATCAGCCCTTCATTATTTTGAGCATGTTGTCTATTTCCTATTGGGACCCTAATACATGTGTGGTAAAGGTAGGCAATCTTTCGGATTCATAGGCTTCATATTTTATCCATGTACTTCAACCTTACTCTCATCTGTGTAACCTTAAATTCTTATAAGTCAACGTATCTGAAGGTCAACTGCTGGATTAAGTAGCAGAAAGTGACTCATACCTGTATGGTTCCCAAGTGTGGGGTGGGCATCAAGGAGACAGAAATCTGAGAGACAATAATAGCTCAGGCTCCTATGACTTAGCTCCTAAAGAACCCAAGGCGCTGAACAGCTTTTCAAGCTTTGTGACTGTGGAACCTTCTGTGTTTCAGATCCCCAAAGCCTTACACAAGCTGAGGGACTCTGCCTACTGGGGCCATGGTTTCTCCATAACCTCCCAGGATGCCTCTGAGAAATCAGCTTAGAAATCCCTCAGGGTGAGGATTTTATCCTCTTGCTGGCACATGCTGGTGTTTCTAAAGACAAAGTTTGAACTAATAATTTTAAAAAAGTATCAACAGTATCCTTAAGTATTTAAGTATCCTTAAATTAAGGGGTCATGTTTATCCCTCTGTTGTCAGGGACAGTAATTTCTTTGAATTCATTCCCTTAGTTTATTATTCACCACTCTCTACCAGGATAAAGTATTTCATGAGTATTATTGAATTGCAGACTTCATAGTAGTCTACTTTATTTGGGGCAAATAACCTTTTCCTACAAAGCACTTAATTTAAACCTATATATTTATATGCTGCTTTATAACCTCCTATTGGCATATATCCTTTACATGCTTTACAAAAGAAATTGAGGCACAGAGAGGTTAGTCACGCACAAAACTATTAAGTGGCAGAGTCCAAGGACTGTTGCTGTCACTGCAACACAACTGCTTTCACTAGACCTGATAAGGTTCTGAGAGTCCAGCTTAGGCTCTCTTGGCTAGAGAAGTCGCCATACTTTGTAAATGAACACCCTTCTTGATTAAAATGAAACCAGGACTTTAACCTGTAAATTGCTGTTGTCTGCACAGAGTCACAAGATTAACTTCTTTTGAGTCTGTATTTAAACCTAAAGATCATTTACCCCTTTGTCGTGACCACCTTCAGGGCAAGAACGGAAGTATTTGTGAGACTTGTCCTTCAGAAGGCTGAGAAACGCTGCAGCCCTAACATTTTTCCTTTTTTTGTTTTGTTTTGTTTTGTTTTAAAGATTTTATCCATTTATTTGACAGAGACACAGCGAGAGAGGGAACACAAGCAGGGGGAGTGGGAGAGGGAGAAGCAGGCTTCCCGCCGAGCAGGGAGCCCGATGTGGGGCTCGATCCCAGGACCCTGGGATCACGACCTGAGCTGAAGGCAGACGCTTAACAACTGAGCCACCCAGGCGCTCCCCTAACATTTTTCTTTGTCCTGGCTTTAACACCTTGGTTTGAAGAGGATAATGAAGTCAGGTGATTAGAAAGTTGCTCTCTCTATTCCTTCCTTGCTCTTCTTCACTATCTAGAAAACTAGCAATGGTTTTAAAGCATCTTGGTTTAATGGGGCACCTGGGTGGCTCGGTCGTTAAGCGTCTGCCTTCGGCTCAGGTCATGATCCCTGGGTCCTGGGATCGAGCCCCGCATCGGGCTCCCTGCTCGGCGGGAAGCCTGCTTCTCTCCCACTCCCCCTGCTTGTGTTCCCTCTCTTACTGTGTGTCTCTCTGTCAAATAAATAAATAAAATCTTGAAAAAAAAAAAGCATCTTGGTTTAAGTAAGACATCTGAAGAGGGGAAAACTAAAACCTAAAGGATCTCTCCAACCTGGGGAAACAAGCTCCAAGCAGAGGGTAGCCTGGGGAACAAATTTGGCAGAACAAGGTGTGAGGAAAGTTCGGAGAGCGACTTTAAAAAAACCTTGAGGGTAAAATCTATAAATGAAGATTGTAAGGATACAAAAGGAAACAGATTGCTTGGTAGATCGCAAAGTTAGGACACCTAAGCATGGGTTTGGAGGAATCGACATCTCACAAGGTACCATGCTTTCTCCTTTAAAAGCATTTTAACATATAATTACTTGAGCCTCTCAAACAACCCCATTTTTCAGATGAGGAAATTGAGACTTAGGGCAAAGTTCTGACTTGTCAGGATTACAGGTAATAAGGGCGGAGCTAGACACATTCACGGTTCTTCACCAAATTGTTCTCAGCAGTTTCCCGCTCAAGGCAGTCCGGTGGCGAACCGGGAAAGGGACTGCCAAGGCTTCCTTAGCTGCAGGGCTTGGGCCGGCCTCCAGGCGGCACCAGTGGAACGGCGGCCTAGGGCTCCCAACTGAGCGGATACTCCGGCCACGCGCCGGTAAAGACCCGGACTTGTAAATCCCAAAAGCACCCACCGCCCGCGCGAAGCTTTAAGTGTCCTTAAACTCGAGGTAGTGGGCGGGGCAGAAGGTCCTGTCCGCCCCTCCCATTGGTCCCCGGGATAACAGACAGGTATCTTCAGCCAGCTCCGGCCGGAGGAACGACGGCACAGGCACCAGCTAGCTGATCCTCGGAGCGCGGGGCTGGAGCGCGGCCCGAGACTCCGAGACAAGAGGTTACGCATGCGTGCGAGGAAACACGCGCTCCTACACCCCCTCCCGCTCTGAGAAAGGGAATTAACTGCTCCTTAGGGAACTGGCAAGGGTAGCCCCTACCACCAATAGGGCTGAATCCTTTGCTGTTCTTTGCAGCCTACCCATCGTGCGACCCACACTCTCCAAATTCTTTAGGACAAGATTTCCTGTTGTGAAACTTAAATCACTTGCGCTGCAGCTTCATTTTATTTCTCAAAAAATACCCTCCCCCCACCCCCACGGAACAGGCTATGAAAACATCCTCGATCCAGAAACGAGCTCCGGTGCCCTCCCCACCCCACCTAAGTTCTGCCGTGGGTCTCCCGGGCCCTGGTTCATCTCCACACACCCATTTCTTCGCTTGCCTCCTTCAGGAAACCTTTCCTGATTAACCCCGGTGGGACCGCAGCCATCCCAATTACTCGGGAGAGAGTGCAAGGCCAAGCGAAGGCAGAGAGATTCGGGGGCAGAGGCGCCTCGCGAGCGGACCGGTTCCCGCCCCGCCCCCTCCGCTAGGAAAGTCAGGCACGGCTCGGGGACACAGCTGTATTGGGAAGCGGAGGCTCCTACACAGTAGGAGGAGGCACGTCCCGGGAGGCCCGAGGACTCTGTACACAACGCGCGCGCGGCCCCAGCCCCGTCGGTCTGTCCGTCCGCCCTGCGGCCCGCCCGCGGCCCAGTCTATGGAGGAAGCCCGGAGGGGCGAGTTAAGGCAGCTTGGCTGAGGGAGGGGGGGGGGGGTGGGAGTGCGCCAGTTCCCCCCCGAAAAGCTGGCTCACTGAGGGGGCGAGCTTCTCACCTCCCACTCCTCTCTCGAGGACAGGGGGAAAAGACAGTCAATAAATAAACCCGAGGCGGGCTGGGACCCCGGGAGACTCTCAGAGTCCAGGAAGGCTGGAGGTGTGGAACACGGAGAGAGGGAGGGGATCTGTCCTTGGAGATGCGTCCATGCTCTTGGCCTTTGAGGGCACGGGCCTCAAGGGCGCCATTGGAGGACGTGGCGCAGCTCCTTTTAAAAGTTAAAATGGCTGCCGTTGGGGAGAGCCGGCTGGGAGGAGGGTGAGACGAGAGGCTTCGGGGGCAGCTGGGGCTTCTCGACGTCCACCCTCTTCAGAGCGCGGCCCCGATACCCCTCCGGCCGGCCCAGGTACAGGAGATGTCTCCCGGGACCCCCGCAGTACCTGGAAGGGCCCCCTGAGGGGACCCGAGTGAGCAGGGCGGGGGGTGCACGGTGCGTGGTTAAGGGCATCCTCCGGCTGCTCCCGACCCCTAGCCGGGGAGCCGGGTCGGAGAGCGCGGGCCGGATGGAGGGCGCCGCGCACTTCCCCTCGGGGGGCACGTCCAGCCTCAGCGGCGGACCACACTCCCGGGGGAGGAGGCTGGAGCCCGCAAAGAGGGTGGGGGTGGGGATCGGCTCCGGCGGGAGCGCCCGCGAGGTAAAGGCCGCCACGGCCGGGGGCTCGGCCCCCTTCCTGGGCGGCTGCGGGCCGTGCAGGTAGCGCAGCAGTTCCTCCAAGGTGGTGACTTCCACGGCCTGCCCGGGACAGCCCGGCGGCGGCGGCCTCACCAGCACGCGCGGCGCGGGGCCGCCCGCTGCGTTTCCGCCCCGCGCGCGGCCGGGGCCCTCCTTGGCGTTGTTCCGGTTCTCGTTCCACTCCCAGGGGCCCCCAGCGTGGCGTAGGTGCTTGACCGGCAGCTCGGGCGTGGACTCCGGCGTGGGCAGGCAGGCCAGCTCCGGCGGGGCTACGCCCTCGGGGGGAGGCAGGAAGGTGGTGTAGAGCTGGGGCGGCTGCGCCCCGTCTCCATCCTTGCACGGCGGCAGCTCTGGGCCCGCACCGTGCAGCCGGGCCAAGCTGCGAAGGGAGAGAGGGCGCGGGAGCCCCGGCGTCTCGACGTCCTTGCTCCGACGTCTGTGGGCTCGGCGACAAGCGCAGGAGACCAGGAGGCCGGAGACTGAGGCGCCCAGGGCGAAGGCTGCAGCAGCACAGGCCAGGAGGAGTGTGATGGGGACGGAGAGGGAGGCTGAGGCTGGGGGGAGGTCCCGGCGCACGCCTGCTGACCGAGAGGGAGGAGGGAGGCTCAGCCAGGTAGGTGGGCATGGGAGGGCAAGTTCGAGTTTCTCCTCTCTGCTGCTCAGCTTCACCCCAGCACAGGCTGACCGTCCTCAGAATGGCCTCCCCTGCCCTCAACACACACAGTCAGCCCAGCCCAGCACACTAGACCTCACACACAGCCCCCAGCCCAGCTCTGGCCCCTGTAGCCATGCCAAGAGCGAGTGCCAAACTCTGCCCGTGCAGAAGGCCGTGGGTCCGAGATGCCCAGCTCTGGGGAGGGGAGGCTCCAAACAGGCATTAGTGAGCGCCAAACACGTCAGGGAGGGGCTTAGAATTCTTCCAGACTCAGCAGCCCCACACTTCACTCCTATCCCTCCCCGCCAGCCCCCTTACCCTGAGTGTGAGCTCCAAGAGTGGAAGACTGGGGCCGGGGGTGGGCATCACTGGGGGGGCTGGGGGTCTCAGGGGAAGGGCCAGGACCCAGAAGCACTGGTGACAGAGACCAGGTCAGAGCCAGTGAGGCTCGTGTCTTCCTTCCACCGCTGACACCCGCTCGGTAGGTCCTCCCCACCCCGCCCCCACTTTGGAACCCAAAGGCCCAGAACTCCAGCCGCTACTTTCCTCTGGAGGGTGGGGGGAGGCTCACCATGCCGGACATTCTTTCATGTTTTGTTTTGTTTTTTCAAACACTATTTATTAAGCACCCTACTGTGTGCCAAGCACTGGCTGTATGCGGGCTATCTGGAGGATGCTGACCCTCTTCTGAGACGCAGCGCGTGCAGTGTCTGCTGCTGCCGCGGGGCCCAGACTTGGGTGAGCGTGGGCCGAGCAAGGGAAGATGGCGTTGGGATAGGCAGACTCACCATAAGCAGAATCGCCTGTGCCAGACTGACTCCCAGTGGCTCCATCTATGAAGAAGGGGGACAGAGGGTGACGATGGAGGCAGGGGGAGCTTCAGGAAGAGCCGAAGGGGGCGACTGTGCCACAGAAGTACGGACAGCCACACCTGGGATGGTAGCTGCTGGCCGTCAGAGGGGCGTGCAGCTGCGGCCACGGCTGCCCCTTCCCCTCCGTTTACCTTGGCAGTCGCTGTGCTCCGTGGGTTCCTGGTTCCCAGCTGGATCCACATCAGTCCTAGGGCAGGGGTGGAGGTGGCTTAGTGCAGTCATACATCTTGCCCCCAGCCCCCACCCCGGCCCTCAGCTTCCTCTGCTAGCGGTGCGGACCGAGCTTTCTCCTCAGGAGATCTGGGGGCCCCTCACTTACCCACCAGGTCCCCTGATATCCACACAGCCTCTGGAGCTGTGCCATCCACAGTATGGGTCCTGAGAAGCCAGACAGCTCCTGCGGAAAACGGAGTCATGTGAGGCTCTCCACTCTAATCACATCCCGTGGCCCTGCCCTTCCAGCTCTCACCCTGGCCTGCAGGAGGCCCCTAGCCCCATAGTGCCATCCTGTGCTATCCCAATTCCTATTCTAGGCCCTGGTCACTGCCCACCTGCAGAGTGCTTGGGGCAGCCCTCCCTCCCGCCAGCCCCTGCATTTCCCGGCCGCCCCCCACGCCTGTGTTCTTGTGCTCCTGCTGGCCCAGGCAGGTCTGCCCTCGGCCCGTCTCACCTCCGACAGGCCCCGTGCCGGGCACACCGGCTGAGAGGGAGGTAGATGATGCAGCCAGAAAAAGCCACAAAGAGCCTGTGACCTTCAGTGTCCAGCTCCAGCCCTATGACCCGCCGTGCTGTCTGGGCGGCCCGCTTCCCACGGCACCTAGGGTGAGGCCAGAAGGACTCAGGGATGGGGCAGGGGAGGCTTCTTTCTCCCTGGCTCAGTTAAAGAACAGAAGGTGGGGAGGCACCCGAGCACTGACTACAGCTCATAAGGCTGCCCTAGCACACTAGTCTAGCTTCTTGCCAAACCCCTCTACCCTACAGCTTCGGCCATCAGAAGCCAGTGGAGTTCCCACCCCATCCTCACATCCCCACCTACCACCTCACTTCCCATTCCTGCTCTGCAGGTGGTTGCGGGGGCGGTGACTGCCAGACCAAGGCCTCACCTGGAGGGGCTGTAGGCATTGATTTCTTCCAACAGGATGGGCTCACGTCTGCCAGATGGCCCCCCTGGGGGCAGCACCTTCAGCACGGTCCCATCGTTGGAGCCCAGGAACAGGACTGTGGTGTTACTGTAGGGACCAGCCCTACCATCCACAGCTAACTGGGTCAGTAGCGCCCTGGAGGAATAGGCCTCAGTCAGGGCCACCTGACTGGTGGAAGCTGGAGTGTCTCAAGGATAGCCGATGTATCCTGGCTCCCACTCCTGGGTCCTTCCCCCCAGCCCAGAGTTTCCTTCTTACCTCTCTCCCTCCACGTTCATAGGTCCTTCCTCCCAATATGACTTACCTTGTGAGGTCAGAGAAGGAGAGTGGCTGGGGCGTGGGGCGTGGGGCGTGGGGCGTGGGCAGTAGTTGTCTTTTTAGTAGCATACCTGCTGGTGAGGGTGAGCAGAGGTTGATGGGTGGCAGGTGGCACAGCGGGGTCCAGCAGTGGGTGAGCCTTGATGAAGGTCAGGACGTCATCGGGGAGGTCTCGAGAAGAGGGGAACAAGGCAGCCACACCTACTCCTGCACAGGATCCTGGCCTGGTAGGTGCATGGGAAGGGACAGTGTTAGGACAGGGAGCCAGGGCTTAGTTAGGCTCCGTGCCCCCCACTAACTGCTCTCAAACACGATTGGTAACCCTTGCCCTCCCCCTTCACACAGACGTTCACACTACCGCTTGCCCCTTCTCTACAGCTCACCAGTCCCACGCCAACCCACTGAGCCCCCTCCCCATAATCCCATAGACCCTCTCTTCATAATCCCATGTGGGAACACACCGCTTGCTTCTGTCCCCCCGCCCAAAACCCACTCCCATCCGGGGTACCTGGGGGATGGAACCCTGTCCTCAGACACAGGTGTCCAGGCCCCATCCAGACTCCTCTGCTCCTTGAACTTGCCCTCAAACCCACGCTCGATATCATCCAGGTAGAAGGCACAGACCGCAGAGCCAGGGATGCTGAAGGAGCCAGAGAAAGATGTGCGCTAGGTATTGGAAGGGATAGCACAGCTCCTCCCAGGTGAGACATGGCAGCCACCCTTAAGTACCATATTAGGGGGTGGAGCCCAAGAGGGCGAGGCAGCCCCTGGGGGCCATGCTGGGAGAAGAAAGAGCAGAACAGCAAACTGGCTTTGAAGGGAGTTTCCCCTCACTATAGGGGCTTTGAGAGGGGAGCTTGGACGCTGGGGGATAAGGGACAGATTGGAGTATACTGGTTAGTCTAGTACTAACCTATTGGTCTGGGTGGAGAAGACCCCAAAGAGAGCAGAGCGGCCATACAAGTCCACAGGCCCAGTCAAGGCCTGTAAGACGTCAAAATAGAAGGTAGAGTCCCCAGGGACAGAGCAGTTGAGCCTCAGCTTCAGGAAGGATGTCCAGTGGCGGTCCAAGGCCCGAGGCGAGCCACCCATGTCACGCTTACACACACGGGCCACTCGGGAGAACTGTACCTGGGGGAGGGGGGGGGTGCGGAGAACAGTGAGGCCCTCAGGGCAAGCGGAGCATGGTGGGGGAGGTGGGGAGGGAGGGACTCTGGAGTGCTGGAGCACCAAGGGACAAACGCCAGGGCCACAGCAAAGGAAGGGTATAGTGTGGTAGATCGGACTGGGTCAAGGATGAGGGACGCAGCAGGATGGATGTGGGGGCAGAGGGTTGGGGGCTACTCCCAAGTTGGGGCTCAGAGTCCAGGGGATTGCGTGGTGGACATTAGGGCCACGAGCTCTCCCCTGACTCTGACTGGTTCCTCAGGATCAAGCAGAACCCTCTAGCTGCCCACCTTACCCTTCCCAGCCGGGCATCCTCCACAGAGACCTCTCGGAAGAAGAAGTAGACATGGTCTCCATGCTCCAAGGCGTGGACAAAGTGTGGCTCTGAAAGGGGAGAGACAGGAAATGGTACGCTCAGAAACTCCCGGCCCCACCCAGCCTCTTGCCTTTGCATACATGCACAGTACCACCGCCATCTGCCTGCTCCCTGCTACAGTCCTCCCCCTGCACCTCCTCCCCAAGAGCAGCCTCCCTCCCCCAGGCCCGCCCTGACCTCTGAGCCACTTGGAGTCGTACTTGGCAGAGCGGAGTGGGGGCTGAGGCCCAAGGCTTCTGTAGACCACAGCATCACTGGCCTGGAAATCCGCGGCTGTGGCTGAGTAAAGGCTGCCCTCTGGAGTGGGGGCGGGGGGGGGTCAGGGGAGGGCCCAAGGATCTGGCTCTTCCCGGGCCTCCTAGCCCCTGCCTCCCTCAGCCTGGCCCCGCCCCCTACCTCAACCCTCCACTCAGAAGCGTGGGCAAAGACCGAAGGCTAAGGTGCGAGCCCCCTTCCGCCACAGGCCTGCTCCTCACACACCTGCAAAGACAGCCACGTTGGACTGGGCGGCATCAAAGGGGCATCGGGCCTGCCCACTCAGCTCTTCACCCTCCTGCTGCAGCGACGTTACCTGGAGGCAGAGGGAGCAGGGTCTTGGGGTCCTTGGAGTCTTGGAGCCTGGCTCCATAGCCCACTCCCTCGCGTCCCCTTGCCTCTTTCCCCCACCCCTTCTGGACCCTTGCACTCGGCACTCCCGTTCCTCCACCCCGGCTGGCCCGTCCCCACCAAACTGGTTGCCCATCTTGGGTTCTCCTCCCACTCCCATCCTGACCCTGCCGACACCCGCCTCTGCCTTCGTACCCCGTAGCTGCGGCACACGGGGCTGAATGAGTTTGTTCCACAGGCAAGGAGTGTCTGGGAGTCCCAGGGAACGAGAACACGAATGTAGTTGTGGCACTCGTCCTAGAGAATCCAAAATTCTAGGTCAGCGACAGGAGTCCCTACGAGTGGGACAGGGGCACGGGGAGTAAGGCTCCCTCCTTGGAGCCAGTCAGAGCAATGTGGGGTGAAGTCCCAAGTAAGCTATTCACTGCCCTGCAACCTCGGGCAAATTCTTTGGCCTGTTGGGAGTCTCACTTTTCCGTGAAGGCAAGTGAAAATTATTCATCCCCTTTCCTGCACATTCCTCCTGTGGTCTGAGATGGAAGTGGGTGGGAAAGTGGGCACAGTGGAGGACCGCTTGGACAGAGCCTGGAGGCGGGAAATTCTCCCCTCGAAATTCTCATCCCACTCCTCACCGTCAGCTTCCCCCGCACAGCACAGTTCTCCATGTCTTGACTCCGCCATGTTAGATACTGAAGGGAGAAGTAGAGGAGGGAACATCATGGGCAACCTGGATGCCTCCTCACTTTATGGCTCCTTTTGGATTCCTCTTCCCACCCACTTGACCCCCACCAGACCTTTCCCAGCCTCATCTCCATGCCTGCACCTCCTCCCACACGCCCCTCACCTTGTTGGGCACCAGCCCCTCCCCTTCTTCCTGGGCTTGAAGATCGAAGGAGAAAACGTGATCCCTGAAGGGACAGGTAAGGAGGGATCAGAGCCAAGCAAGCCAAGGCACCCCACCTGAGCTCCTTAGCGCCCACCCTGCTCAGGTTCAGCAGCTCAGAGACAAACAGTGCAGACCTCCTGCCCTCTATCATCCCCCTTACTCCATGCCTTGGCATTTGTGCTCTGGGTCCAAGCATGTCCATGTCCCATGGCTTATACACCTGCATGTGTCCCCTGCAAGATGCTGCAGTGGCCATGTAGGTCCCATGTCTGCCCAGGAGCATGCATGTCGGCCCCACAACTGTGCCACGGTCAGTTTACCGGGCAGCCACTAGCAAGGTCCGGTTCAAGGTCAGGAATCTCTGAAAGTCCAGCCCAAGTTCTGCAACCACAGCATCCTCCTCCAGGCCCCGGAACCAGGATAATGGGGAAGTACCTAGAAGACACAGAGAGGCGGGTGCTGCGGGCCAGCCAAACACCACACACTCCCTCAATACCCTTTCCAACCAGATGAAGCCCCGCAGTGGACATCGTGGATGAGCGAGATGAGTTGAGGTATTAGCAAAGCTGTTGATACAACTATGAATAAAATAACGTCTGGGCACTTAACTTCTGCCAACCACTGTGTTCGCACTTGAGAAGCATCGCCGCGTTTGATGCAGCCCAACGCAGCCCTACGAGGGAAGTACTACGTGGCCCCGTTTTACAGATGAGGAGCCTGTGGCTTCGAGCCATTAAAGCATTTGCATAGCTCAGCGAGCTTGGAAGGGGCCGGCACCGGGATTGCGATCCAGGTCTGTCTGACTGCAGAGCTGAACTCAGTCCCCTTCTCGGCAGCGTGGTGGGGCAAGTGCTCCCCTTTCGTTCCCACATCGTACGCTGTCCTGTCTGGAACACTTTCTCCAATTGCTCCCAGCCCTCGAGGTTCTCCGGAGGCCACCTCAGCCCTCCCCGCTTCCCGCCGCCTCTGACCGACTCCGGCGTCCACTGGCCCGACTGTGGCAGCCACAATCGCCAGCACTCCGAGGGAGCTCAGAGCTCAGGACAGGTGTTCCAACGTTCAGACGGGGGCTTGGGCCGGCGTTCGGCACGTGTCAGTGCGATTCTTTTTTTTTTTTTTTTTTTTTTTAAGATTTTATTTATTTGACAGTGAGAGACACAGCGAGAGAGGGAACACGAGCAGGGGGAGTGGGAGAAGGAGAAGCAGGCTTCCCGCGGAGCAGGGAGCCCGATGCGGGGCTCGATCCCAGGACCCCGGGACACCGGGACCATGACCTGAGCCGAAGGCAGACGCTTAACGACTGAGCCACCCAGGCGCCCCAGTAAGTGCGATTCTTACCCCCCAACACTTACTCCCAGTGACCCAAGTGCAGTTCTTTCATCCTTAGAATATTCTAAATCCTACCTTAACAACAGGAACCTGCAAACAGATGAAGTTCTTTTCTTCTCAGAAGAAAAGTGGGTCTATGGTGTCCCTCACAGTGGGACCTCGGCTTAGTTGTGGTGCAAATGGTGGAGAGGGAGGTAAGAGGTGTGGGGCACCACTGAACCGCCCGAGCCTTCGTGGTGTAACTAATAATAATAGCGAACACACAGAAAACACTGACTGTGGGCCAGACAGTGTTCTCGGCACTTTCCGTGGGTGACCTCACTTAATCCCTACAGAACTCTAATGAGGTAGAATGCTCTTTGTTATCCTCATTTTGCAGATGAGGAGACTGAGGCGAAGAAAGGTGAACCGACTGAACCGAGGTCCTGCAGCTCCCAAGCAGCTTGGCCAGGATTCAAGCCGGCTAAGGTGTGGTCTGGCCGCGTCTGCCTCAGAGTGAAGAAAGCGGGCCCAGCAGGGAGGCGCCACCCGCACCTCACCTCCCGTGCCTCCCGAGCTCACACAATGGGGGGTGGGGGTGGGGGTGGGCGGGGCACTCACCTTGCAGGTCAGAGGTCAGCAGAGGGAGGGGGTCCTGGGGAAAGGCAGCCCGTGTGTGGGCGAGTGACAGCAACAGCAGGAGCAGCAAGGGCATGAAGTGGGGGGCACGGGGCATCCTGTGCGGGGCAGCTCAGGCCCCAGGGGGTGCCCCCTCACCCATATGCCGGCCCTGAAAGGAGACAGAGAAAAGTCGGGGACGGGGCCCAATCCTGCACCCTCAGCGCCGGCAGGCTGCTCCCCTGATCTATCCCCAGAAGACCCTGCGGGCTGGGGGAAACAACGCTCTCTCTGGCACTGCCTCGGTGCCCCCAGCTGTCGCCGTCGCTCAGGGCCTTTCCCCCTCCAGCTGGCCCAAACTGGCTGACCCCAGGTAAGGACAGGACACACCCGCTCCCCTGCCAAGCCTTCTCACTTGGCCTCTTCTCTCCTGACTGGGCCTGGGACATTCGGTAGCTGACACCGCCTGGCCCCCTCTTGCTAACCCCTTCTCAGTTATAATTAGACACCGAAGCCTTAAAATTATAAATAGTGACCCCCCTGGCACTGGGAGCAGGAAGAGGGCACCATGTCTGCCTCCCCCTCCCGCACAGACCCCCGCGGCACCCTGGGAGCCGTGCAGGCGCTGTGCCCGGGCAGAGGCAGCTGCGAGGAAGCATCACCCCCTCTAGGGGTGAGGAAGCCCAGAGTGGGGGGAGGAAGCCTAGGGGTCGTTGTCCTGGTCTAAGTTCATGCTTCAAGGGACCTTGCCATTGCTAGGGAGAAACTGGGTAGGGAGGGGAGTGGGGGGGGGGGCGCTGCCTTAGCCAAAAATGAATCTGCATCAAAGCCAGATCAGAGGCTAAATTTAGCTCTGGCTGCAGCTGTCTGCCCGACCACTGTGCCCCCTCCCAGCCTCTCTAGCCCCCTGTTCCCTCCGTGGCTCCGAAGAACCTGTGCATGTACTTGATGAGGAAGAGCAGAACCACCCCTATGAGGAGCCAGGGATGGAACTGGCTATACTGGTGAGGAGAAATGGCTGAACACGTATATCCCTCTTTCCCTTCCTTCCCTCTATGGGCTGCCTCAAAATGGAAATATAAATAATTCAACGACAGGCAGGCAACGGTAGCCCAAAGTCCAGGAAAAGATGGATATGGTGGAAGGGATGTGAGACAGCCTTCCTTCCCACCAATCAGCACCACCACCCACCCCCAGCTGACCCTGGGTGGAACCCCAGTAGGAGGTGGACACCAGCTTCCTGCCCTCCTTCCCCTCAAATTGAGGTGAGGGGCTGAAGAGCTCCCGAAATCAGGGCACGAAGGGTGAGAATCCTTCCTTTCTGTGAACAGACAGCTATTCTTCACCAATCCTTACGTGCTCTTTCCACCACGTCCCCTAAGGAAGTGACCCTGGGCTTCCAGGCCCAGCCCATTCCATCTCCCCAATTCCACTCTTGGAGCCAGGACCCAAGTGTACCCCACCCCCAACCCAGCGTCACTGGTGGGGAGGCTGACGTCAGATGGGGTCCCGAGAGGGCTGGAGGAGGGGAAGGGGTAGGAACACCTAATGATGACCCCCTCCCCAGGGGCAGAGCAGTCAGCTAACTAACGACCCCCTGGTGCTGAAAGGCCAAGCCTCCCTCACACCGCTCCTCCCCCCGCCCCCCCCCCAGTTTCCGGATGCTGTTGCTCCCAAGGGAAGAGAAAGGGACACAGCCGGTCTCCTATCCTCCCCCTCCAAGTTGCCCTGGGCAACTGGTATCTTCACCCAGGAAACAACTTTGGTCTCTGGCAAGTGGGGAGAACAGCCAGACCCTCTTCCTGCTCCCAGTCCATGCCAGCTTCCATCTCCTGCCCTCAGGAGCTGCTGCCCTTTCCTTACCTGGGGTGGTGACTCCTGTGGGGGCTTGAGGGGGGTAGGAGACCTCGGACCTGATGGAAGAAGGGACAGGAGGGAAGAGGCTTCGTTACACCTCCTTACCACATCCCTTAAAAGTAAATGTGAAAATTCAGGAGAAGTCTACTGAGGCTAGGGAAGGGGACATGCTGCCCTGAAAGAGGGTGTGTGTGTGTGTGTGTGTGTGTGTGTGTGTGTGTGTGTGTGGCGGAGCGGAGGGGGGGGTTGACATTGAGCTTGATTACAAAGGTGCTGGCCGCTTCATGCCTAAAGATGTGAGGACAGGGGCTGGGGCTGGCCCCTAGCCAGAAACTCCTGGAACTGCAGGACCAGTCTTGAGGAAAATGTTGACTGGGAGAGTTTGTGGGGGCATGATGACCACTCCCACATTAAAACCCTGAGAATCCAGCAGGCTTCTTAGCAAAAGCGCCCTAGCTGGGGACAATAGAGGCTAATTTGCATCTCATTTACATGCTCTTCATTTCTAGGCAAAATGCTCTGATAGCAAGCACCCCAGCCCCTTCCTTCTTCCCTGAGAGAGCAGGTCCTGCCTCCCTCTGACCCAATGTCTCTGCACCCCACCCCCCAACTTAGACTGGATTAGTCCAGCCTCTGAAAACACTTGGTTGGCCTTTGCATTGGCCCCCTAGACTTAAGTATGATATATCTTTAAGAGGGCTTCCCGTATCTGTTTTTGGAGGAGCAGCATCTAAGCAGTCCCCATCCCACCCCCGGGCCTGGGGAAAGGCTTACTCTGCTGGGGCCAATCCCAGCTGCATAATTCCCCCCATCTGAAGCAAATGGGAGGCCTGGTCGTCTCTCTCTCCCCCTCCAAGGTCCTCCCTTTGCTGGGAGAGGAAACAGCCCTTCTCCTCCGCCTGGCCCTTGCAGCCACCTCTGGGGAGTGGCCAGGTCATAGCCAGAGTCATAACCAGAGTCTAGGGGGGCTGGGGAAGGGATGGAGAAGGGGAGACTGGACTGGGGACAATAGCAGGAAGCTCTCAGGCTGGTTGGCCGCCCCAGTCCACCTTCCTCTGGGGGAGCAGAGGAGAGGTAGAGGGGGTGAGGGGCGCGCCGAGAATCCTCGAGGAACAGGCTGAAGGCGCATTCCCTTCTCCAAGACATTTCCCCCACCCTCAGCCCCTGGCTCCTAACCTACCCTCCCTCCCACCCAGCCCCCAACGAGGATAATCCAGGTGTCTAGACCCTGGCATAAGGTGGGCCCAGGGCCAGGGGCTCGACGTGTCTCCCCTTCACTGGATCTGGGGCTCCGAGAGGGGCGGGTAGCAGAGTCTGGGCCGGGACCGGGTCCCAGAGCCACGTTAGCGGGAGGAGGGGCTGGAGGGGCCTGCAGGCGCAGGCAGAATGGGGATGGGAGCGCGGGTTGGGGAGCGGAGGCGGGTCTCCGAGGCCAGAGAAGCAGGGCCAGAGGCTGGGAACCGACGAGGGCAGGCCTGGGGCCGGTGCTGAGCGGGGTCCGCGGGCTCAAGGTGCAGTCGCCAGACAGGCTCTCGCCCTTCGGAGACCCCGGTCTAACAAAGCCCCGGGGCGAGTGGGGTGAAGGAAGGAGAAGGGCACGGGGGCTGTTGTTTCTCTGGGGCCCCCCTTCCCCGACTCTCTGCCCAAGCCAACCCCCTGAGAGGTGCTCAGACTCCCGTTTGCACAAGGACAGAGGCGCAGCCGTCACACCATAGTCAGGAACGACGCGTCCCCTTTCCCATCCCTGCAGGGACATCGAGAGGGTCCAGTTCTCCGCGGGTCTCACAGCCTTAGTTTCCCTGCTGGGGAGTCAAGGGACCAGGTTTTCCACCTTCTGTACGGCGCGTGCCTCAAATAATCGCCTTTCGCGCTCCCCAACCCAGAGGACGCGACTCGGAGAAACCCGGTGGGAAGAGGCGCCCGGACCCTGCGCCCAACAGTGCATTGATGGGGTTCGGCCACGGTCCCCTCCTCCCTCCGTGCACCCCAACTCCGCTGACCCTCTCCGTCAGGCAGGCACACAGCGCGCTGGCACCCTCCCGGGTCCCTCTCGCACTTCGGAAGGTTGTCCCCAGCCTGCGGCGCCCCCGCTATTCCTCGCCTCCCTGCAACCCCATCCCCGCTCCGGGGTACTTGCTCGGAGATCCGGGTCGGCGGGACCGAGATCGCAGCGGGCGGGCAGCGGCCCGGCACCGCGCCGAGTTCGCAATCCGTGATTGGGGCTCTGGCGAGACGTGACGAGCGTCCGAATGGGATGGAGCTCGGATCCGACCTCCGGGGCGCAGTCGGGTCGGGCGAGCCCTGGGTCCCAGTCGCAGCCCCCACTCCCGCCGCGGCTCCGCGCAGGAAAACAATGCGACCGCCCGGGGCTCTGGGCCGGGCCCCAGCCGCCCCGCCCGCCTCCCGGCTGGCCCCGCCTCCAGCCCGCCTCTGGGTCGCCGCAACCAATCCGGCTCTCGAAAGCTGGCTGGACACCGCCTTCTCGACACCTCTTCACCAATAGTCCTTCTTGGGGGCGGGGCGCCGGGAGCACCGCCCACCGAGAGGGCCAGGCCGGGAGGCTGAGCCTAAGACCAAAGCCAGGCGCGAGATGGAGAGACCCTCGGACAGTAGCTGAGACTCGGACAGAGGGGATCACATGCTTTAAAATGGAGAGGTCCTGGGGAGAAATCTCACACGAGAGGAAGGAAGAGAAGCTGGAAGGAGAGACAGACGGGAAACCCGGGGACCTCGGTTGGGCTGGGCTGTCAGAGCCGCGCGACTCTCCCTCCCTCCGTTCTCCCCAGGGGCTTTGGCTATCCTGCTTCCGCTTCCAGAGTCTCCCCCTTCAACCTCTACTCTGCCCCAACCCTCTGTCCCTCCTCTCTACTGTTTTTACCTCAACCTCCTTATTTCTCCCCACGTGCCTCCACCCCATGTTCATCATGACCCCAATAAGGGAGGCCTAGCATGCACTTGAGGGCTTGAGGCCTGGGAAAGGAAAGGAAGATGTCACCAGGAGGTTTTTCTTGTCCCCGTCATCTCCTCCCCTCCCACCTCTGTCAGAGCAGGATGGGCATGGGCCACTAGGCCAAGAACTAGGGAGCCAGGAAGCCAGGGTGGCTGGCAGTCAGGCTGTTGGTTGATGGAAGAGGACAGGTGAGTGGGGCTCAAGCCAAAAGAGAGACGTGGAGATTGGGACAAACTGCCTCAGAGAATCACACAGAAAGAGGAGCAACATGGAGAATCCAAAGAGGGAAAGTGACCAGCTGTCCCAACCCCACATAGCCTTACTGGCCCCAAGACACAGGATTAGTGTTGTTCCACCTTTCTTTCTTTCTTTTTCTTTCTTTCCTTTCTTTCTTTTTTTTTTTTAAAGATTTATTTATTTGAGAGAGAGAATGAGACAGAGAGCATGAGAGGGGGGAGGGTCAGAGAGAGAGGCAGACTCCCTGCTGAGCAGGGAGCCCGACGTGGGACTCGATCCCGGGACTCCAGGATCATGACCTGAGCCGAAGGCAGTCGCTTAACCAACTGAGCCACCCAGGCGCCCTCTTTCTTTCTTTCTTTCCTTTCTTTTTTTTTAGATTTTATTTATTTATTTGACAGAGAGAGAGAGAGCGAGAGCAGTAACACAAGCAGAGGGAGTGGGAGAGGGAGAAGCAGGCCTCCCGCTGAGCAGGGAGCCCGATGCAGGGGTCATGCAATCATGACCTGAGCCGAAGGCAGATGCTTAACGACTGAGCCATCCAGGCACCCTATTCCATCTTTCTTCAGAGGGCCCTGGACATTCCTTCAGACAGCAAAACTTCTCCTTCTCCATCTCCACCCTCCATAAAGACCCTTTGATTCTGGGAAGGTCAGCGGGGAGGAAGAATGAGACTACTTTAGACAGCACTGCTTGGCTCCCACCTTGGTATTGCCTGCTGAGATTTTTTCCCTGCATGGGGGCTAGGACAAAAGACGTTCTCAAAATTCCCAGGATAGTGGGTGGCCTGGGAGACACTGGCATTCTTGGATAGTTTTATCTGAGTGGGCACCTCCTTTCCCCTACTCCCACATACTAGTTTCTGGGCTGGAGGAAAGGAGGAGCAGGGGTTTGCTACTTATGGCCAGTCTTTACTGAACTGAGATCAAGATGGGTAGCATCACTGACTGGGCTAAGCCTCACAACGAGAAAGCAAGAAATATAAACACACACACACACACACACACACAGATGAAAGGCCAGTTGAACCAGTGAGACTAATCAGAAACAATAGAACAATACTTACACAAGGCTAATTACAGGGGGTCTTGGGTCCAAGGCAATTCGGTGTTTTAAAGGCTGTAAAGAGGTTTTGGGGAGAAAGACACCTCAAAATATAAAGGCACTCAGAGGTCGAAAGAAATCTCCCCAGCTGTTAGCAAAGGACTCAGGTAATCAAATATGTGCTCATTAAATAGATTAGTGAATGGAGACTGAGGTATAATTTATTTAAAAAAATTTTTTTTAAGATTTTATTTATTTATTTGACAGAGAGAGACAGCGAGAGAGGGAACACAAGCAGTGGGAGTGGGAGAGGGAGACACAGGCTCTCCGCGGAGCAGGGAGCCCAATGCGGGGCTCGATGCGGGGCTCGATCCCAGGACCCTGGGATCATGACCTGAGCCGAAGGCAGATGCTTAACAACTGAGCCACCCTGGTGCCCCAATTTATTTAAAATTTTAGGGCCCACCTAAAATATCAGTTCTATACAATAAGTATTAAGCATTTACTTCAGGTACAATCCACTGTAGGATGTGGTC